GGATGTTTCGGAGGAGGTATTCCAAGGTAGCACCTATTCTGATAGCGTGGCCTTGCAATGGGTCGAGGCCAGCATCCTTTGCAGCGCGAGCAAGCCTTGCAATGAACTTTGTTTTCGTCAAAGGACGGTGTGCCTTGCCGAACTTATAGGAAAAGAGTGCGATGTCGAAGTGGGGGTTGTTGATGTTGAGATGGTTGGATAATGCGGCCTCAGGATCAGTGGGACCCTCTTGTTTCGCCCAGAAAACGTCCTCCCCGTTTTGTGATGTTTTCGTGCGGGGTAAATGAAAAACGGTAGTCGCGAGCCCATTGCGATCTGTTTCGTGACGAATGTCGGAGCGTTTGACGTGAATGGAGGGATCAAATGATGAAAGAGTTCGGATCGTGAATTCTCCAGCTCTGGCCATTGAATAAAAGGCTGTTGTGAGACAGCTACCCACTGCAGCATCGAGAGGGTTGTTGGGGTCTAGTTTCTGCAAGATGCTAGTTATAAAAGCCACGGTGTATGGTGGTCTTTTCTTCCTTCTTGATGACGAGGGCGTGAGGTTCTTGGCCGCTTTCAGCATAGCATCTATTTTGTCATCATCTAAGGACCATGATTTTCCGTGCAAAATATGCCATGCGCGAATACCGTGGACATAACTTGATATAGTTTTCCCTGAATATGATCCGGCTAAGTCTGAAATGAAAGCTGAAATGAGTTCAGAAGACGCGGGTGCACGCATGGCTTCATTGATGGAGTGCGAGTCACAATAAACATGGTAGGCGAGGATGCCGCTTCCATATGCCTCCTGGGTGCTGCCAGCCCATGCGTGGATCATGACATCTTGAATGCGCTGTGCATCTGCGTGGGGGAGGCAAGATATTGATGTGTCGTCTGTGGCTGGTCGCCAAAGACGGAGCCTGTCTTTTGCTGTGCAATGGGGTCTTAGGACGGAAATACGAGGGGTGAGATTAGCAGGATAAGCTGCAACTAAGAATCTCGATGAGGGGGAAGCCTGCAGTGTGATGTTCGCTGACTTACTAAGCTTGCGTCGCTTTAAAGAGCTCTTCTCCTTGACGACGGAGCTCGTCATTGAGGTGCTCAGCTGATTCTCGTGAGCGGGCTCGGTCATTGACGTGTGGGAGCGCTTTGAGTTTCTTACTGCATGCATGGCACTCAGAAGGGATAGCGGGATTGTCAAAGTCCGTGACGAAGGGTTGGAGTGGCTGGGGGATGCTAATTGGGGGAAGCAGAAGGTCTGAGGGAGGGTAGATTCCCCTGGATGGGCCATCCGCTGGGTTGTAGTTGCTGGGTACATAGCGCGTGAGGAAAGTGCATTGCGTAGATGCGGCGAGCTCGTGGATCCTTTTGAAGACGGTATTGGTGGCCCTGTTGCGGCTACGCCCTTTCCACCACCCTTCAACGACTCCCCGGTTGTCCCCGAATATTTGATGCAGCTGCCCGTTGGGCATAAACCGAGGAGTGCAATAATGAGGAATTCCATGCCGACTGCCTCTGCCCAGCCAATGTCTCTGTCTTCGGCTTTCCAGCCTGGGAGGAGACACCACGCTCGCCATCTGCCATTGATCCAAATCGCGATACCAGTGCCTGAGCTAGCGTCTGAGTAAGCCGAGGGGTCAATGATTTCGACGGGCCCTGGGATTGGCCGAGAGACGAGTGATTGTGAGAGGCTGGCTTTCCACCACCGGAGGTCATCACCTGTGTGCTTGGGGGGGGAACGAGGCATGTGCGGACGGTCATGAAAAATGGATAGCATGGTCTCGAGAGAAACGAGGTAAGCTCTTCCTGCTGGGGAGGACCAGAGAAGCATGTAAGAGCTTCCCATAAAGCTCCTGGACTTCCCGTAGCGTGTGTGAAGATCGAATCTCCCATTCTTTGATAGCTGCCACGTACTTCTCCTTCTTGCTCTGTGGGATCGAGACAGAACGCGACTCGATGTCCCAGAGGAAGCCAATAAAGGGGGCACATGACGAGAAAAGGATGTCTTTTGCCAGCTCCCAGGGTATTCCGAGAATTTTGGATAGGCGGTTGATGTCGTCAAAGCAAAATGTGAAGCGAGCATCTTCTGGGGATCGTGGGGAGGCTGTTGAGAGATCAATGATGGGAAACGAACAGTCTTCATCAAACTCTTCAATTCTGTCGTCAGGCATAGTTGAACCCCGATACCATTTTCGACCTCCTTCAATGAGCATGCCACCATTTCGTGCAATGATAGCGGCACGAGATTTGCGCAGGTTATTGTAGCTAGCAAGGTGCTCTCGCAGAATCCGAATGAATAGGTGATCGTCCACCCATTTGGATATCGGGCCAATTCCTTGTGATCAGAATATGTCTGCGCCAGCATCTGCGACCTCGCCATAGGTTCCTGCTGATGCCAAGAACCCGAAACAAAAGCTAGAATCAATGGCGAAGCTGTCTTCTCCTGTCCTGACAACCAGGCCTGGCCATTGAGAAGGATGAAGAGGTACTGTGTGGTAGGCTTCGGCCACGTCACGAACGGCTGCCTGAGATCCTGGGGGGAGAGACCAGATGAGTAGACAGATCGTCGATGCTGTACCCCATGTGCACGGATATAAGTTAGAGTCGATAGAGGAATTAATGGATGATATAGTGGCTGATGGACGAAGCGGGAACGAGAGGTTTTGTACAAGGCGGAATTTTCCTGGCTTTCCTGGCTTAGGAACCATGGAGAGTGGGGCTGTCTGGAAAGGACCGATGAGTTCTTCAGTCTCCAATTTAGATATAGGTCCAATATAACGACCAGTGGAATATTCACGGTCCAGAATAGCAGCAAAAGCGTCAAAATGTGCATGTAGCGAGGGGCTATTAGGTGGGATATAAGTTTGAGATATGGTTGGGACACTGCCCATGAAACCGAAGCGAAAACCATTCGGAATATGTGCATATTTACGTATGAGATTTGACGAAATGAGAAGCTGCAGCCAGGCCTCGGGCCTATAGGGAGTGATAGCATTAGATGCTCTCGCTTTGAGGACAGTCTTGAGCTCCGTGATCCTTTGCTCCGCACCCCGAACATTCGTGCACGTGAGCTCGAGAGGGATTGGTGCATCCCTTGGGTCTCTGCCAGTCGTAGCAGATTTCGAGGCCCTCTGGATTGACCAAATGACCCTCTGCGTTTCGACGACATCGAGTTTTGGTTCGTTTGTCCCATAGGAACTCGGATGCACATTTGTGGATGGGGTGACGGAATCGGCCAAGGCAGAGGGCGCAGGCTGATGGGCTGGTTTGGCCTGCGCCCGCTGGAAAAAACTGCTGCAACTTCTGCAGTTTTTTCGCCATTTGGTTAGCAGGGCGGTATGGGTGATAGCGGCCATCATTCACAAAAGGTACTGTCTCTGCGTGCCCATTTCGGCTGGAACTCACATCTCTCCCCCGAGAACAGGAAGAAGTGTTGGGAACTGCGAGCGAATGTTGCAACTGAGTGCAATAGAGCGAGCATGAAAGGATTCGAGTAAGCCAGGATTCGAACAATTATATGAAAGCAAAGATTTTGTTAAGCCATGGTATACAGGAAAGTGCGAAAGCAGTGTGGGTGTAAGCGAAGCAGCGGTTAAGTGTTTGAGAGGGACACAGTGAAAGCGGGAGTTTGAGTTAGCATGAGGGTAGATGGAGCGACAGCGTAGAGAGCGCAAGCAAGGGAGAGCGGAAGACAAAAGACGAAGTCATATATGCAATAGCACATGGATAGCAGATGGGGAATTGTACCCCGAAAGCAAGGACAGCCAAGAGTGAAAGCATTTAGACAGCCAGCGGGGTTCGTTTCCGACGTGAGATTGAATATATAAAAGAATTTGGTCAGTGATTGAATGTTGGTGGGTAATGCGCTACGCACCATTTTGAGACCTTCATCTTGTTCGGCCTCCCAGACATCGTCGGATATCGAGTTGTACAGGGCATTATTGAATAAACCAATATTGAACCCTTGGTCTTGCGCTAAGCGATCATGCCATTCACGGCGCACAAATCCCGCGTAGCGAAGCAGAGCCTTTTCTCCTCGTGGATGCATGCGATGCTCATGGTTGGTAATGAGCGTGAAAAATAACGCTAAAGCCTGCTGATGCTTTTGCGGCCAATTGTTCTTTTCAATGTGAACAAGAAAGCTGGTCTTTGCGAGGTTGAATTGCCACCAAGATAGGTCGTGGTCCTGTAGAGCCTTCTGAGAAGCTTTGAAAGACGCTATCGTCTTGAGGGCGACCATACCATCCACTTTGGCGAAGCCAAAAGCATCATCTGAGTCTGATGTGGACCTAGAGGTGGTGGCAGCCTCGTGGCAACCGTCAGGACTGAAGTACCATAATTCTACGTACTCCATGTTCTTGACCTTTTGGATGGCATACTGGGATGGGCGAGGTATGATAACGTCTGCGACAACGGCCCCATCATCAAAATCGTTAATCTTGGGCTTTTTCTTCTCAGCTTCGCGTCTCTCTAACTGTTCCTCAGCCTCTTTTTCGGCTCTCTCGCGCTCTAGCTGTTCTTGCAAGGTGCGGGCGTCTTCCTCATTCTGTTGCTGCCAAAGGAGGATGCGCTCCTGGCGCTCGAGTCTCCAGCCCACAGCCATTTGCTCGAGTGCATCTTCTCTGGCTATGCCCCCTGCCACAAGGGCATTGAGCCATCCCGTGTACGCTGCTGACTCGAAATTGGGCTGCGCTTCCAGCGCTGGGTCCGCTAAGATGCGTTCCATGGTAGGCCGGGTGAATTTGGAGTGTTTGCTAAGAGTGTGTTTTGAGAAATTGACTGGGTGTTTCTGAGAGTGATAGAAAGAGCAGAAGGAATGTAGAAAAGAAAAGGAGGAAGAACGTTGTCGTTGAGGACGACTGAGACGATACGGCGCGACGTCACAGTACGAAGTCAGAAGGTTCGTACTGCTTCCGACGCTTGCGCAAAGACTTAATTCTGTTCCTACACTCGTTCCTCGTTACATAATAGACTATCAATTAATAGCAAAGCTTTTCGACAGAATCATGCATTTACCCCCCGCCCTAAAGCTTTTGAAATCAGATTGAATCCGTGTCACTCATCTCTCTCCTCCCAGATAAGTGACTCAAGTTCTCGAATACTTCATTGAGCATTACAATGAATGTACAGTATACCATGGATGTCGTCAATGCTGCATGCCTCATTACAATCATTGCCCAATATGCTTCATTTCCCTACCCACCAGATCAAACCATACAATTGATTAGACTCATGACCAGCCCATCTCACGACGGCTTGCCTCATTAGACGGGGTGGTCACGAGTCTAATAATTGATAATAATCCAAGCCTCGTCTTTGCTAGATCTGTCTATAAATGGTTCCTATCATCGCCAGGATGCGTCAAGCTCACAACTGACTAACTCTATACATCATCCTCCCAATCATCTGGCACCGCTTCTTCCTTCCCACCCATCTCCAGACTCGCCACCTTCCTCGCGCGCTGCACAGAGGATGACACCCACGCTCCGCTACTTGGCTTCAAACTCAAAGTAGCAGTACTAGTTTGAATCCCTCCTGAGCTCGAGGACGCACCAGGCGCAGGCGAAGAACTCCCAGACCCAGGACGTGAAACGACTGCCGTCCATTTTCCGCCTGCTTCTGCAGCCTTTGGTTGAGGTTTGGCCCACACTCCACTTCCACTCGTCACACTCGACATAACTTTCGGAGCTCGTAAATCAGCGAGTTTGCCTAGGACTGCAGGTGATGGGAGGGATGCAGATAAGAGTGGCGTCGGAATGCGCGTGTCGACGCGCCGGATGAGCTGGACGCTTCGGTGAGGTTCCTGATCGACCATCTGTGTGTCCATGCGGTAGATAGATGCGAGCTATACGTAGTTGATATATCAGCATGTTTCAAAAACCAGGAAGAATAAGGTGAACTCACATCATGCACGACTTTACGTCGTTCAGGGGGCATGTGCGGCAGGACTTGTGTGCGTTTGTCAGAAGTGATGAAACTAAAACAGAAGATAGAGTGAGGACCTGCATCGAATTCATCAGAATACCGCCACTCACTCTGAAAACGTCTTCTCCACTAGCCCCACAAACTTACCGTTTGCCCTTGCAAAAGTCACTATGTCATCATTATAAGTGACCTTGGCCTGTAAACCCTCACGCTTCTCGGGACTGATGCCAAGAGCGTCAGCAAGTCGCGCATTGCGTTTCTTGATCGCACATTCACCAGTGCATTGGAGCTGGGCGGTTGAATTTGCTTGAGAACATGGGATAGAGGAGCGGAGGTGGCCGCAGGGACAGGTGAGGGTGACGAGCGTGAGACAGGCTTCGGTTTCAGGGCATGCTGCTGGGGCGTGGCATGGCTGGGTGCATGGGTGTTGCGCTGGCAAGCTAGATTAAAGCAGAAATTTGTATCAGTTGAAGAGGGGATAATGGAAGATGTAGAAGAACTTGCCATGATTTGCGAGACTTGCCGCATACAGCGGTACACGTTCCACAATCGTCTGCGTGGCACAGGCGTTCACAGTGATGGAAACCGCATGCTAGCAATCTGTGAAGCAAGAGTGAATTTAATTGATGATCACTGTCAGACAGACACAAAACTCACTTTCCGCATACAATACCACAGCTCACCCGCTCCTGCGCACACCTGACATTATCCATCATCTTCTTTCCGCACGCACACTGTTTGCTGGTGAGGAAAGGACACGGTGGGCAAGGGGATGCCTCCACTGGTTGGTTTGGGTCCGCACCGGCGATAATGACGCCCTCATGACATCCATGAGGGACGCGTGAATGGCCACACGGAGGCGAAGGTCTTGCGCACGGATAACTACAAGTCATTGTTGCACCACATGGAATTGGAGGCTCCAAGGCCGTTCGACCACATGGGCATATAAGCTATAGGAACGTCAGTCGAAAACACAACGACAGTCAATAGACAAAACTACTTACATCTTCATAAACGCTCTGCAGACACACCCCACACGCGCCTCGATGGTCCTTTCGCTCGCACCGGTGGTTTCCACAGTTCAACATCTTCCCGCACGGGAGGTCACACTCGTGCAGCCCGCCTTCTTCAGCGACAAGCTCTTCAAACATTCCTGCACGTTTCTTGCCTTTGCCTCTTTGCGCAGCAGCAAGGGATGCGAGAGGACAACAAATACGGTTACATTGGTGGCGTCCACATATGCGTAGGGCGATGCATGCACGGTCGCAAAGGATATCCCCAGCTTCGTTACCTTCGGTGGTCTTGATGACTTCACCGCACTTGATCATCACTTTCGTCGCTCCGCATCGACAGGTGCGCTCTATGAGCTCGGTGCATGGTGGGCAGGGGCCAGTATGACAGCTTATCCCACATTGATGCGAGCAGTCAGGTAAGGTTTTGATGCACTGTTGCTTGCATGTAGGAACAGGAACAGTACAGGATGTGCGGGGTCCGAGGAAATACGCAATATCTTTACCACTGGCATCATATTTGGGAATGGTTGTTGATTCCGGTTTGTGGATATAGCGATCGTGTTGTTCGACAGTAGGGAGAGCGAGCCTGCCGCAGGCGCAGGTTTGCATTATGGATGGATCAAGCGGACATCTAGGAGGTGTGAACGACGGGGGATGACATCCTTTCTCGCAAGTGTGTACTCCGCACGCAAAAGGTCTGTGAAAGGAACGTCAGCACACAGGCGCATCCAATAAGCGAGATGAAGATGATTAAACACTTGCCTACCGCACACACTATCACATTCATAGCGACCCTCCCAGCCAACTTCTCCCTCAACAGCGCAAACAACCGCCCGATCCTTCCTGTCGCCACACGGGACTTCTTTCTCTTCTTTCCCACAATAACATGCGACAATTTCAGCCACGACGCAGGGCTTGCACTCGCCGGGGTGGCAAACCTGAGCACATGTATGCTGTGGATTCCCGCATGACAAGGGTTTATTACAAATGATGCCACAAGAAACGCCAGTGGTCGAATTTGGAGATGCCAGGGAAGAGCAACGGACCGTTGAGACTTGGCGTCCACACCAACAGCCCTTCCGGACGGTAATAGCGCATGGTGGACAGGGACCAGGATGGCAGGGAAGAGGACAGCCATGACCGCAAGCAGAAATACGTACGCGGGAGCATGGATGTGCACAGCTGTGTGGGGTGACGAGGCGAGTAGGGGATGGATCTGTGATGCGATAACAAAAGCACCTGATGATAAGATGTAAGTACACGATATACATGTAGATAAGCAGCACCTACCGGTAGCTGGATGGTACAGATTCACGTTTAGCTTGACATCCGGGACATCTCCATTCACCGGTACGTTCCTCGCCACGGGCACGCCATGCATCTTGAAGGTCCTTAACGCTTTTGGAAGCCCAAGCCCGAATGCACTTCAGGTGGAATGTAGTCCAACAACATTGGAGGTTTTCGGAGGGATCAGAAGAAGAGCAAGACCAGGTATGCTGTTCTGGACGAATGGGGTTGAAGCAAATCGGGCAGTCAGGGTAAGGATAGGTGCTGAGGGCATGAGTAAGAGTCGAAGTGAGGTCATCGGCAAGAGGTGCCTTGGATCTTGAAGGCTTCGCTTTCTTGGGCAAAGAAGAAACTTTCGATGAGGGATTGGCTGCAACGCCAGGTTTTGAGTCACGAGTTAATGGTGTCAGTTCAGAAAGTGACGAATTGAATTTGGAACGCCGGGATGGACGCTTTGGCTGTGATTGGGGTTGAGAATCAGTGATTTTGGGTTCATTCGCAGCGGTGGCCCCCTGGGGATGTCTTGGAGAACGGTTCTTCTTTGGACGTGCATCTCCACCATGTGTTTCACCTGTAACAGGGCTGAAGCCAGCTACTGTCTGAGAAGTGCCAGGCGGTCTAGGCAAATTTGAGCTTCCCTGCTCGTGATCATGAGATCGGTTCTGATTAAAGTTTCTGCGAGGCTTCCTGCTGCTCGTACCACCTGTATCCGGAGCATCTACGACATTAGAACTGGCTGTATTCGCCGGAGGAATGCGAGTTCTGGGACGATTGCCACGGTAGTTTCTGCTCGAGTTTGATGTTTGATTTGGTAAACCGGGTACTTGGTTCTCAACTTGATGTTGGATTGTAGTTCCAGGTGAGGACGTTTCCATGCGAAGGGGACTGGTACAAGCTATAGCTCTATGCTGCTTGAGTTATATGAGCGGGATGGCATTGCTGAGTCAGCCTGTGTCATCTTGAACGGCTCCGGGAACCGGGTACAAATGACTCTGCTTGCTGCGATCACTGCTGTCGTACGGATTCCCGTATAGGTAGAGGGTCATTCGGGTCATGTTTTTGTCGCGACTCGCAGCAAATATTGTGTTTTGCAAATTCATCGCCTTGAAAATGGTCACAAGGTTGAATATGCCAACAGCGCCAACATCCGGGTCAAGATCAAAATATCGTAGTCACACAGAAATCAAAGACAATTTTTGCAAAGCGAAAAAAACAATTTGTCCAGTACGGTCCCTTATAGAATACGAGTTCAATTCCCTCAGGACTATGATAAAGCTCCTCCACAACAGTACCGTAGATGTGTAAGACATGGCTACTATGATACTAGCGATATCGGTGTGATCGCAATGACCACCTGTGGTTCCCACGTACCTGATGTAATTAGATATGACAGCTACGTGTGCTGACAGGTCTAAAACGACGTATTTCTAGTTGTTACCAGCCAAATGAATAAAGGCTGGATACTGACAGGCCTTCAGTGCTGCAGAGAGAGTGCTGCTGGTGTTCCGGCAGTGTCGGCACCTATCCCCGTACCCCGCGTGCTAATATTAGTTCATTTAGAATGCCGCCGGCTGTCGGATGTAATAAGCGAGGCCCCAACCATTTGTGCTCGCTGTTGACGACAGCGAGCTCGTGTATCTCGCGTGGATGTGCACAGTTTGGAGGCGGACTTTCACTGATATATAGATATACGTAGAGTACTGTAATTGCGATGCCTCATGATAGGTAGAATACTCAAAGTCAACACTACTAAGTCAAGCTTCGTCGTTGCTGCTCTCCTCATCCTCGGATGTGCAAACAAACTCAGCACTCTTTGGAGCCTGCATCGATGGCCCTGGTGCTCATGCCCTCTTTCTCTGATGTGAATTTTCATTACCCTTTCATTTGCGAGGTACCCCTGCATCAGAGCGCTTCTTGCGTGGCTTGGTAACCACCTCTCCTTTCTTGTGGCGTGCATCAAGCAGAGCATTATACTCCTTGCATTGCCAGGGGCCATGCGGAACCAGTGGCATGAGCCATCCTTCAGTGCACAGCGGACCTTGAGGAGGGAGTTGAGATCATTCAAGCTGGTGGGGGATTGGAATGGAATGCCTTCAGGCCAGCCCCGTAGGTCTATACCAAGCTTCTCTTTGATGGCAGTATTGAAGCTTGCATAGTTAATGCGGATGTCACGTCTCTTAGCTACAGTCTCTGAAAAAAATAATGATAATCAGTATTGAGTGAGTGCGAGAAACGAGACATGTACTTAGGCCTGAATTGAGGAGCCGTGTGCATACATGCTGCATGTTTTGCACCGTTTCACGTTTGTCGAGGCCTAGAATAATGTAAGAGTCAGTAGACATACATGTGAAAACGTGAAGTGAAACACACTTTGACCTGCCATGCACGCCCACTGTTCCAGTTTTCTTGCAATCTCGTCAGCCTCCATTTGCAGGACATCCTCCCAGAAATCCATCACGTTGTCTGTCCCAAACCACATTGCCTGAGCTGTATCATATACATGTCCACGTGAGGCAAACACACAGGCATAGATTCTGGTCCGGACTGCTAGACTATCAAGCTACGAGCTCATTAGTTGTGAAGACTTCGTAAAATAAAATAACGTACCATCTTAAAAATGTTATCAAGGGTTGACTGGACATCACACGCAGCAGAGGCGTTCATCGCACGAACACTCATGTTCTGCATAGTGCGGTGTTCGTTTAAGTTGTTGATATATTGTTGCTTCTCCCCTTCCGTCAAGTTCTGCATGGCGGTATCCTCCTTCACCAACATTCGGAGATCCTTAGCTCCAAATTTCGCACCACACAGGAGATCTGTAGACACAATCAATAAATCAGTCGAGAATGTTGCACAGAAACTTACCTTTGTTAACTTGCTCTGCCTTCGCATGCATGAGGGCATTTTCAAGCTGTGCGCTGCGGCTGCTCTTGTAATTTTTGATCCCTCCCATCAACTTCTTGACCTTCTCGACAGTCACATCATGCTCAAGTGCGATGTCGTGCACCTTCTGCGCTTCTTCGGCAAGCAGTTGTTGAATTGCGTTGTTCAACGCATCTTCGGCTTCCTTACGTTGCTGGGAGGTAATCTTGCATGATGCTCGTTGGGCCTTGGCACGAGCTTTTTGCGCTGTGGTAAGGGGTTCCTGCGATGCGAGAACAGGCCTGTTGGGATTCCATGCTGCCCAGGAAGAGTTGTTGGCTTCAGCCGAATCTACATGTGGGGCAGCCGTACGCGAGCCTTCAATGGGCTGGCCATCTACTTGTGTGTCTTCGATTGTTGAATGCATGTCAGCGTTGTGAGTCAGACTACCAAGTGTGTTGCGCTCAAGTGGGGCCGTGTCAACACTCGATACAGGAGGAATTGTTGATACAGGAGGAGTTGACACGCCCACGCCGTGAGATTCATTGAGGAGAGCACTGAGAGATGGGAGTCCGAAGTACAGTGAGGGATCATCCCAGTTCAATGACAGAGTGAAACTGAGATCAGGGAGACCAGGGTCAAATTGTCGAAAAGTTTCAGAATATTGAAACGGAGGCTGAGAGGAGTGTTGAATGTCATGTGCAGGAGGGACTGGGCCTGTCGTTCCAAGATCCTTGCTGGTATTGAGATCTAAAAGTGACTTTATTACATGGTGCACATTTCACCATTGTAAGAGACTCACCTGAAAAGCCAAAGCCAGCATCACCACACAATGGATCAGGGAAGATGAAGCCGTCCATGGATATGAGAATTTGTGCCAGCCATGCTGGCAAAAAAACTGTGCCATGCAAAAATTCACGACGTGCTGTTTGTCGACCAAAGAATGTGTCAAGATATTTGCAAAATCATGTAAAAAATTATTCACCGTAGTAATGTTGTGAATCTGCCAGCATCATGTGCAAGTCCAAATCCCCTGAGGAGGCGACTTCCAGTGATGTGATGAGATAGGCTGCACTTGAGGTAGGCAGGAAATGACCAACATTCCGCGAAACACCTAGTGCCTTCTTCAAGGCATTGCAAGTGTCCTGTATAAGCATCGCAAACGGTAGTGAAAAGAAATTGTGAACATAAGTATTGTCTATGCTACACTGACATGATACACGTACCGATGCAAGACCATAAGATAGTTGTGTTCTAGTTGCGGCACACGTTAGTATATTGCAAGGAGGTGCAGAACATGCGTGTACTCACAAGTCTCCAATCTGCTCCCACATAATCCCAGTTGAAAGTATAGTGCCTCTAGGCTGCAAGAGACGGTAATTTCTAGCACATAACTTGTAACTAGTCAGTTATGGTAGAACATATAGTGTGAATGAAAACTCCTTACCAAAATCAATGTGCATGGAAGTTGTGTGTTGGCGCTGGTGGGCCACATGCATGAATCTATATCGCCGTGGCTGTGAGGTAAACGTCCAACCTGCAATGGCACTGTTAAGCCAGGGACTGTCCTCTGCTGGCCTTGCACTAAGACCATGGTAGGAGTTGGAGACATCAGGAAGTTCAACAACCTGGGGCTCTTCAGCAACATCTACAACGACACACAATGATGGTTATTTTAGCTAAGTCTATTTTGCTTCCGTGTGGCTTCTGGGCCTGGACCCACATGGCTTACATCATACTACAGTGCACACAAGACCAAACTTCCAGGTCACCCTCCACCATCCATGTCGTCCAGTTGTCAGTGCAAAGTCTTCGTTATCCTTCTTCCCCAGATCATCCAGCAGTGGTTACCTAAATTCTGGGTCCTCCGGAAATTCGAACAGCACCTCTCAACCTATCTGTTCAACGAGCTACATCACTCAATACCATACACTTGGCCTTCTGTACGTGATTTGCCAGCAGTATTGTATGGCTGTGACTAAAATGATACAGCAGTGTGGGGGCAGGTCTGGTGCAGGCACGACACTTGAAAACTCCATGGCCCTTTGCATGCTTATTCGGTATGCTGCGAAGGTGAGGGAGGAAGATCCCAAGTACGTCTTTAGTTTCTGCAAGGCCCATGATATGGTGAGCAGGAGCGGCTTGCATGTGGGTAGGAGATGCTCAATGGGGCTTGCATGTGGGTAGGGGGTGCTCGGCCACTGATGTGGGTTTCGCGAGAGCAGCTCGCATGTACTGAGGTGCTGAGATGATGGATATGTCATTGCTCGTGGTCGAGATTTTAGTGTTCTTTAGTTGAAAACAATGATATTGCATACTGAACGCGCATTATGTGGTACTTTGCCAGATCAATGAACCATAGCGAAGTGCATCAAAGTATGTATCAACTCCCTGTTCCATCATTGACAACAACTCCTCCCATGCACGAACGTGCAAGTCTACCGCATCTACAACAGATGCTATGCCATCCCGCAATTGATCTGTGAGCGGCCCGTCAATATCACGGGCCTCAGTGCGCAAATCATATGCCTGCTGGACCACATCCTTTACCTCTGTGAGCCCTGCCTCACATCCCGGCTTGACTGAATCCCAACCCTCTCAGTCTACCTCGATCACAATCGACATCCCATGCGACTCCAGGAATTCATGTTGGAGAGTCCGACTGTGGTAACCTAGCATTAACCATAAGCTATCGAGACGTTGAAGCAGTTCTTGAGTACCCTAAGTGCAGATATTATCAGCAACATAAGTCAATTTCAGATGAATACTCACCGCAGCTGCCCCTTGATGACAGCGCCATCGTGTGCGGGACTTCACTTGTTCTTGAAGTCGGCGACTAGAGGTGCGTTACACGCTGAAGTGACAAGAACTAATAGTAACCTACCGCACATAGCTCTCCTTCTTTGATTTTAATCGAGCCTCATGACGCTCCTCTGCAGTTTTATACTTGGGACGCATGGTTCTATGGTACTTGCAGTTGTTGCAGAGAGATGAGCTGAAGCCGAGTCGATTTCTGGTAGATCTAAAGTTATGAGATTGCAAAATACACTGATTACTGAAGCACCATTCAGTGACACTTCGGGACACAAACTCCGTTCTACAAAATTCTACAGTTACTAGCCTTCAGACATGCTTCTGCGGTGCTCAACAGTCAATCACACTGATAATGCAAAGGTAGGGTGTTATCATCATTTCGTAGCATCCATAGATAATGTTCTACATAATCTAGAGTCCCGCTGTCAACACTCAATCTCAATCCAAATTAACAGCATTCATATATTCCGATAAGTCCTCAACCTGACCCCATAGCACATCACTTGATTGCGCTGATGAACTTGGAGTGGAAGGAGGTGATTGTGTGAATGTCAAGTCGGTTGGGGAGGGAGAGTTATCCCGCAGAACATCTTGGGCGAGACCCGAAGTTGCAATGTCAGTGTTCAAGACAGCGGGAATGTTTGACTACCAGGGCATGTCAGATGAAACAGTGCGCACTACTGACAGGGACAGTTACTGAGCCGGTTATTGTCTGGGTGATATCAGAGTCTACTTTGCGGGTCTTCTCACTGACAACTTTGGTCTCTGTAGCATCGACCGTTGTCTTTGTGTGGGTGACGGTTCGGCGGGACTGAGTCTGCACAGTACGTCTTGTCCATGTCCAAGTGATGGTCCCTGCGGCGTGATTCTGAGATGAAGGATCCGAAGCTACATTGATCAGTTACCAGAATGTGAGTGGAGGAATAATGCAACGTACCTCGTGGTGTAGCAGTGCTCTGATTCATGATCCTCACACAGAAACACGCTGATGGTATATGTCGCAGATCAGTGGCAGTAAGCAATGGTGCTGAAAGATTAGTCACGTGCATCTGTTGAGGTGCGCCGTGCAGGTGAGTAATTGTTGATCGCGCAAAGGTAAATCTATATATTTGTCGATGGCATTAGGACGCCCCAACAAACGACCACGCAACAAGACAGGACTTAGCAGCTCAAGGATCCGACATGTTGTGTCTCATCGGGACCGTGTGCTGCATCCGACACGAGAGGTCCTAGGCCCAAGTAAAATTGCTGAGCGGGCAGCTGGTATGAATGTCTGCAAACGAGCTCGCATTGAAGGTGAGCTTGTATTTCCCAAGTGTTATGATAACTGACCAAATAAAAATTACCTAGCACTGACGGCAGATAAGAAACGCGCACTTGAGGCGCTTTGAGAACAGGACGACTTCAGTTTCGGGACTCACAATGATGCCGGTATGAACATTCTCGATGGATCTGAGCCAGTGGACATCAGTCATGCGGGAGGAGAGTTCCATGAGCTTACCAGAGAGCTACTAGGGGATTTCTACAACATGTGAGTACCTTAATGATCACACAACTTGTACTTACTGAGATGATCCTGGGCCAGAAATGCCAATGCGAAGTCTCGCAGGCCAGACTACAGGACAAGGTGTGATAGGACACGGCGGCATACCGAGGCGTTTGATAGACAGATGCCAGCCTTAACAAAGGCATACCTTGATTGGCATCTGTCAGTAAGCAATGCTGCCAGCGGCGACTGCGGGTTTTTTGCGCACCATAAGAAGAGTTCTCAGGAGAACACACTGGAGATTAATGGTTCCATCCAGATCAAGGTGGTGGATGTATTCTGTATGACGTACGTACTCATGAACATGCGCTGTGCTGACATACTACATGATAGGCGCTGAGAAAGTTGCTCTCACCATACTATCGACAGATTCATTTGTTGCATCAGCCCTTGTACGACAAGGTATCATTCCCTCTTTGCCCATAAGTCCAACTACTGGCTTAACAGTACAGGCTCTCAAACTCTATCGCATCACATGTCAATGAAATCCTCATTTTTCTATTCAAGCTTACGTAAAGACGTTGTGTGACTTACAAGGGGTGCGTACTAATGTCTTGTGTCAACACCAGAACACTCAATGATTGAACAGGTTCAATTTTACCCTTATCTATCTTGGCAGTTCTCGATTGCGCTGGACGCTTACCTACAGATTCTCGCCAGTGTCAATATGCTAGTCTATGAAGTGCTTCACTGTGGAGACCCTCAATGGCGCTTAAAACATGCTTGTCCAGCATGCACATACAAACTGCAAGGTGAAGTCCCCATGAAGTTCAGCTTACTCTATGCAATGGACGGCAATGACTCACTTAAGTGAGTCTTGAAAAAGTCGATGCAGGACGATCTGGACACCAAGGACAATTCTCCCTTGGCCCCATGCTCATCAGAGCTACCTACCATGCAATTTGTCAGTGGTGACCGTTATTTGTTAAACGACTACATCAAACAGTTCTCAAGAGACTCGCCTGCAGATATGCTATCACTTGATGACGATGAGGTATATTTTTTCATTCTTAACTTCACACTGTGCTAATTCAACTACAGGACAATCCTTGCGCAGGACACTGGAAAAATATGCGAGATGAGAAGACAAAGAAGATGTGGGGCATTTTCGACGAGTCAGGCATATTCATGTCTATCTGTAGGCATGGTTTCTCGCTCGTCATAGCTGACATGGTCCAAAGCGGAGAACAGTACGTCAATGTTGCTCTATTTCAATGCTTGCTTACTGACTTGTTTCTCAGAGCAAAGTACCCTCTGGCGGTTGTCTCAACACTTCTCGATACATTCGGTAGTGACCTCGGAGGAGGTTATGATATCGGATGTCACTTCAAGACCACGCTCAGCCAAAGCACACTAGGTCAACGCGCACAAGAACTCAATCACACCTCCCTCGTTAGTGCCTTCCACAGACATGCTCACCAACGCCTTTGTCAGCTCAATCACCTTGCAACGTATGTCAAAGGCCTGGGACTAGAGGACCTCGAGGGCTGCAAATGCACATTTTCGAAGTCCAACGCTCTGGCCTCCTCTGTGTGATATGCAAGCACCTTTCACCGGCATCAAGCTATTGCCAATTATTTTCAGCACAATGATGATCACGAAGTCTACGCAAATCTTAGTGAGTTCTTTGGCTTGTTGCGCTATGTTTTTGATTACAGAAATGCTATCCTACGTACATTCTTGTATAATAACTACAAGCAAGCCCTTCGTATACTCTCTGACGGACGACAATCCCTGCCAAGACTGATGCGAGAGCTTGGGGTAGAGGATGTCAGCATATTTGATGCTTGGTTAGCCGAAGAACGAACTTACCTCACATCGTTGACTCACGAGCCCAACCATGAGACGCTACAGATGGAGTACTGGCAAAAGCTGGTGAACCTTTCGGGTAGCAAGTAAGTGTTTGTTGTCCGTCCATTTTTGAATGTTAACGAGGCCTTTAGGAGAGATCTCGATGCTACTATGACCGCTTGGTCTGTGACTACACCAAGCACAGTACAGTTTGGACCTCGCGACATTGCATCGAAAAACAAGGTCGAGACCACCCGCAGGCACGCTATGGAGAATTACAAGAAGGACTTGAGAGTTGTCCAAGAACTCGAGGCGAAGCTTGGCGTGGCATGTAGATGGGTCCTGGAAGATCAGGAATGGAAGGATGCTGGACATCTTGTAGCCAAATGTAAATTCCAACGCGCGCTCGATCACCTTGAAGGTCTCGTTGTGGCTCGAATCTTCGAGCTTGCAAAGATGAACCAAGCAGGAACAGGTGAGTGATCATGGCGCTCATATTATACTTGGTATTAACAAAGTTTTAAGGCTACAAACTTCGGAAACACATTGGCAAGGCTTTACAAGTGCGCTCGGCAGCTATCCGCACAGCACTCGACAAGTATAACGCTGCTGCACGGGCACTCTCTCCTCCACGTTCCACCATTTCATGGGAGGATGTTGTTGAATATGCTTTTCTAGCTGACTTCGACCTGCTCCGCGATGCACTCGACAATATATCGCATCGTCCTTGGGCAACTCCCACTGGTCGCCAGACCATGGACACCTACTTCAAAATGTGCCGTGCGCGCGAGGAGATACACCGTCTCAATGTTGAAATTCAGTGCCTAGCTACATATCTACACGACGAAGACCATTACCTACTGGAGTGCGAGAAAAAACTTCAAAATCTGCATCCAGCACTTGCTCATCAAGTCGGTTTGCATCGCAGGATTCGCGCGAGATTCATGGCACATCACTACCATCGCCTGGATGAGATAAGCGCACTAGATGGCTTTACAGGGTCCATCGAGCGAGGGGAAAGCATTGAACGAGGAATGGGTGCCAGTGCATCCTCCCCCACAGCTTGCATTCCCCCCCAGCTCATTGCGGATGTGCTTCCCATGCTACAGGGAGGCATTGACAATGACTTGGAGGACCTTGAGGCAGACGAGAATGATGATACCAATGGCGAGGAGAGTGCTCATGTACTGGAGGATATTCTCCAGGTGACTCTGGATGTTTAATTACTTTTCATGTAGTACTATACATACATCTATATATCAGTCAGAGTCCGCCTTCCATTGGTGCACATCCACGCGAGATACACGAGCTCGCTGTCAGCAACAGCGAGCACAAATGGTTGATGCTGACGTGGTCTCGCCTATTACGTCCGACAGCCGGCGGCATTCTAAATGAGCTAATATTAGCACGCGGGGTACGGGGATAGGTGCCGACACTGCCGGAACACCAGCAGCACTCTCTCTGCAGCACTGAAGGCCTGTCAGTATCCAGCCTTTATTCATTTGGCTGGTAACAACTAGAAATACGTCGTTTTAGACCTGTCAGTACACGTAGCTGTCATATCTAATTACATCAGGTACGTGAGAACCACAGGTGGCAATGACGCATACCTGTCGTATTATGCGCCGAATTGGTCAAGGCGTGATGCACAGACGTTTCAGATACATAGTAGCGCCATTCGCTAACTCGAATGTATTCATTAGCAACAGTCATCTTTGTGGTTACACTGCACCTCTCCCTTCCAAAGAATTTTGATATCGGGCCATATAAACGGTGAAGTAAATGTGAGGTTTAGCAGTGGCAGCTTTGTTGCTAAGGGTTCGTGCTGCGGCTGGGAAGAACTTTCTACGCTTGCAGAACTGGCAGAACCTGACATGCGCGGAAGTTCTGCCACATTCTGCAGGAAAGGTTCTGCCACTGGTTCTGCCCACAATACTAGCAATATGGCAATGTGCTGGCATTAATCGTAAATATGTATCCATTTGAAGGCACATCGACGCAACAGTAATTCCGGAGAACCACATAAAAGCCAGCCGTCTTCCTACTATCGCCTTCAGAATTACCTGATCCCGCACACACTATTCGCAAAGAATGCATTTCTCATCCGCAATTGTGCTCGCTGTCATTGCTGCTTTAGTATCATCAAGCTCTGCCATGCCCACTACTAGCGATGCAGCTGGCCTCGACGGCCGCGATCCGAGTCAGAAATGTCCCTCAACATGCGAATCAGACTTAGACTGCGAAGCTGAAGGATGCAATAAATTATGCGTGAGTATCAGCATTTTCCTGGACCTGATAACATAACTCACCTGCATGACAGATCTTCGGTTCTGGGTGAGTCACATTCTTGATTTTACATCAGTGGAGTATGGCCGTTGACACTGACGCGCGAGTTAAGGGTGCTGATGTGTAGAGATGAGTGACACACTGTGGATGTAGCAGCGTATCACCGCACTTTGGGGCAAAGTTTTGGTCAGGAGATGTGGGGGAAACGTCAAAGAATTTACATCATAACCTTGATATAAACGAGCAACAATGATCTTACTTTTTGTACAAGCCGTGCGATCGAGAGATTTCCGACATACACCTGCCAAAACTTCGAAGACGCTCGAGGTTCGGTTCGGGAAGATTCGGGTTCGACCGAGGTTCAAAGCCAGACTGCGGCAGCTAGATGAAGCCAACAACGTGCTATTGGCAGATGTGGAGATAATCATGTTTCATTGTGAAATGAGTGAGGACGACTTCGAGATTATGAACTTGCTGATAAAAGATGCGACAAGAATGTTCTGGAGTCACCTCTGGTCTTTGATTGAAATCAAGAGGCAAAGTGTGGAAACCCCGATCAGAGTGAGTTGCTGGTATGCTCCAAATCCGTAGCGGCGGGCGAACCCCCGACTGTGCCTAGTGTAGGAATATTCCGATACCAGAACTGAGCGCTGAGCTGCAGCCTGGGGAGGCCTGTCATGGTATTGACCTCATGTCACAAAATGACTCTCAATAATACAACATGGATATGACTAAGCCAGACTTTTGTACTCTTCCCAACGAGTTTATCCCCGCCAGTCAAAATTATCCTGCGCTATAGTACATACCACAACCACACGTTCCCTACTTCAAAAGTCACAGCCGTCTACATCACTTCTTCAATCCATTCCCAAAATATCAGCAAGATATCATGCAGGCGAGCTCGCATGTCGCAGCTGGCCTTGCTCTGGCAGGTGCTTTGCTGACTGGTGTTGACGCTGCTATTCAGGCGGTAACTCGTAATGGAAGATACCTTTATACCGCGGACGGGAACAGGTTTTATATCAAAGGTGTAGCTTATCAGGAGCAAGGTAAGGACGTATTGATAAACATCAAGTCGACTTGATGTTTGCTACCGTCAAATGTCACGTCAATGCTCACAATAACATGCAGGTGCGGTAGTCGCGAGCGCAAGCAATCCCTTTCTTGAGCCATCTACTTTCATCGATCCCCTGTCCAACGGCACTACCTGCACCCGTGATCTTCCCTACTTGCAGGAGCTTGGTGTCAATGCTATCCGTGCCTATAGCATTAACTCATCGTTGAACCATGATTCTTGCGTGGAAACATTCAGTAATGCTGGTATTTATACTATGTGGGTACCCATGAAGCATTTTCAGCCTACCAGTCCATTGACATCGTCTAGCATCGATCTTTCTCTACCTGGAAATGGTTCGATGGACCGCGACGCGCCGTCCTGGACCACCAATCTACTTGATTTATACATTGAGACCATCAACATCTTCTCAAAATACAACAACGTTCTGGCTTATAACGTTGGAAATGAAGTCGTCATCGCAGCTAACGGCACCGCTGCTGCTACCTTCGTCAAGGCAGCTACTCGTGATGTAAAAGCATACCTGTAGGTTAAACCTGAATCCCCAGATACATGTAAGTCTCCGTAACGCTGGCTTGAAATCACAAGAAACTCACCTGTCTGCTGCGCTCATACAAGATCACTACAAGGGCATATAATATGATCAACAGACGTGCGTGCTGATATAAGCTTCACAAGACCATATATGATCATTTACGCTACGTGTTGTTTTGTTGATGCAGGTCACTGAGCTCAGCGCTCAGTTCTGGTATCGGAATAGTCCTACACTAGGCACAGTCGGGGGGCTCGCCCGCCGCTACGGATTTGGAGCATACCAGCAACTCACACTAATCGGGGTTTCCACACTTTGCCTCTTGATTTCAATCAAAGACCAGAGGTGACTCCAGAACAGTGATTTCACTTGCGGCAATTGGTAAATCTCAGGTGTCAGGAAGAGGTTGTTCTTTCTTGTCGCATCTTTTATCAGCAAGTTCATAATCTTGAAGTCGTCCTCACTCATTTCACAATGAAACATGATCATCTCCACACCTGCCAACAGCACGTTGGCTTCGTCTAGTGTTGCCGCAGTCCGGCTCTGAACCTCGGTCGAACCCGAATCTCCCCGAACCGAACCGAACCTCGAGCGTCTTCGAAGTTTTGGCAGGTGTATGTCGGAAATCTCTTGATCGCACGGCTTGGACAAAAAGTAAGATCATTGTTGCTCGTTTATATCAAGGTTATGATGTGAATTCTTTGACGTTTCCCCCACATCTCCTGACCAAAACTTTGCCCCAAAGTGCGGTGATACGCTGCTACATGCACAGTGTGTCAGTTAGGTTGACACATATTCACCCTTAACTCGCGCGTCAGTGTCAACGGCCATACTCCACCGATGTAAAATCAAGAATGTGACTCACCCAGGACTCTGGCGGTACTGTCATGCAGGTGAGTTATGTTATCAGGTCCAGGAAAATGCTGATACTCACGCAACATTCATTGCATCCTTTAACTTGGCAGTCTGGGTGCGTGTCGCATTTTGAGGGACATTTCGGATTGTGACCAGGGAGGCTAGCTGCATCGCTAGTAGTGGGCATGCATCAGGAAAAAACCCAAAATGCCGTAGGCTGGGTGATGGCTATATAGCGCTTTTTAGGCACAGTAGCACTATGTAGGCACGGCTTACGCTACAGTGACCTATATAGCGCTATATAGTCTTAAGCCATGCTACAAGCGGCTATATGGTTGGGGGATGCTACAGGTAGCTACAGGAGCTACCACTGCGGCTACAGGCAGCTACAGGGTAGTATGTACATGACGCGTCGTTGTATCTAATCACTTTATAACACATGCGCAAAACATTTCGCCATCAATGAACTCGTTGAAATAAAAATCGTTCGCCACCTCGTATGCATTTCCGCTTCTCAACCTCAAATCTACTGACTGTCCCATCCTCGGTATTAAATGGCACGGCCGCACGATTTCGTCAACGTGGACTACAGCAGCGTTGCGGCGAAGTTGGCGGGTTGAGCGCGAGACCTGTCGCATTCGAGAGGAAGGGTCGGGTGGTTTGAAAGGTGTGAACCACTCGACATAAGCGAGGGCTCTGGAATATGCGCCGAACTGGTGAGGTAGGGTGAAAATAGCACGAACATGGGCTACTCGTACACTTGAAACAAGACTATTATCAAAATTGACCGCTGAGAAACTCGGCAAAAAAAAAATACCCTCAAGAGTATGCAAATGCGAAGAGCAAGGCCTGTCTGCTATCAATGCCATGTCAAACTGGGCTGGGGTACCAGGCTTCCAGCCTGACGGCAACTTTTCTGGAGTTGCTCTGATGTGCCTTCACTTTGGCACGTTGCTAACTCGTAAATCTGGTGGCATCACAATCACCACTTGACGATAAAGATCAAATCGGTCTTGAAGACCAGGGACTATGGTGTTGTGCGGGAGATTCTTGAGTAAGAATGATCGGAGAGCAGGGAGGAACTCAGTAGCACTGTGTGCTGTTATGATGGTTTGAACTAGTGCTGCCATGGTCCAGTTCAGGGGGTCCAGGACGAGAACCGAGAACCGAACCATGGTCCGGTTCTGCAAAATCTTTGAACCTAGAACTGGACCATCGAGAACCGTTCTTTGTGGTCTGGTCCAGTTTTTTTCTGGTCCGAACTCGAACTGAACTGAAAATTTTTCTATAGTGAGCACAAAAAAAATGTTGACAAAATGCTAGTCTACACATTGAGTAGCTAGTCTAACATAATAGCCGCAAACTCTTCTGCCTCTGTAGCTGCTGAAATATGACCATTGCGGTAACCTGCCTTCAATAACTGGAGTGCAGAGAATGTAGCTGGGGCCAGTGCATTGCAGCGCAGTGTTGATGTGATCCCCCCACTAGAGAAGGCACATTCAGAGGGAACTGCACTGCCCTGAATAGGTAAATAATCGCGCACAATACGAGATAGTGTTGGATACTGTAGTGAGTGTAGCTAATCAATAGAGTGAGCTCAGAATGTGATAATACAAAGAAAAACTTTCCCCCCACCATGCCACAATATTATCTGTCTCTTCCAATGGCGAAGTAAGATATGACGAGAGTTCTTGAAGCGGTCACACATGCAATTGTCTGCTGCTTGACGTGCTATGACAGCATCGCACATCCAGGATTGGCCATACCAAACACCCTGCGACACTTTTGTTGGCACAGTAGCGTGTTCCATGGTGTTGGTGCTGTTGGTGCGTGACATCGGAGGTGCTTTGTAATATTTATTGAACTACACAACAATCAGCTGGCAGAATATTTAAGTGAAATAAAACTTACCAAGGCTTGAAGACGAGCCCTCCCACTTGCAACCTTTGCAACGCTCCAACGACTTTCGACATACGCCAACTTGTAGTTGGGGTCAAGAACTATACAGACAAAGTATACATCAGAGTCGTTAGTTTTCTGATAGTACTTTGCCACGTTCTTGAGGCCTTTCTGAATTGCGTCAGCGATTGGTGCATATTCTGCACTGTTGGCCATCGTCTGCCACGTATTGGCGAGACACTCCAGTGTAGGAATGGTTTGTGAGGCTGTTGGGTGTGCGGCTGAAGAGAAAGACTGCTGTGCAGTTTCAGGCTCCTATATTAAACATAAGTTAGTAAACAAGTAGACGAACAAACGAAAAAAATAGCTACCTTGAGGACATTACACACAAGCTGTATCTTCTTCCAGTCAAGCCGATCAAGCCTGAAGTCGCTGTATGATTTGTTGTGCAATGTCGGGACTTCAGGACTCTTGTCAGCAAGCAGGGTGAAGCGGTTGATGGCCAGATGAAGAGACACAAAATGTTCCAGGCATTTGAACAAAGATGCCCAGTGCATTCTCACCCAGGCCAAGATCTCTTGAACGGGGATTCCCTCTTCCTCACAGGACTTCTTCAAGAACGCGTGGGCTTGTGGGGATTTGCGAATCTAAATTTCGCGTCAGAAAACAACTTGGAGACCAAAACTAAGACTTCACCTGTTCAATGAGAGCAAGTGCCTTTCCAATGGCATCCCCAACATCAAACCCATCCTCGGTTATAGCTTCAGGATCATCCTCCAGTATAGTGAGCTGTTCAGTCAAGCTGGCAATGTCAGTCTCATCACCAATATCAATAGCACCGCGGATCTTTTTGAGTAATGTTGCTTGAGGGGTGGGTGCGACTGCGTCAATGAAATGACGTGCAGCAAGATTGAGGATGTGCTCTTGATATCGGATGCGGCAAGAACCCGGAAGCCAATGAGTGCCATCCTCATCAATGACCTTTGCTACTTCTTTCATGGCGGTATCATTGTTCGAGGCGTTATCTGATGTCATCCATCCAACCTGTACATACAAGTAAAGTTAGTCTAATGCTAATGCGAAACATTTAAAAAAAACTTACCTTCTTGCGAATGCTGAACCTATCTATGGTCTCAACAAGTATGCGGCTAATGTTATGGCCACTGTGATTGCCTTCGACGCAGCTGAAAGAAAGCTGCTCATTTTTCAACTCCCACTGCAGTGGCTGTCGGGAGGGTTCCAAATGTAATGCCCAGTAACGGAAAAGAAAGGTTCACCAATAATTGACGTCCACGAGTCAAATGTCATGGAAACTGCACTGTCAACATGCTACCAAAATGTTTTAAAGGACTGGTCACAATATAATTAGAAAAAAAACATACCGCCAGACGTTCTTTGATAGTTTGAACAATAGAGGTCGCTCGAGCCTTGATTGTATCAGTTAACTTCGTGCAATGCGGGATGTCTTTTTCGGTAAGAGATGGATGTGCGTATTGCAGTAAACGTCAGAATGCTGGCTTATCGATTAACTGTATTGCCTAGCATGATGTAAATAAACTTCGAATGAATAAAATTAAAAAAATTGACATACCTCGTCTTCCATCACAACCAGTTCCATAATATATTCAAGTAGTCCATCCTTGGTAAACATGGGGGGTTTTAAAACAAGGTTGGTGTCAAGAGTTGTTTGCATCACGGTGAGATGATCTTCTCCTGGCGGAATAGCACGAGGGTGCATACTAATGCTTGCAGCATCACAGTACTGCTTGTACACTTGAAAGTGGGTCTTCTTGTGGTGAACAATGTGTGTGCGCAGTGTTGAAGTGCCTCTGTGAAAGGTGTGCTTGTGTGCTGGTTCACCAGCATCCCTTGTGTGAAAGTTTTTAAAAAATATTGAAAATGAGATGGATGACTTACTTGCACAGGGTACACACCCACCCATCAGGACTGCGAGTGAATATAGTCCTAACATCTGCTGTACGTTCATTTTTTGAAAGCTAAATATACAGGTGTTAGTGAAGGAAGGAAGACAATCAACATGAAAGATACATACTGTCTGAGTGATGACTCCATTCTTGGACTTGGCATCATCGGTGTCATCTAAGTCTTCGACATCTGATTGAGGGACCAGCTCATCAGCGGATGATTCTCCTGGATCGACGTCCTTGTCTTCGTCTTCATCTTCAGAGTCGAGAGGCGATAAAAATCGCATAGCGACTTTCTTCGGTGCCGGATGGTCTGTAGTGCTTGACAATGCGCGTTTCCTTGTGCCTGAAGACAGCCCACAAACATTGTCAGCATCACGCATACAAGCTGAGGGCTTTAAGGGATGGCCAGACCGCCAAGAACCAACTGTTGCTGGGGTACGTCCAGCTTTGAGTAGAATGGAGTAGGCATCTCTTGTAGATGCAGTTGATGTCGATGGCTGGGTGGAAGGTGGGACATTGGGAAGGGGTACATCGTCGTCAGGATCATTAAAGAAAGTGATATCAGCAGCATCCTTGAGGGAGCCATCAGCGTTAAGCACACAGGCGTCTTGAGACATTGTCAGATGACAGAGATAACTCACAATGTTGTCATCAGTACCTCGTTTTGTACATGGAGCAGGGAGCCAACAACCATGCACCCCAGAACAAAGACTTGAGAGCTGGTGGAGGATCATGACTGTCTAGGAAGTGTGCAGACTTGAATTAACATATATCTGTGACATAGTCAAACATATGTCAGTGGGCAAGAATATTGATGATTTGATTAGTTAGTACTTACCTTCAAAAATGCTAAAGATTGCCTGATTAACCTAGAGCACAAATCCCGAAGACGACAGTCTGATGTTGAGGCCAATGTTGTCGAAGTCGAAGTTGAAGTTGATCGAAATTGAAGTTGAAGTTGACAACAGTTCGGAACAGTTCGGGAAGGCCAAACCAAAATAGAACAGTTCAGGGATATGTAGAACCGAGAACCACCTTCCGGTCCGGTTCTGGCTGATGCGAGAACTGTGGACTGAACCACAGAGAACCGGACCAAAAGTCTGGTTCGAACCGTGGTTCTGGACCGGACCGCGGCAGCACTAGTTTGAACAGATTGGTGAGGATGCACGGGGACTTTTGCAAGGACATGGGTTGCTTGAAGTGGTTCAGCGGCAGGAAGATTTGGTGTTTCCGACTCTGAGTCCATGTCTGAATCTGCGTCGACGTCATGTGGGTTTGAGTGAGGCTGTTGTGACAACCAATCCAGGTATGCACTATGTCACGAGTACCTTTAACAAATCACTATTCTTTCTTGAATCTTCCTAAGTGCCAATACACAGCGCCTAAGTCAAACCCTAACCCTACCCTGAAAGCGTCTATCATTCCTGAAATACCTTTAGCGCCCACGACACGTGTCTTCGATGTGATTGATGAAGAAGATGAGTTCTTTGATTGTGAATAGATTAGATTAGATACGATAAGATAAGATATGGTCACGTGATGCTTCTTTAATATTCTATGATGTTCTATGGTACGATTCCCTTTTCCTTTTTATGATTGGCTGGTAGTTGTATCTCAGTTTCAATCTCAGTTTCAATAGTTGTATATAGGTAGCACATCTTGGTCGATAGTTCTTTAGTTCAAACCTCTTGTATCTACACTGTAGCAATCCAAGACGTACCTGCTCATCATCTTTCTTGTTGTGATAACCTTAGTCTGAGTCCTAGTCTCCGCCCAGCGTTAATTCATTATTGGGTTGTGACACACTACATATAAACACAGCTTCCTGGCGTTGGAGCCACAAAGCCATTTGTTCCTCATAGTCCCGTTTATTGCTAGCATGGTATGAGTCCTTTGCAAAATCAATGTGCAAGTGCTCAGGAAGTTCTGTGTTAAAGCCATCAGCTGCGCCAAACAACGTGATGGACTGTACATAATGAGAGAGCTGGTGTAATTTCAGTATGTTGAAATGCTCTTGAACAGTGAGCTCCTTGAGGATGTCTTTATTGGCGTGAAATACAGTCAGGGCGGTTTGTAGGGCTTCGAGGGACTCAGTTGTCTGAATGTGCAGCTGGGCATAATATGAGAAGTCGAGAATAGATTGTGCAACTACCAAAACATGACTGCCAGGCATGACATCAAAACATCATCTTAACGACTTGATAAACACATACCTAGGTACTGCCCTGCTCAATAAGCCAACAAATACTTGCTCGCATAATACAGCAACATTCACCCATCTCAGACGGACAGCCGAGTGTGACAATGTACCGTTGGGAACGGGCCATCCCATGTGGGCCCATGGACATAATTGTACCATGATATACGAGTGGGCCAGGTGAATGTGTGTACCCAAGACACACAGATGGGCTGAGGGTACATTATATAGACAGTGGTATAGAAATGTATCAGTATATAGGACATTATAAATGCTAATTCCTGTTTACATTGGAGACAAGTGGGCCAGCCGGATGTGTGTACCCAAGGTAAACAGATGGGCCGACCATATGAGTGGGCTGAGTGAATCTGTGTACCCAAAGCATACGGATGGGCCGAGAGCATACATTATAGATAGTGATATAGGAATTTACTAGTATAAATGACATTATGAATGCCAAATCCTGTTAATGATGGAGACGAGTGGGCCAGCCAGATGTGTGTACCCAAGGTAAATGGATGGGCCAGGGGTATATAGTATAGACTGGTACAGGAATCTACTCGAATAGCAAATCCGGTGTAAAATGGAAACAACCGAGCTGGACAAATGATATACACCGGAGATCTGGTCAGATTATCATCTGGCAGGTGCATCAATATTCTCACTGGCCTATGATCCAGTACAGGCAAATATACAATCTGGTGTATCTATGATTCAGTACAGGCAAATATACAATCTGGTGTATCTGTCATCTCACAAGCCTGTTGTCTGGCACATCCACTATCATATGCTAAAAACATTGAACAAGTGAATATCAATCAGAGTAGACTAAAATATACATCATCACTTGTCTAGACATCTTTCTTCTCAACCGGGTCACTACGTTGTACATTGCCATATTTTGCATAGTCTGTCCTTGGAGTTCCAACAAAATTATGGATACTATCTCGCATGTACCACGCAGTGACAATCCGGCTACCCTGTTCAACATGCATGTGATGTCTGACAAGGCGACATGATGAGGCTAACATTGACCCGGAGTCATATAGAAACTTGATGCCAAGATTCATGAAATCCATTATGACCAGATGATAAATGCCTGCAGTTGTCATAATATCAAATGCCTCCAGTCAACATTTTGGATCTCTATGAGGTGGTGACCGGTGATTGCAAATGACTGACACTACATTGAAGACATATGCCTAATGTTTGAGATGATGGTACATGTCTTGTCACTGATACTGGGTCGCCCATTCACTGAGCCGGACTTGAGTTTTGATTCCAGCCCGATATAGATTTGGGTGCATGACCCGAAGCGCAGCAGAGACAAGGATACCGGACCTTTGAAGGGAGGTTGTGATATTGCAACCAACATCACCTTTCAATGCAGCGGATACCTGAGGTGAGAAGCCATCTTCCGGATCAAGTTTTGGGAAACCATGTTTCTACAATACTTTAGACTGGCAACACCAATTGATGTGAACTGGACATACCTCTCTGCCTTGCTGAAACCAGGCAGGTGATATATTGATGCAACCAGGTGTGATCTTCCCATCTGGACTCGGATAGAAATTGGACTCATGGGTCCTCCATTCAGTAGCCTTCCTGGTGGTGATGCTATCGTTCAACAGATTTCCTATGGAATTTGTGGTGCATTGCATGTCTGTCTGTGAATATTGTCATATACATCCGGATGAGATGAAATAAGAAATGAATGTGGATATAAGACAAACCATTATCATACCAGTCATGGCTCCGGGCAAATACCAGACAATTATTCTGCCTCCAGAATCAATGATGACACTCGGTGTTCTTAGGACAACCTGTTCTGCAGGAGGGAATTTGTCTAAAAGAGTTTGCTCTTGTTTCTCACTTCGTCCAGATTCATATTTTTCCAGAGATTCATTGTATCTGACCATGTCAATTTTGAGATGAACTGTTGCCAAGTTACTCGACCAGCACAGATATATATGTGAGAATGCATACCAGGATTGAAGTAAGCAACAGCCAGGACATTGGCAAGCTGCTCCAAAGCAATACAAGTGTCGACATCTAAAAGTCCAACACTCATTGGCTTTACCGGTTGTCGATAAATCTTGGACATGAAGGAGTCATAAACCAATTCACCGGCAAGGTAGGTCTGGTATAATGCCCAGTCCGGTGGAATTGTTGTCATGTGTTGAGGAAATAAATGAGTGGTTAAAGTATGAGGAAAGAAAAGTGTTTGATGAATCCGTAACTGGATAACAATGAGCAGGAATCCGTGTCACATGCAATGAACCAGATTTCATCTTCGAAAATCACCACCCATTTACATTGCATTTTAATATACATGAGTATAACATGTCTACTGAAGGCTTCCAGATGTCAGATTGGGCTTGACCATACGGATGCACTGTCATCTGTATTCAACCGGTCCATTAGTGATTGTGAGGACACCACAGCCCTAGTGAGTTCAGCAACCGGCCCAACTACTCCGGCCAACTTATCACTTGAACTCAAAAGGTTTGTCATCCTTCTCTGCAAAATTTCCAACAGCTCTCTACCAATTGTCGTCTGACGGCACTGCTCAAGAGATGCTGATCCAACCATGTCTGGTTAATGAACCAGGCCAAGTGTGAGCATATACAGGAGGAGGTCGGTTTCCACATGATTCGGCTATTACAATGCAAGTAAGACTTAGTGAGGATCTAGTGTAGGAGGTCAAGATCTCATGGACTCACGAGTTCTAAAAAATGGCCCTCAACCAACTCCATCACATCTTGGACAGATGATTTTGGCAACATGTCTAGCACCCTGCAAGAGCCCAGGTTCTCCTTTCACCAGGCATTAAAGTAGTTTGGCATACAAGCGATGTCATATTCATCTGATGTGGCGGAATTGACAGAGAGAGGCAATGCTTTGATTTCCATGAGGACCTCATTCACATCCGGTTGCTGGTTCATCAATTTATGCTCAACCAAAATTGCAATCACATTGTGGAGAGGTTTTGGAATGGTGGCAGAGCACCTGCTCAGGAAGGATATGTTGATGAATGGAGTTACAAAAGTCTATATGACAGGCACCATTATTTGAGTGCAAGATAAGAATTGTCTGGTTGACCGGACAACCAGACAACTGGATGCTTACCTCCATTTCCCATTGCATGAGTGTGTAAAAAATTTCTGCATAATCAGGCATGGCGGTGGAAAGCTCTTGTCAATATACAGGCGCATGGCCAACAAGCGAGAATTGGCGTAGAACAAAGCACGAGAAATATCTCTGGTGGTGATCTCACCATCCGAGTAGGCCACAATGATTTGATCAGAGGGAACCAAAGTGACGGTGTTGTTCATGGTGAGTGTATGACGATGATGCGATGGTGAGACAAACAAAGTTTGTTTTATGCCCACATTTTCAATATAACTACATATTAGCTAATCTGGGAACTATGTAACCGGTACCGGTACTATGAATTATGTAACAACCGGTACTTCCAACTGAATGACCAGAATCACTTTCTGAAACAACTCCGCTGCATGTGCAGCTAGTTGTTGATATATGTGACATTGTCGGGCAGCATAACATGTATTTCCGGTCAGCCCAGTGAAAGTGGCATTGTCCATGAGACTTAACCATTGCTTGGCCTTGTAGGTAAAGAAATTGACAGACCACTGCATTTCATGTTTGACAAGAATGACCTCTTCATTCCAACGATCACACAGGGCCTTTGTCCGGAGCCAATTGACTCTATAGACTGTTGTTGCAATATGTGAGAGCGGATCACCCAATATCACCAGATATGCTGGATACTCACATTCTGTTATCCAGTCATTTCCGGATGTATCACCCTGAGCATTTATTGACCAGAACCATGCAAGAGTAGTGTCCCTCTGACCACGTGCATTTGGATCTGCAACTGCGGCATTTGCCTTCAGGTGTTCTTTCTTTAGCGGAAGATATTTCTTCAGCAGGTCGTGATCAGGGAGTTTTGCTAGCTGCAACCGACATTTTGAATATATCCTGGCATTGAGATTGACTACCATTTCCACTGAGCGAACCTGAGTCCATGCCCTGGTGGAGGAGGCTTGTGACTTGGCTGACCGGATAGTATTCCGGAATATAACAGCTTTATCTCCCAGATGAACTCTAATTGCATGAAGGGCATCATTGGCCTGACCTTCATGAAGGGCAGTTTCTTCTTTCATGAGATCAGTGAGACCCAATTCATTGCATCTCACTATACTGAGGTTGGAAGGCAAAGGTAAGATAGTGAGCTCAGGTTGAAAGATGGAGGCATGATGTGTTTCCGGATCCGGATCCGGATTGTGATCATCGAGATCAGAATAATCTTCATCCGGTGAATTATGAACCCTGTCTACCAGAGAATCTGGTTCATTGCCATCAACCACAAATCCAAGATAGGTAGGTGCCATTTCAAGAAAGCTTGTAATGCGAGTTTGCAGCTTATCTCTGAGTCGGGCTACTGTCAACAATTGAATGTCTGTAGAATGCCTTCCGAGCCTTTTCACATCTCTAGAGAGAGAGAGAGATTTGGGATTCTTCTATGGTGAGACCAGTTGCGAGCCAAGTGGCTGCTCCTCGTCGACTAAGGGAATTGGTAGCTAGATGATCCAGGTGATTTTGAGCCTCCAGCAGGTGCAACTCCTGCTGCTTTCTAGTTGGAGCTGTAGATTATGCCATCCGGATAATAATCAGTATGTGATCGGGCCCGGATGAGTAGTAGTAGAATTTGACACTTGCCTTTTTTCCAACCAGACCTCATAAATGTCCATGGCTGTTGGATCCTCCAGTCTGTTTGCCTGAGCAAGAGCCTCCTCTGCTTCCCAAAGAATGACCATGACAGGCTGAACTGTCTTGTTAAAATTTTGGAATGAGAGTGTGCTCTCTGCAGCACCCTTGACAGCCTCTTTAAACTTTCTGCAAAGAAATTTGGCTGAGGGGCAGGTCAGCTGGGAATGACTTATATGAGACTGGGACATATTTGTACATCTGGATATTGGCAACTCACTTATGCGAATCATTTTCATGAAGTTTGAATCATTCATCTGATAATCCAATACCTCCTTGCGATGAGGAGTTCCCATGCCCCTGGCTGACGGGGAGATTATGTTTAAAGATGCCCAGAGTGTTTCCATGATCTCTCCGTCTATCCTGCCAGTCCCATGGATAAAATTTGATGCATATCAGACATAGCAGCTGTCCTGATGGCCATGCACATGCCACAAACATATTCCAGGAATGATATCTATGTCAATAGGGATTGACAGATACATGCTTGATGTGATCCAGTCCTTGAGAAACTTATTATACTGACAATTTATATCATAGAACATTATTCCTCATGAGATTCCATCTGTATGGTAGTTGAGTGCTTGACTCAAGGCATAGTCCATGTTCATCTGCCTGATTATTTTCGAGATCAGTAAGACCGGAAATACATGTAACCAGATGCAATGTCTATTTACCTTTCACCCTTCTGAAAATCCACCATGGAATGTGGGACAAAACATCCATGCTGTGCACATGCACATCTTCCTATACCAGTGGCCTCTAGCTTTTGTTGGGAGGCATTTGCTTGATTGACTGCGTGGTGATTGTCATAATCTGATTTTTGGACATGGTCTTGGGCAACAGCCAAATGACTCTTGTATCTTTCATCTCCGACCATGAATGCAAGACCATCCATCAATGATACTTCATCAGATGGATTCACCGGATGGAGGTGCTCAGCTTTAAAATTACCATCCATGACCAAAGTCCTGGTGAAGAGCCAGGAAGGGGTGTCATCAGGCTGAGTGGCCATACCGGTTGACCAGTCCAAATTTATCCCCGGTTGAGGACATGCCAGACAAAATAGGGCGAGGTCACTGGTCTTAGGCTCATCGTTTTTATGGGCAAACCCATGCCACTTGTAGAGCTTACATTGATGCCATTGTCTGGCAGTCCTCATGAGCTCTCTGTAGCAATCCTGCAAATATTATTGTTCAATGACCGGCTGAAGTACAGAAAATGAAAATCAACTTACCAGAACCATCAATGGAAAGATGCTGGAGGTTAGCCTCTGGATCTTACTGTAGTAATTCATGGCTGATGTACCACATTCAAGGTTGTCTAGCAGAAAGTCGTCCAAGACGGAGAATGTGAATGCAGTTTTTGGTCTGGTGAAGGATGCTAGAAACAAGCCTGCTTGAAAGAGCTGCATATCTGGGTTTAGAGCTCTGGGGCAGTGGCAATACCATATGGATAGGGAGTGAACACCGGATTTGTCCACTATGGTTGTAGCCGGATGATCTGAGTCTGTGACAAGTGGAATGGAAGTTTCCTCCAGATAATCATTATGGTCTATATTTTCATCGGTATCTGACCATTCAAAGAGGTCTGATGAGTATTCAGTGCTGCTGGGACATGGAGTGCCATCATGAGCAAGGTGAATGTGCAGGCTGACTTTCATAAGTGAAGTTTCTTGAAAAAATGATCCGGTCCATTGACTGATGCGATGGAAAGGATGTCTTTGATGCTGGGTTCTGCAGCACTCTGTGCAAAACAGGGGCTCGTTGAAACACCCGTGGCATTTATAAACCCCATCCTTCTTGTAAACTTCACAAAGCCGGTTCAGAGAAGGGGTTTCTTGGACCATGAGTAAATTTATGTAGTCCTTGAACTTGTGCTTCCATTGCCGGAGATATTCATTCTGACTCTGCATGATCCAGTCAGATGAAGACTGCAGATATCAGAAGAACTTCTGCTTGCCAGAGATTTTGGTAATTTAGGCTGAGGCATGTAGCCTTGGTCAAAGTCAAAGTCAGCACCATCATAGAGCATCTGAGAGAACCCGGCTGTTTGCTTTGAGGGAGATTTTGTTGGTGACAATGTCACTGACTTTGTTTTCGGGGACCATGAATCTTTCACCCAAGATGACCTGGTTCCTCTGGAAGTAGTTTTCTCCTTCAGTTTATATAGCTGAGGCAATCGTTTCTTCATCGGAGGAGTGTATGTGATTCCCTTTTGTTTAGTATTTGCCATGATTGATACCAGGACCTAAAGAATTGTTGGGCTGGGGAGTGCACTTAAGCTTGATGATCGGCAGGCATATAACTTTACACCTGTGCCTTCCTTCAACTCCGGCCTCTGAGCGATTTGAATCACTGGATTACCATTCCTGTTTGTCATTGAGGTACCAACTCCGGCCTCTGAGTGATTTGAATCACCGGATTACTACATTTTCTGTTCCTGTGTATCAGTGAGGTTACCAGGCGATCAGAAATCTTGGAACATCATCTCTATTTAGGATATATTAAGGTCAGAGCAACTGAGTTTGCCATACGTTTCATCATTTCGGAATCGGTTAATCAAACATTGTAATCCTGCCATCATCCCAATTCCCATGGATTTCTTCCAGTATAAATGTGTCTCCCTATGCTGTATGGCATATTTGAGAGTATTACTGTATGCTGCCTGTATACTATATGATAAACTTGGTCTAAGTTTGTGTGTTTTGCAGTCCTAAATTCTATGAACCGGAAACACAGGGCATGTTAAGCCTGAGAGTATCATGTTGGCAGACAATCTCTTGTTCGGTTCACTATTGGATACATGGTGGCAATTGGCTATGTAAGATTATACTGTATCCTTTCTTCTACCAAGACCTTAACTGCTTTGCAATGGCCTGATCCAACTCATCAGTACACAGCCCCAAAAAGACCAAGCAGAAATTGACTGAGGAAGAGCTGCTGGTCTTACAATCTCACCTAGAAGAATGGAAGGAAGCAACCGGTAAGGATAGGAAAATGATTTTGAGGGCGGTCATAAAAGAGGCCAAGATGCAAGCCCCTAAGATGGATGCCTGGCTGTTGAAGAAAAGGAAATCTGTAAGCAGCCCATCTTCTAATTTCATAAATGCTCATGATGGATAAAGATGTACCGGGACTGGTTATATAACTGGAGAGCTAAAAAGACACTTAAAAAACAAAGCAAGTTCAGTAAGAAATGGACTACCCGGTTGGTGATAGAACACCAGTACAAGAAGGAGATCCTTGAAAAGACCGGAGCAAGGCCAGGAGGGAAGGAAATGATTAAACACTACCAGGGTGCGGTCAATGCAATTATGGCCGATTTATCTGAAGAGCAGCTGGAGGAAGCAAATAAGACTGCAATAGAATGGTCTAGCAGTGCTCCTCCTACAGATGTCCAGGCTGAGTTCGCTCAGAAGAAAGCTCCTGATATGATGAAGGATCTTGCGACTCAGTTATGGAGGCAGGCCAGTATGAGGATATTCATATTGTCTGCATGGAAAACCGAGGAAGGTGAAGTGAGGATCAATGGGTGAGTGACATTTTCATTCTCTCAACCGGTAAAGATGGTCTGATCTTGTCATAAGAATTGACTTCAATGAAAAGTTAGAGGGCAATAGTTTCACAAATACAAAGGACTGGAAGCCCATGTTACCAGAGTGGAATGCCTATGTCGGAGAAGAGTTTGGTAAGCATCTTTTTGTGCAATGTTGATGCATCCAGTCAAGTACTTACACCATGTGATGCCAGCAATTGACCGGAATGATGATGATAATGGCAATGAGGATGCAGATGGAAAGGAGAGCAGAAACCAAAGGAGAAAGAAGGAGTTCACTTTAGAGGTCGAGGCCTATGGGCTTCCGGTCATACCAGATATTGAGTCCCTCAACTTAGAAAACAAAAAGTCTCTTATCCAGACATTCCTCACAAAACACTACAGTAAGTTTCACGAATGAAATATCTGCAGGGTTGATAAAGGAACTACTTATTTTGCAGGGTTTTGCAGTTAAAAGCCAAAGGTGTCTGTTCCTTGGTCTGCAGTGATGGAGGCTCAAGAGAATTTCATCGAGCCCAAGTTTTTACCTACCAGTGGAAAGATCAAGGACCCGTCCAAGCTTCAGTTGCATGAAGCTAACCGGCTCTTGCAGTTCTGGCATCAGAGACAAAAGGACAAGGTTTGGCCAACATTTGAATTCAAAGGCTGGCAAGACCATGAGAAGGAGATGAGGGAACCAGTGGAGAAGATCTCAGAGAGTGACTCTAGCACAACATGCAGTCCAGTAACAGCAAAGGCCAGAGGCCCGGTTCAAAAACCAACCAGCAGGTCAACCAGAAAGTCATCTGGCAAGTCAACCAGCAGGGTGGAACCGGAGTCAGGCAGTGAGGGTGAGGATGGTGAAGGTGAGGTGAAAATGAAACCGGCAGGGTGGAACCGGAGTCAGGCAGTCCAGTTCAAAAACTAACTGGCAGGTTGACCGGAAAGTCATCTGGCAAGTCAACCAGCAGGGTGGAGCCAGAGTCAAGCAGTGAGGGCAAGGATGGTAAAGGTGAAGGTGAAGGTGAAGGTGAAAACGACGAAGCCCGATTACTGCCATCCAACCGGAAATCGACCAGAAAGCCAGGCAAAGCTGTCCAATCTATTCCGGTTAAAAAACCACCTGCCAAGTCAACCAGAAAATTATCCGGTAAGCTGGCTGGAAGGGTGGAACTGGAGTCAAGTGGTGAGGACGAGAATGGGGATGAAGAAGGCGATGCTGAAGTCCAATCACCGCCCCTAGAGCATCAATCTATTGGAAAGCAAATCAAAGCAGTCAGATTTTATCCAGAGGAAGATTCCGGCCCATTGGTCAAGAAATCTAAATCAAATATTATTGGGTGCAACATACCACTGGAGGACAATGCTGGCACTCCTTCAGCAGGATCATCCAGCAATCATTCTACAGCCCCACTGCCTCCCAAAACTGCATCGAGAAGTAGCTTTGTTGGTCCTGCATCAGCCGGTTGAATGAAGAAGTCCGGTCAGAAGATACCTGCACCTAAACCAACGGCTCCTTCCACAACACAGAGCACTGGTAAGAAAACTAAAACACATGGAGCTCCCATTGATAAGCCCGAGCCAAAGCGCTCCACTAGAGCTGCAAAGCTGTCTCATAGATTTAATTACATGCAAAGAGCATAATCATCACATTTCATTGAATGTACTATACAAGGGGTGGAAAGTATCAATGGTATATATATATAGATGTCATGTCGACAGTCGGTATATTGATATAAGTTGAAATGCCAACAATAACTCACTAGTGGCCTGAAGAACTTCCTCGCTAACAAGGGCTTCTTCCGGCGACATTGTACCATGAGCTCTTTCCATCTCCAACCAGTGTATTGCCAAGTGCAAGTCACCTACAGTGTGCTGAATCACAAATCCCATAGGTTCCAGTTCACTAACCATGGCTAAATTTGAATGAGTAACAGTGATATTTGATGGCATGATAAGACCTACACGACTGATATGGAAGACCATGTACCAGATCCAGTGTCTCGAATCCCATCTCCAAAGGTGTCTCTTCCGGTTGAATATTCAAATGATGGGCAAGATCATGTGCTGGATCTGTCCCAAAGCCCATATCCAAAGATGTCTCTTCCGATCGAAGACCCACTGAATGTACATGTAACACTGTAACCTAATACAATAATAAAACTCACCTGACTGATCCGGAATATCAACCGGATCAACGCCAGAAGGCCTCTGCTCTGGATGATCATGTTGAACCACAGGTGAATTAAAACCCATGTCTAATGACATCTGGTCCGGATCACGATGTTGAACCAGAGGTGAATGAAAACCTATGTCCAAATCCAGATGACCGCGTTGAACCGGAGGTGAATTGAAACCCATGTCCAAAAAGCTGTCTTTCACTGAAATATCATTGACTTAATGATAATCATGAGTAATTCCATTCCTTGCATATTGAATCAACCAAATACCTGAGCCACCAGCCAGTCAATTGTTTGCCCGGAAGTTCGGAGAGCCAGTCGCCGGCTCCGCAAAATCATTGGTATTGAATGCATGGCCAGGTGGAAATCCCATGTCCAACTCGGATATAGGTGTGGCAATTGATGACTGGTTAGTATTGGACAAAGGAGGGAACCCCAAATCCAATGTGTCTGACACCGGTTGACTTGGGAATCGGTCAAAACCCATGTCTAATGACCAGCTGTTCTCAATCCTGCACTCTGGCATCATCAAAGTCTTGCTATCCTTCCACTGGTCATGAGCCGATGCAACATCTAGGTCTAGAAGGCATCAATAAGTAGGTGTATAGGTCAGCATGAGAGGACTTACAGTCGCCAATGTTTGAGCAATTCATTCCAAGGCTGTCGTGTCCCGGTTCCAATATGTCAAACACTGCTGGATTATGTGAGGTACCTTCTGGAAAGGCAGTTAATTTATTACCTTTGGCCCCACTAGATAAGTGTAAATTATCCTCAATAATCTCTGAGGACAAAATTCTTTTCCTTCTTCTGCTGAATGAGTTGTCTAAATCAGTATATTTTGTGTGATAACCGGTGTAATGATGGCTGCGGCGCTGGGCTCGAAACCAGGCAATCCAATACCTATATTCATACCATTCCCCGACCTCCCTTGACCTTCTGAGGGCCGCGCACACTTGTCCGAACCTTCTGCAGGCAGTTCTCGTGTTCCGAGACCCATCCGAACCTCGCAAGTTACCATACCATGTCCTATCCTCGTCCTTTTGACTTCGCTGGTGCGTTTTCCTTTATTTTAACTATATGTTGACTATGTCTTAGTGCTACATGGATAACAATCCCATCGGCATCCTGTCGGGAGCCTTGGAATACGTATAAGCAGCACGCATTGCGGCTTATTACATGTATACTTGTATTCTTGCACACCTTGCGGCTTATTACATAGGTTCGGACTTGCTTATCTCACTACTAGTTTCGCCTACGGATTCCGGCCTCTCACGGAAGTAGGATATAATCTCGCTCGCTGGCTACTGATAGGGCACTTCACTTCCCATACTTTGAGTAGTAATTAGTAGAGTCACCTCGGTATAATCGTAAACTGCGCAATTGATCCTAGTTCATTCGGGACGATTGTCTGGCTAAACCGCTGCCAAATTCGCACTTCGTTTATTCTCAAGCCCCGATAGATTAGCATTGTTCCGGACTTCGGACGTTGCACAAAGTCTTATACTGTTATTTGACACACCGACATACCGACACATCGACACACCGACATATATAGACCTTCAGACAGCTTTTGCAAGCCTCGGAAGGCATCGCACTACTTTGGACAACACCTTTGCAGCCTCGGACGACCTTCGGTCGCATCGGACAAGTTTCTCGGTACTTTGGAAGTAGTCTCGGAACTACGGACGAGCATTGAAGAGGTTTTCTTCCAATATCTTGTCTACTCTCTAACTGTATAAGACCTCCCTTGCATTATCAAGGTAGTTTTTAGGTTGTCTCTTGGGACGAAGCATACTCGCATCCCTCAGGACTAGGGACTCACATTCAGTGGAGCCCAGACCAGATCTACTCTTTACACTGGAATGTGTCATGGGTTGTTCCAAAGCCTGTCAGTGGATGCTCTACTCACGCCAATTTGATAGTGATGACGTGGCAACAATGGCATTCACACAAGAACACATGGCAACTTCGGAGAAAAGAGAACCGGTACATTAATTGTTCCTTTGGCAAAATCCGAAATCACTCAAACATCCGGCAATTTTCAATTCTCTATTTCCTTGTTCCCTTCCGGATCTCTCTTGCAAGCCAACCTGCTACCGTCATTGTCTTACTGCTGATATGTCTTCCAACATTAGTCCTGCTGCTGCTGCCACTGCCAACCAGGCACTCATTGCCCTTCTTGGCAGGTTGAATCAGATGGTCGAAGAGGTTCTCCGGTCCTGGTCAGAAGATAAGAGGATGAGGTTGAACAGAGTCATTGCATCTCAAATGGTGTGTTTGTCATTTTTTATGTATTGTATCCATTAATATCATTAGAATGATGCCATTCACTCCTACCAGATGGCGGCTACCTACATCCCCCTTCGGCTGCTCTCTATGGCAGCTGAGATTCATAGAGCTCAGAGGGGTACCACATGATTTGTGCAAGTACCGGATTGGACTTGTGTTGGCAACAATGAGGACATTTGCCGAGGACATCCATTATACCCCAGGACATTGGGTCCTCCTCCCACTCATACAACCCCTACCTCCACACCAACACTCCCATCTGGCCCTCCACTGGCCCCGGCTCCTGTACCGGCACCTGCTCCTCCACCCACTCCTGCTCCTGTACCTGCTCCTGCTCCTGTACCTGCTCCTGCTCCTCCACCGGTACCTGCTCCTTCACCTGCTCCTGCTCCTGTACCTGCTCCTGCTCCTCCACCGGCACCTGCTCCTGTACCGGCACCTGCTCCACCGGCATCTGCTCCATCTGCTCCGGCACTACCAGCTCCCAGCACAATCCACATTCCTGCCAATACAACATCTGGTGCCATTGCAGGCCCATCAAAACCACGTGGGCGGCAATTCAGTGTGAGTCCCCCATGTCAGGTCAAGAGGGCCCGGAAGGCTATCCCCAAGTCGAAGCCACTGTTGACAGACACGGACACTGATGGCGACACAGTTCGCATTGGGAAAGATAAGCCCAAGGCGAAGGGAAAAGGAAAGGGAAAGGCGAAGGCTAAGGCAAGGGCAACGTCACCAGATCGTGATATCCAGCAAATGACATCATTGATTCATACAGAAGTTACCAACCATGGTCATTACCACTAGGCCAATGCCACCCCCTCCAGATCAGAAGAAGAAGGCTGCTGACTCGGAGGAATATGAACTGGAGGAGGAGGAGGAGGAGGATGAAGACGCAATTGAGCCTGAGACACAGGTCAAACCGGGCGAGGGACGATTACCAGTAAGTTTTCATATTATTGAACCTATCGTGAGTATGGCTCATATAATCATGATAATAGTCCAAGTCCGGTACAGATCATACCAGAACAGCCAAGGACAAGGCAAAGACCAGGGGCAGGCTGTTACAAGATCATCTAGATGCTTGGGCCCCTACCATTTTTCTCCTCATCCTTCTGGTATCAGCCCTCGCATCATACCCTTACCCTGACCTCACCCTTGTTATCCTTGTTATCCTCGCATTCCCTTTCGCCCTCTACCTGTCGCTTCAGCAGAGCCAGTACATCTGGCCGGATCCTTTCGCTGATGAAGCATATCCATGCTCCGTTCCACCACCTGACTGATCCTGTGGACAGTCCCTTTGCCCTTACCGTCCGGACGGTAACCTATGATATGATGCACGACGCATCCCCTTTGCCCTGTTTCCTTTCCTAATCTCTGACTCAATGCGCAGTCGCACATGCGACTTATACTTAGCTCCGCAGCTGCACGATCGCGCCCCTGCATGTTTCACTTCTTATTCTGATCTTTGACTCACTTTCTTATCCGCACGTTCAGAGCTCACCCGTGTCTCACCTCGAATGTGCCTTCCTTTTATGGTCATACCCTTTACTGTTTACTTCTCTTGGTAGTACGAGTTATCATCCACTAATACGCTTCCTGTCCTCTATATAAACTCGCTACCATGTAACATATTCCTTAACTTGAATCTACTTGGTTCTTGACCTCCTACTCTCACCAGAGTGATCCTTTCTGCCTCGCCAGCAGTCTATATTCTATCTTCTTATCTGCTCTTCGCGGATAAGCCTATAGTCTCGATCTTTACTCATCGACTTCGTCGACGAGCAAAGCCCCTGTTAACTAGTTGGACTTCTGTCCTTCTAATTAACGACGATCTTACGATTAACCTTCGGGTGTCGTAAGCCTAGGCCGATATAGCTTATCGTCTCGCATCTGCTTGACGTAAGCTACCCGATTTGGACATAGGCATCAAATCTTACTTGCCGAAGCCTCGCCAAGTAAGACCCCTAACCTTGGGCTAGCCCAAGGACGTCCTCGACCGTTGACGACACACGCTCTGTTTGAGCGTTGCCAACAGATACCATCCAAGTCGTAACACAGGCATCCACAGCCAGTAAGACATCCGGTAACTCTCCACCAGTAGTGCTATACTAATTCTTCATAGAAACCCATTGGTGCGCCTCTCCTACCATGCAATAGATGCACAATTATGAAGGCACAATGCGAAAGCTGGTTGACCAAAAGGGGCGAGGTCGCCCATACTTGCATTCTTTGCAACAAGTGGAGGATGAAATGCATCCGGCTGGATGATCCGGTCATACCGGCCACAGCCATAGTCACTCGCTCCAAGACGACCAGAAAGACCAAGACCATTGGGCAGTCCAAGAGCAAAGGCAAAAGCAAAGGCAAGTATCTTATTTTCGGTAGTATGTCTACTAATTGTATTCTTTTAGTCATCCAAACTCAGCATCCCAGTCCTATTCTGGAGGAACCAGATGTCGATGTTGATATGCTTGATGCCCCTTCACTCACTGGCACCGGTCATCCTGGCACTGCTACAGATGCAGGACCCAAGGTATCTGCCGATGATGGATTAATGAATTGATGGATTGAACCCATGGATGACAGCACCCTGCCCCCAGCACCATTTATAGAGACACTGGATGACATCCGGTACTCACCAGTCTATCCTTCTCATACTCGAAGACCTGCCTCTCCTGTTAACATTTCTGTACCTCTTCAGCCTCCCCAGCCCAGTTCTTTGACTAATGTGGAGATGGATGCCCTGTTGGCCCAAATTCAGATTGACATGGATCAGCTCCGGACACGTGATGACATAATTCATGATGACCTGTCCCATTGTATTGACCAGCTGCAAGCCAGCTGCACAAACGAATTCACCTCCCAGAAGGGAGTGATAGATCAGTTGACCTTTCAGGTCAGCGGTATCGCCCGGTACCTGAGGGACAACCACAGGGCCACCACAGCAGCGTGTTCAACTCCACCAGCATTCAATCCACCACCCATTGTCATCCCCAATACCCCCACATTCCCTGACTTTGGCTCAATCAGTGCCTTGGGTCATGCCATCACCAACAATGTCTTCACTCCAGATGTGTTTTCGACCAACACGTGTCCTGTCGGAGATGGCTCACCAGTCACAAGTAGGGATCTGCAAGGGTATGGGTAACCTGTGCGGGTCACGGGTATGGGTACTACTGGGGTATGGGTATGGGTCGAGATTCTAAGACCTGCGCTCTTACCCGTACCCCAGCTATACCCGTGCCTTCCATAAATGTCCTACTTCCCATGTGCACACTACAACTGGCACCACCACCAAGCACTCAGACTTCCTGCCAGCAATGCATCAAGCTTGGGAAAATGATAACTCTCAATGCAATCTGTTTGAGAGCCGTTTTGCTCGTGAGTCATGTCCTTTTGTTCTACAGTTCACAAACTAATTTATGGTAGCCATTACACAGGCTGCCATACGTCTACAGCTTGCGAACTTCAGGCTGGGATCAACGTGTCTCTGCACACCGACATCTCTCCAAGCAGGCTAATCACCAGTGGTGTTGATCTACAGGACCAACAGTAAGTTTGCTAATTAGTCTAAGAAAACTATGCTAATCAGAAAACTCAACAGGCAGTGCCTCAAGGTGGACATCACCAACATGTCTCTTCAGAAGCACCCGCCACCACATCGCTACCAACACCTTCGCATTTGGTGGTACTCACCATGTCCCCCACACCACGTTCGACAACACCCACTACGTCGCTGTGCAGCACGCTGACGGATGCCACCAGCAAGCACCATCCAGCACCTATGCAACACGCTGACTCGCCAGCATCGAGTGTACATGCTCAGACCACGCCAGCATTTGCTGGCGTGGCTCAAACGCACACAGAAGACACCAGGATGAAGAGAGAAGGACAAGAGGAGGAATGAGAGGAGGAAGGAAGGATCTTGTCAGTAAGTCGCTGTCCTGACTCTGCCCCCATTTTCTGCAATGAGGACATGACACCCGACATGTCACACTCTCGCGCCACCACGCCACCATCTCCCATTTCGACACACTCACCTTTGACTTCGATTGTACGCACAAACGCCCAGTGTGTGCCAGCAAATTTGCTCGTGCCTCCACTCCTTCCTGTGCCAACCACATATGTTCAAGTCACGTCAGCATTTGCTGACATGTGCTGGACATATGTGCTAAGCACTGGCAGTGATACCTATGGTACCCGTGGGTAAACCCTGCACAGGTGCGGGTACGGGTCTGAGCTTGTTGTACCCGCCAAAAACCCGTACCCATCAGAGCGGGTACGGGTTTTTGCCGGGTGTGGGTGTGGATATGGCCTCCAATACCCGGGGGTTTACCCGTGCAGTTCCCTAGTCACAAGGCATGAGCAGGTACCAACACCCTCCACCTCTACCATCAACCCTGTCCCCACCATGGGGGAATCCGGTCAACACAGTCGTCCGGTTAGTGCACTTCCGGTACCGGCCACTACTGTCCCAATGGCATCTATGCCCTCAACCAGTACCCTTCGCACCATGCTCACCGGGCCACCAAATCTGCCGGCAGATGGTCAGTCCCTTTCGGCTCCTTTGCTGAACCAGTCATTTGCACCTCCATCAAGGCAACAAGGTCGGTCGGTGAGTGCTAGGCATGATAAGAACCCTTCTGGTAATAGGGCCAAGTAATGCCAGTACATGTAGTGTTTGTTTTGTTGATAAGGACAATCTAATGCCATGGTAGAATGTATTAGATGGTGTATTAGATTGACCGGTTAATGTATGTAGTATACCGGCCGATGGGCTTGTGAAATGATGCATTGACTGGATAATGTAGCTACCGGATCATGGGCCAGTGATTATAGATGCACCTGCCGGATGATAATCTGACCGGATCTCCGGTGTATATCATTCGTCCGGCTCGGTCATTTCCATTTTACACCGGATTCGCTATTGGAGTAGATTCCTGTAAGTCTATGCTATATACCCCCGGCCCATCCATTTACCTTGGGTACACACATCCGGCCGGCCCACTCATCTCCAATGTAAACAGGAATTAGCATTTATAATGTCCTATATACTAATACATTCCTATACCACTGTCTATATAATGTACCCTCAGCCCATCTGTGTGTCTTGGGTATACACATTCACCCAGCCCACTCGTATATCATGGTACAATTATCTCCATGGGCCCACATGGGATGGCCCGTTCCCAATGGTACATTGTCACACTCGGCTGTCCGTCTGAGACAGGGTGAATTCACTGAAGGGGCTCACTCGCTGCATCTCTTTATGTTCGTGTCCTGTCCACTGCTTCACACTCGATATCCCTTTCTTGAAGTGTCGAAGGCCAGGATAATTCGGGATCGCCTTGAAACGTGCATCCATTTCGTCCTCCCCAATAATATTGATGCACCACTTCACAAGGTGGTCTTTGAACACACCTTTGTGAAGTTGATGCAGAAGGTCGGGTGTGAACACTAGAAAAATGTCCACGTGAGGCAGATCAGCCCAGAAAGGCTTGCAACAACTGACCAAACACTGCTTTGGAAAATTGGCAACATATGCTGCAAGAATTGGGTAGACACGACGAACCCATGAGTCCACACACACCATTTTGACACCGTCGTTTCCAGCACCAATGAGAGGTTGGAGCAGTAGAGCCATGCAATGGTGGAAGAGGTGGTATCCAGCCAAGGAGCATGCATCAGGGGTGAAACAGTCAAGTTTGCTAGCTGGTAAGTAACCAATGAGGACAATTGCGTGTGCTGATACTTGGCACCTTTTTGCTTTAGTGATGTTTCCAATGGATATGTACACTGGCCATGCTGACTTATCCCCTCAGAACTGCAACAATGATGTTTTGTCTGAAGATAGAATGATTGGTGCTATCATTGCACCCTCTGGCAAGGTGTTCTGTGTGCAAGGTCAGTCCGTTACTTTGTCGCTCCCTCTCAAATAGTCTTACCTGTTTCTTGCCCCACCAGTCTGCTGTCCACATCTTGTCGATGACTCTATGTTGCCCCGCACAGTCTGCATATGCTTTGGCAGGTGAGTACACCATATGTTCTTTGAAGGCAGGATTGCCAATGAGCTCTTTCATGCATTCTACAGGGTCCCAGCTTCACAATTCAACCTCTTCTTGCAAATTTCGCCTTTCTCATCCTCGAGGTTTCCACACACAGTCACCTTCCTACAACTCCATCCTGGGCTGCATGGAAGTTTGTCCACATGCTGCAAGAACAAGTGGTTGTTATGAAATGAAAGTTTGCTGCGGTTTTGTGTCTGGTTAGGGTATCAATATTGTAAGTTCAAATTTTGATCAACACTTTCAAACTTACTATGGGCAGTTTCAGGAATTCTTTGGTCCGCATCTGACCAAGGTTCTTGACGAGCTAGTGGGCCAGATCCCACTCTTTCCTGGTGAGTGATATCTATTTAGTAGATGTTTTGCCAGCACATTTGAGCACTTACTTGTCCTCAAAAGGCGACCATGGATCCTCACCCTCTTCCTCTTGGTATGTTCTATATTTTTCAAAACTCATCTCCCCCTCATGCAGTGCCCAGCCAGCATCCATCTGAGGTTCAAAATATTGGCCGTTATTGGTGAACGACATCCCATCTTCATCTTCGACTTCCTCAACTGTAACACAACAAGTCTTGCTGAGCGCTGGGTTATCATCTGTATCTGGAGATGGGTGTGGGTTAACATGGCCTGGAGCTGCATCTTGATGGGGGAAGTCAACATCTGGTGCGTCGTCTAAGTTCTCTGCCTCTACTTCTTTGATCATTGATTCATACTGCGTTCGACATTCAAGACGCCCTACAATGTGTCTCTTGAGACCCTCAGGTGTAGCTGTTACCTTCCCACAGAATACACAGTGGGGCATGCTGGGTTGTCTGGTGTGATTGACAGCGCGATTGACACGAAACTCGTGTTAAGTCGTGTTGTGCCAGCCCTAAGGTATGTTGATGCCACAAGAAATGGAAAAAACATGCTAATGTTATCCTGTCCAGGCTCAAACTGCGTTCCAGAAGGTCAACTCCTTCTTGGACTTGCGGAGAACAAAATTGGACTATATTTGAAGTTTCAAGACCTACCACCACTCGACTGGCAGAAGGTCCTCCTTCTTGGACTCATGGAGACCAAAATCGGACTATATTTGAAGTTTCATGACCTTGAAGTGCTACTGCCATTCGACTGGCATACATGTAAGTGTCTTCAATCTACCTATGGTACTCGCCTCATTGGTGCCCAGATCTAGTTGTGGCGCAGCACCTGGTCACTGCTGTGCCCAGTTTGAGTCTAGACCAGGCTGACCCTCAAGTGAGTCCTCATACTGGCCCTAATTGTGACTAACATGAAAGTCGTTTGCAAGCGATGTGACCCTTGCAAGTGACCAACTACTGTCACGGATGCAGTTCATAATATGGAGATTGACCCAAACATCATTGAAAATAAAGGCAATCCACACGGTGCGCCCTTATTCCGAATGACACTTGACTGAAACTAACTGACAACTAAGCTAGGGTAGTAATGCCATGAGCCACAAGTAAGAGCTCCAACAGTTGAACCTTGCGTGACTCCTCACACCGCTTTTTTTCAGCATTCCATTGCACCGTTATCATCTCCCGCACCAAATTTTGGTGAGCAACAGGACCTTGTATGTGCTCTGCATGACTCATCACAAAGCCTAATCTCTGCATCCCAGCACTCTAGGACAAGTGTTCGCAGGTAGGTCTGCAACATTTTGATGGGTCCTGGAGTTTGGCGATATGGTGGCAATGGAAACTGAATATCAAGAGCAGGCTTAACCTCCCTTGGTGTATGAGATACCTCCCTAGCCCATCCCGGAGCAACGACCACGTGAAATGGTCGACTTGGAGGAGATACGGCCCTGATGGTTGGTTAGTGTTTGTCATGGTTTATGGTCGGGTATCACCTTTTGCTGACTTCAAGCATGTTCGGTTTCTCTTCAGCTCCGTTCAATAACAAGATGTTCAGCTTCACGTTGTCTGATTTGTTCGACAACATGAACGCTGAACTACAACATCGGTGAGTGTGAGGCGAGCATTGGAGAAGGCAGCCACTTACAATTTATTCATTTTGGCTGTAGTATCGATTTCGCTGTAATATCAATTGTATTTTTGAAAGGAAAGTCATCCCCATCCCTCTTATTTATGCCATTATATTGACACCGCTTGGTCAGTTGAAAACTTTAACTTTGTGATCAACAAAACTCGATCAACAAAACTCAAAATTTGTTTGTTGATCCAATGCCACTGTAGGGTTTTTAAAGGAATGCATACCCCCTCCTTCTGTCGTTGTTATATCTACTGGCTACCATCTATCATGCCCGCAAAAGGCCCCTCCAAAAAGGGGGGTAAAACAGCACTTTTGAAGGCCCAGGGGAACCTACATGCAGAGATGGTGTCGGCTGCAGGGTGCACCACAAGTGGTCGACAATGTCAGCCAACCGAAAAAGAAACATATTGAAGTAAGTTATATCAAGCCCAACATGAATGCTTGCACTCACTTACATGTTTCTGCTTAACAGTTTTAAAAGCTCGTCGAGGAGAAGAACACCAAAAAGCCTCAGAAACAAAGGTGAAGAAGCGCGACTTAAAGGCACTGTGCACTACATACTGGACACATCTGAGGTATTCAACAGCGAGCCTGCTGGGCTTCTCAGCGATGCTGACAGGGACAAAGACAACATGGTCAGTGTTTTATTTGTCCAGGCTCCATGTTACTCACAACTACATAATAGTTTTCAGACCGCAGTGTACCTACAAGACTACCTAATTAACAGGCACTCACATACAGTGTGAGCAAGACCCCTCCAACTGTCTTGGCCCGAAAACCCACAAGTAAGATCCTTACGAAGCCACAGAAAGGTACTATGTCTTATCCTGTATATATCTTAAACCAACACGCTTTTTCAGCATCAACAACTGTTATGTCGTTGGATAACAACAGTGACAGTGAGGCCAGCAGCGACAGCAACAATTCGAACAACTTTGTCGATAGCATGGACCAGGACGACACTGAGAACGAGTCTGATTGTCGTGCGGACAACACTCCCAATGATCATGACAAAGTGGCCGAAGCTTCTTCACCACTGGTTGTCGGCACCAAGCACAAACTGGAGGACTCAGAGGTCCTCAATACTGACATGAAGTTCAATAAAGGTCCAGATGGAACACGCCAACGGTTAAAGGCCAGCGATTTCGACAATGTCACCACTGTCTAGTCATGACTCGCGCACCTTTTCCAGAGACACTGATCATTGAGACCAAGCTAGCAAAGGATGCCTGGCGCGAGGCGTCTAACATGGCAGAGCTTACCATCCAACTTACCCCTTCTCTCGTCAAAATGGTATGTCTCGTGTCCGCGTCCTTGCCCTACTTGATTTTCTGTTGCATATGGATGATGAGGCGCACATCACAAGTGTGCGTGGAGCTTAAAGCAAAGATGCATGTACTGACGGCCTCGTTCTTTGGCTTCCGTGCAAGCAGATCTATACCCGCCATCAAGGAAAACCGTAATCTGGCTGAGTCTCTCAAGGAAGGATCACATTTTGTTTTTAAGATGCGTGTTTAAATTCAATTTTACCATCCTTAGTCAATGTTTGACTGGTGGGGTAAAAGGACTGGGAAACGAAATGTGGCATCTACAAGACCGACTTAATCCAGTCGGCGATCAACCATATGTGGTTTGCAAACCGAAGCGACGAGGGTATAGTATATGCTAAATACTTTAATCCTTTACCTGTCCAAACCATGGTGCTTATACTCACAGCAGTGAGTGTATTCAGTGATTCTGATGTTCGTACTGCACTGAGGTCTGACAGATTGAATGCTGCATCGAAGAGTGGATGACTGGAGTAAAGGAGGACATCAATTTTTCATCACTTGCTTACTCCCCAGTCTACCTTCTCCATCTCAACTCCCTGCAGCGGTTCGACGAGCAGACTGCTGCTTACAAACTGCTCGGTAAAATTGGTGTCAATCTTCTTGACGTCGCTCGGTATTTTTTTTATTACTTATGTCGTTCATCATCCAAACTGACATTCATACAAAGGATGCACGCTGGTGTGGATCCATTCATGGCAGCAGTGACCATTGATAGCTTCACAGATGATGTTTTTGATGAAGCTATTTGAGAGCATGAAGACGAGGCTCAAGAAGCACAAGAATTCTGAAGGGGGGTGGTGATTGAGGCGGCTGTATCTCGAGGATTGTATACATGCTCACGCGCTATAGCACCTTAATTGATTCAATTTTGTTGATTTCTGGTCAGCGGCCTGATCTATATTGCAGGAGCTACAGTAGCAGTGTGTAGCTACCTGTAGCTACCTGTAGCTCAAACAAGCAAATACTAACACTATTCCTATAGCACCCTGTAGTAATTTGTAGCATATATAGCATTCTGTAGTACTATATAGTTTGCGGCGCGGCTATATAGCTCCACATAGTAGACACTTGACAAATCTGGCTACAGGTACTATAATGACTATATAGCACCCTGTAGTCAAAGGTTTTTTTCCTGATGTGGCAGAGCTTGATGATACTAAAGCAGCAATGACAGCGAGCACAATTGCGGAGGAGAAATGCATTGTTTGCGAATAGTGTGTGCGGGATCAGGTAATTCTGAAGGCGATAGTAGGAAGATGGCTGGCTTTTATTTGGTTCCCCAGAATTACTGTTGCATCGATGTGCCTTCAAATGGATACATATTTATGATTAATGCCAGCACATTGCCATATTGCTAGTATTGTGGGCAGAACCAGTGGCAGAACCTTTCCTGCAGAATGTGGCAGAACTTCCATGCATGTCAGGTTCTGCCAGTTCTGCAAGCGTAGAAAGTTCTTCCCAGGTGCAGCATTGTCAGAAATTTCCATAGGTGCCTTGCAATGTTTAGACATCATTGAGCCATATTCCAAGGAAGCGACATTATTTTTGGTAACTTGCACATTCACTGATGTGTGCCGCTATGATCAATTTTCACTGGGCCTGAACTTCCGACATCCAGCTTCCTCACTATTCCGTGGATTGCAAGAGTCTCTGCGTGAGTAATATTCAACTTTAGGGTATGTATTTTGTTAACCCTCATGATGATTGTCGTGCCTGGTATGCTTGGCCATTCATGCACATGGCTTGTAAGTTGGGTTACGTCAATGTACAAATCGTATTGTCCTTGCCGCATATCGTAATAATGCATAAATCTCATAATGCATGGACTTTTCAGGATCCCATCGATGTTCCATATGTAATTGTATGTATATTGCATATTGCATAATGCATAGCCTTTGTATGACTTGTATGCATTATGAAGTACAAAATTGATAGGGTGGGACATAATGTAACATATAAAGGTATTGTTCTGCTTGTGTAGCATTGTTCCTTTGAACTATGTATAGAAGCCAGTGAGCAATTGCAACAGTATCATACACAAAAATGTCCCTAAACTTAAAGTGTAAACCCCATGATAAGCCCACAGCATATCCCACACATCCACAGCAAGTTGCAGCTGACCAACTTTCATCCATTGAAGTTGACCTTATGCAATCAGTTAATGATCTCAAGGCATGCAATCACATTTTCGGTCAATTGCCAACTCTCGAGGAACTTTTTGACCCTACTGAGGAGAGAGAAGTGGGAGAATACCCTGCATTCGAACTTGAAGGTGGTGACAAAGCCATTGCAGATGAGGTTCGTCATGAAATTGCTGTTGCAAGTGGTGAAATCATTGAGATTGATTCTGACAATGACGACGACGATTCAGCGGCCACACCAATCACACGGACAAATCTTCTCTATTTGTGCCGGTAACTCGAAGTTGGATGCATGCAATATGGTGATCCACAGTTTTCACTCAACTTATCATCACAACTTCGTAAATTTCATGCTCAACTATAACGAGAAGAAATACTTAATGCTAGACAGACCTCTCTAGAACAATTTTTCGCCATATAATTAGCAGATACTCTTAGCTCTTGGTAATTTGATGTCACACTTTTGGCGGACGTCACATTGTGTCACGAAAATGTGACATACATGGTGTTGCATATTTCTCATAATGCATGAACTTTTGGCGGTCCCGGCCATATGCATTATGAGCAAGTCTACTGTAGCCGCAATTAATTACATTGCAGCGAGTCCCTCAGAATCATGCTGCCTCCGTAGAATTGCTAACGCTTCGTGGATGACATGTTGACGTTGCATTTGAGATGACCGCTGATAAGGCGGAATAGCTTGAGTGAGTGCATGCAAGCAATATCGAGAAAGTAGAACACAACCGAATAATCCTTTAGATAGTGGCCTATTTTGCTGGAGCATTCGATAATAGCTTGTGTAACAGATGTGTATGCGAGACCACGGTTGTGCAACTGTGTTATATGTCTTGCAGCATCTTGAGTGCGACTCGATGTCGGGAGAACGTCGAGAAAATATGTGCTTAATTGTGCATCACTCTGGTCTTGTTCTGAAGGATCCTGGGCGGTCGGGGCATTGCGCAGAAGAGAGCTTAGTCGACGAAGTCGTAACGTCAGGCGATTCAGGTTTGCTTTATTCTGAATAATTCAAAACTCTCACTGCACAGTGATCCTACAATCAGAAGCATTTGTGACAAGTTGCTGGACGGAGATCTACAGACGACAAATATGTTGCAGGACTATTCGACTCATGCAGTTACCCCAATTTCTATTCACTGTGCTGAATACGCCGAAACGTCTTGCCAGTAGCTGCATGCCTTTAGCTCGGCACCTGAATTCATCGCAAATATGGTACTCACTCGCAACGCTCCAGCAAGGTGTCATCAGTCTTGAAAGTGTAAACGTCAGGTACTCCTGCGGATGTCACATTGAACATCATCTCTGTCAAATCATCTTTCCAAGGTCTCCAGGAAGGTGTGATATCCCCTGGGGTGTATCTGTCGTCAGGAGTCTCGGACATGGCCATAGCCATGAATGAATTTGAGAAAGCAGTGATGAATTGCGAATTGTTGTACATAGAAGCATTTCTGAAATAGTATACAGTCAGAGTAGGGGTTGACTCATTGTTTCAACTCACAGATACGAGGTGAAATAGTATGGAACATCATATCCATGCAGGCCAGGCGGGAGTGCAAACTCGCCCTGCGTGTATTGAGCATAAAATAAATTGCGAGTTGCCTCGAACTCACTTTCCAGGCTCGTTCTCCAAATGCTGAGAGGAGATAATGAGTGGGGCAAATGAATATTGCTGAGACGACCCATGAAATCAGGGACAGTGATCATTCCTTCAAAAATACACGTACATTCACTCATCACAAGATTTGCCTGGTTAACGTTGCTTCCGTAGTTCTGGTACATCATTACCGCTCCAGCAACCTGAGTAGAACCGAAGTTCGGGAAAAGCGTCTTGACATAGTCTGCAACATCCAATGTCATCGATTGGTTGACGAACTCGTTCCCTTCATGCGAATTGGTCACAGCAAGAAGATAGTTCTAAGAGAGAAAGGGTCTCAGTTCGTTTGTGAGATAGAGGGATTCATAAATCCTACGCCATTCAAACAACCTTTCCTTATCGTCACGGTAGGCCTCTCCAAGATGAAAGTCCCATCCACAACAGGGACAAATACTAACGTGCCAAAGAACCCGTTGAGGTTGATGTTATAGTTCAAGGTCTGTAGCGTATCGACGTCAGCAGCGCGCAAACAAGAAAGGGTGTCCGAGCTTGAGGTACAGCTGCGAGTTGATGAATTAGATAGTGACTGGCGATTTTGCGAAGTATTTACTTTGTTCCATTGACGACCTCACTATACAACAGCTAGTAGTGATATTCAGGACCCTGCAGACACTGTCCCCACGAACAAGAATCACCTCAGGAATCCGGTCATTATAGTTGTATTGGGATGGCAAGAACGTAGAACTCGTCATAGCGGTTTTGAAGAGGGGAGGTTGCGTGTTTCCTCCATGAGCAATGATATGCTGTAGCACCGAACCGGCACCTGAAAAGTAAATAAAGACAATGATGACGAAGAGCATCTAGCGCAGCTCACCAGCAGATTCTCCCCAAATTGTAACCTCCATGGGGTTACCACCGAAATCACTTATCTATCCGGGTATCAGCTGGGGCACACCACACCAGTAAAGAGTTCTTCTCACGTGGGCCTGCACCCACTGAAGCGCATAGTTCTGGTCAACTTGGAACATCAAGTTCAGAATATAAATTATGGCCAGACCATGATAATTGCGTACGTAGTCCAGCATTGAGTGCACCCCCTTCCTTGACCGCTTCACCAGGAAGAAACCCTAATTAGGAGTGTATACACCTTAGTATGCATTTGAAACCGAGAGGAAACGGCGAAAACATACCGAATAAACCGAGGCGATACTGAATTAAGACTGTGATGACACCATAATTCGAGTCTATAATTAGATCTGCGCCATTATATAGGCTTGCAGCTCCTTGAATATACCCTCCTCCGTGAATCCAAACGACAACTGGGAGCCCTCCTTCCGGAGTGGCCACCACTTCATTTCCAGGAGTGTATACACTACGGGAAGTAAGCACTGATCGTAAATGTCAACATCGTGGGCTTACTTCAAGAATAAACAGTCTTCAGATTGACTAACATCCCTTTTCTTCATAGAGGTGCTTTCCAACGGATTCGTCGAAGATTCGCCTGCGTCTGCTTGATTACATTCGTTTGGTTGCGTGGTAGCTTGTTGAACCCCAGAGACGGTGGGTGGAGGCTGTGGGGCAGCCCATCTTAAGTCACCTAGTATGCGCTTGATGCGTGAGCAAAAATTGTGTTCAACAAACAGAACTTCACGTACCAACTGGAGGAGCGGCGTAGCGTATTCCAAGAAAACTGGTGATATTTGTCGCCGTGTCAACGGATCCCTGGTACTGGGCATAACCCAAGTTGACGATGGATGCAGATACGGTGGCTGCCGGAGAAGATAACCCTTCAAGCGCAAGCAAAACCTGCGATACGGCCAATAGATTAGCTTTGGTAGACAATTTTGACCCCACAGATCGCGCAAAGATAAACATCCTTGACTAGGGTAGATATCAAGATGCGGCACGAGTTTACGGACATTATTATAAATTGAGAGCACATTTTCCGACGACCGGAGAACGAACTCAACTGAAAATAGTAGCAGCGCAGCGAGCTCAGTTGTACCTGTAAGTATGTAGCGTAGTCAGCCAATTAAATTAATCGTCAGTGCAAATGGTCTGACCAGATTTACCCCACAGACGCTCCAACTATCGGGTTTCAATTGAAAGCAGATATGTATGGACGTGGCTAGAGCATTCGAGACCTAGCCTAGAGCGTTCCAGAGCACTCTAGAATACCTTTCGAACGTAATTTCACTGGCGGCAAAAGGTGGTTAAATGTTGGTTTCCCCACTGTGTTACCAGTTTCCGAGTCTAGTGTGTCCGACACCGTGACAGCAAACTCCAGCAAAACCATCACCGATGACTACGGTGAATCCGTTTCCAAGACGACTCGTTGTTCGCGAATGTCATTATGCACAGGCTCCTCTAACGTAAGCGGTATGGTTCCTTGCAGCGAAATGATGAATCATATCTTGGCGATGCGTCCGAGGAAGCCAGGTTTCAAAGATGACCTCGTTTGCAGGTGCTCAACATAAAACAAGACGACATAATTATGTATCTTGTTCGCGGGTATCCAGGGTCGGGGTTTGCGCTCATGACACACCACCACCAAAAATAGCTTTGAATCAGTGGCAGCATGTGAGCTCGTCTACTCCGGGCCACTTGCCGAAAGGTTTGTTCTTCTTGTGAAGCCTGCCAGCGAAAACAGACCCAGACGAAAATCCAGAACAACGATTCAACCAGTACAAGTGCTCGACGCTGCCTTCGACGGCTGATAGTAGGGTGAATAGACTAATCGACATGAACCCTACCGTATCCGTGCGCTCATTTCCTCTGGGACAATCGTCTTAAATCGATGATAAATCGTAGTCATTGAGGACGTCTGTCACACGACTGCATGAGGTCCGATAAATCATGAGATTGCTGGGGCTGATGTCACAGTGAATCAGTGATTCGCCGGCTTCCCAGGATATGATGACCTAGAGTCGCAGTTGATGAACGATAATTAGAACACAAAGAAAGAACACCTACGGATGACAATTTACCATCATGCTTCGCGGAACTCAGGCTCGTGATAGGCTCGAGCTTCATGAATACGGTGATGCAGAAGACCCGACTGCCCTGTTCAGCGTCCTTTATTCCTAATGCCCTTCTGATAGTAGACGCGGGGGACTCGTTAAACCTATGGAACCAAACCATGTCCGAGACATGAATGCATGACCCATCACCCGTAAGTCGCCTTCACTTTCGCGAGTGTTTCAGGTTCGCTCAGACATGTCGCCTCTTCTGGCCAATAGAACTTGGCAACTGGTTTTTCCGATGTGGTATGAGGGTCGGTACCCATAGCAATTCCGATAATGCCTTGCTCTCCATGCCATTGGGAGGATGGACGGTGGTTGTCATTGTACGTCCATGCAGACCGAAATGAGATGAGCACATCGGAGTTTGTGTAGACCTCAATATTCAATACCATATTTGTGCTTAACAATATACCCCATTAATCATATTGTGCATAATGGGGTCACATTCGTCGCATAGAAGCAAGACGAGAAAGCGGACAAAAAGTTGTATGATAAAATCATATTGAAAAGCACTATGTACTAGTACATAATAAATTATTCAGACTAGTACTAGTAGTGGCATCATTGGTACCATATAATCAACAAAAAATCCGCATGATGAATAGCATAGGGCTAGCATCGAGCAACTATGAAAATCCTCCGTTATTCCCATTCCAATTCCCTACAAATCCATTGCCTCCACTCAGACGGTTATACTTCGCGAGAACACCACCAGCCATCAACGCGCCCCTGACAAATTGTTTCGCAAGCATAGTTTTGTTTAGATTGTCACTAGGAGGAGGAGGCTGCTGTTGAGAATTTCCTTGATGCTGTGCGGGATGGACGGAGGATACCACCTGGAATTGAGGCGAATAAGCATGGTGAGTGGCGGTGCCATGACCGTGGTTCACAACATGCTGTGCTGGTATTGGCTGACCCTGCGAGTGCATGGTGTGAGTGGCGGTCCCAAAGGAGGGGTAAGCAACATGATTCGTATACGGGATCTGGGTGTGAGATGTATGAAAGCTTTGTGAGGACGCGTGATAGTGAGAAAGTGTATGTGTGCCCTGCTGAGAAGCAGGATTGACAGACGGGTGATCTTGTGAGAACGGTGTGGCATTGGGCGATTGAGCGATTTGAGATGCCATGGGGTGCATAGATTGTCCGGTTTGCTGGGTCGGGCTGGGGTAACCTGATGGGGTAAAGCGGTCAGAAGATGTTCCATGAAAAAGACTAGACGCACTTGTCTGTGTGTATCCTATCGGTGAATTAGGACTGGTACTTGAGATGCTGGACATTGTGGAGGCCGAGGTTTGTTGCAATGGAACTGTTATCTGAGAACCTTGAGATCCCTGAGCTGATGTGTGTGAGGTGTTATACAGCTTGTAAGCGGCTTGCAGGAGCTGTCCTGCATCATGCAGATAGTGCGTGCCGCTGCTCTGATTGCTCTGATCATTTGGTTGCTGTTGTAACTGAGATGCACCAAATGTCTGTCCTTGAAATTGGCTGAAGTCTCCTCCGTTCCCCGTATTCTGATCTGACATGTTGTATGTTTGGCCCAAGGAGTCCCCATCGAATGTCTGGTTTCCTTGAAAGATCGCCGTCGGGTCGACCCCGCTCCCTAGAATATCGCCAGTGCCCATATTGGGGTTGAACAGACCGTTTGCAGGGTTTCCAAATGTCATCCCATCCATACTTCCGGTGATATCGTTAACAATATCGCCACCGCCGAGTGTCTCAGCGAGCACAGCCCCGCCCAGTACACCAAGAACACCACCCACTGCTAGACCTGTTGCGATATTTGTTCCAAGTCCCCTGTTAGATTGAACTGGTTGAGTAGGTGTAGTTAGTCCTCCTGCATCCTGTGATGGGGGAGGCGGCGGAGCCTGTGATTGGAAGCTTTGCGGTGACTGATAAGGAACCTGTGCGTATCCTTGCAGTATAGGAGATACAGCTGGAGACAACTGGGGTCTGAACTCTGCCGGAAATTGGAAGCTTTCACGCGGTGATTGGTAGGGAGCTTGACCTTGCAGTGTAGGAGATACATTGGAAGATAGCTGGGGTCTGAACTTTGCAGGACGACTATCCGTGGATGATGCAGATAGTACTGATGGGCCCCGAGAACGCTGGGAGAGTGGAGGTGAAGGAAGAGGTGAAGGAGAAACTGAATAATACATTTGTGAGGTCGTTCCGGCAGAGGCGGCAATGAAAGGGGGGGTACCTGCTGGCGAGGGAGGGGATGTGGGCTTTGCCATGACTCTGGGAGGAAGAGATGGGCTAGATGGTTGGTAGCTGCTACCGAGCCGAAGAGGTGAGGAAGTCGCTGGTTGAACTTTAATCGGGCTGACAGCGGATGTCTTTGGGCTTAATGGAGGAGGTGCAGACATGGTGGGCGGAGGTGCGGAAGCTGTGATAAGCGCTGGTATAGAAAGCATAGGACTCCTCAGTGGAAAAGCGGATAGTGGTGCTGTAGACAAAGTGTTCGCAGAGGTGTCATTACGTGGGGAGGCCTCTAGGGAACTAGGAGAATGCAGTGTGTCCTGAGGAACGACGTTATACCTCGGTTGCCTGTATGAAGGCACCTGTTCGGATAGGGTTCGAGATGACGATGAAGCTTCCATGGATGGGTACAATGATGACTTCTTAGATAACTTAGGCATCGAGTCCTCTGCAGAGTAACCATACGATTTCTCCTCAACACCTTCAGGCTCCTTCTTTGTAGGGTATGACGCTACTTCTGGCATAGCCAGCGAGGTTCGCGGAGATCGCGAAAGAGGTTCTGGAGAAAGTGCGTGAGGAGTCCCAACGAATGAGGGAGTGTCTGCACCTGTTGAAGGTACAGCCCCGGATACAACATTGGACTCGCGCAGTGTGGACGGTATATCAGGAGGTGCTAGTACTATGGGTGATTCAGCGTGATACGTGCTCGCCCTAGTCACGCTGCACATGGATTGCGACTCGTCGAAGTCTGGGGGAGGTGGTTCCTCGTCGACGAGTGAATACAACGGCACCTCTTCGGAACTGCCGACATCAAGACTCTGTGTAGGTGCAGGCGAGGGATCACTAGGTTGAATCACGGACTCGGGTTCAGAAGTGATCGCAGCCACATTAACCGAACCTATTGGATAATCCTCCAAGTATGGGCTAAACTCCCTTGGAAGTATTTCTGGTGAAATAGATGAAGCTATGGCATTGCTCACACTCTCAGGCCGTAGAGGAATGTCTGATGATGTCGAGCTGCCTGGTATCACATGTGTTGTATCGGGGCAACTACTGCGCAACCCCACCTGACTTGACTGTCGGGGGTGACCAGCAGGCGATGGTCCATCGGAGAGTTCCACTGGAACTGGACTACTCCTACTGGGTGCTTGCAGGCCGTGGGGTGCCTGAATGGGAACTGAGGAACAGGCCACAGAGATGCGTGAGGCGGAACCTGTTGCTGACTGAGGACGCGGAGCTCTTGGAGAATTGGTGCCTCGTTCAGGTACCGGCCGCGGTAGCTGAAGATCAAGTTTTGCAACGCTACTGTGGTAGAAATCAGGGGCAGAAACGGTTTGAGGAGCGTCTGTGTGTCCCAGATTCAACATGAGAGATGCTCTGGGACCATAAGGAGCCCGTGGGCCAGCCGGAACACGGTTGCCTGGAAATTCTCCACGTCCAGAAGAGGAAGGCTGCCTGCTGGTGGACTGCTGATGTGTCTGGGCTTGGGGCTGCTTGCTTAACGAGCTGGCATATAGGCGCTGGGCGTATGATTGACCGCGTGTAGACGCGGAAACACCAATTGGAGACTGTAAACTTGACCCCAGTTGTTGACCAGCTGATTTCTCTGGCTGCTGGCGCTCGATGGTGTATTGCAGAACATGTTGTCCAGATACTACAGAGCGCGCATATGCTTGTGCAGGAGTGACCGGTGCTGCATAACTACTGGGATTAGAGGTAGCCCTGACAGCAGTGGGAGACTGTAGATGAGTCCGAGTCTGTTGGTGGGGTAACCTGGATCATGGATCGAGATAATATTTAGAATCCTCGGTGAGAAATTCTTTCAATTCACTCACCAATTTATGCCAGCCTCTGCAGAGAGGCCGTCTGCAGGCACGACACCAGTATAAAAACTCATTAGTGGGGAGAAATTCAAGCTGTAAACCAGGCAGACGAAAAAACTAATTGTACCATATCACTAAAACACGGCTCAAGGGACATCAAGGCACCTACAAATATAACGGGTCTTTGTCCAGGCTTGTCTGTCAAATAAGGCTGTCAGGGCTTATCAAGGCTGTGACTGATGCGACCTGAGGCCTGATGGGATCACTGGCGTTAAATTGAACATGCCCAAGCACCGATGATGAGTTGATCCGAAACCCTCTTGCAGTTTATTCCCTAGAACGACGACGACCGCCAGCATGGATCCCACTGGTGGATGACAGTAAATCAACAGCAGTAAACGGCAGTCACCTGCCACCTCGGGGCCCCCCGCACACGACGAAGCCAAAATTACGGCACAAGTTATGTACCTTCCTGCAAAGCAGAGTTCTCGATGCATTGCATGTTCATCTAGTAGAACCTAAAATTAGTAGCAACCCTTATTTATGTAAAATATTCCGAAGAAATTGAAATCCACTGGTTTTGGTCCAATCAGCTAATACTGACACATAAATAAACTCGTCAGGATCAAAAACACTTTAACTTCGTTCATGTTTTGAACTTTTCTTGAATTCGAGAGCTGCAAACGTCGTCTCCGCCTCATCACGAGCCTCGGTCGAAAGCGGAGGTGGATGCTGTGCCAGCCTCATGCCATGAGCACCCAGCCTGTGCGGCTTTTACGGTGTCCAAGGTTTGCACAAACTTTGCCGAGTGGTTCAAATGCGTCAACCGAGATATTACACCGTCACGCAGATTGTCTTGTGCCGAGATCGCTTGCATGCCCTGCAATCATTGTGAGGATCATCACGGCAAAGACCTTGGGTGGGTGAATTTCGGAAATGATTGCAAGGTTTTTCCATCGCTTGGCACTGACTGATTATTATATCATTTTGCCATCATATGATTTCCAGTGCTTTGCTGCCATTGGTTATCTGCGTAATAGCAATTCTATTGAACTCAAACTGCGGTATGAGAACCAAAATACATCTCTGCAAATCTTCCACCCTCGGGCCTTCGCGTGAATTCTGCCGTGGACCAGGCATAACCAGTACTGGTTTTGCCAGAGGGTTGGAAAAACTCCCGAGTTCTACCACATTAAAATAGGTCACAGACGCCGTGCGATGGCGCTGATATGGTGCCACAAGGGACTTCCATAATTTCCATTCCACAAATCCAAGCCTCAAAGTACGATACACAAACACAAATTCACCACATTAGGCGTCAAGAAACTGTAAGCGTTACCCAGCCAAGCATGTCGTTCACCAATCTCCTCCGCAATCGCCGCCATTGTCGTAATTGTTATCGTAACCATTATCATACCCTGCTAGATGTTCAGCCATGTCCCGGACACACCACCAGCGAGAGACTTACCTTGGTCATAGGCTTCTTCTCTCACGTTGTCTTGATGGTCCTCGAAGGCGTCCATGAGGAGGGCACCGCCTACTAGACCTGCACCGCCTGATCCGGGTATTCAGATTATCAGCATCGCGCAGCAGACCAAAACTCACCAGCCAACAGAGCAGTGCCCATCCCCGGTCCGCTCTTCCTCGGAGGAGCCTGCTGCTGCGCATAAACAGGCTGTTGGGGCTGAGAAGACGTCCTGCCAAAGAAGCCTGGCAGAATGCTTTGGTATTCACGGTTAAGCACCGATCATTCACGGGCTCTCACCTCTATCGCCTCCTGCAGGTGGATAGCCCTGATAACCGCCATACCCACCGGGAGGTGCATTACCACCGTAGCCACCGTAAGAGGGCGCGTATCCACTCGGAGCGGGAGCCTGGTTGTAGCCGCCTTGATAAGGAGAGCGGTTGAAGTCGCGATTGGGAGGGGGAGGTCCGGGGGGAGCAATGTATTGGGGCGGGCCTAGGGGATGCTCCCAGGATGATCGAGGAGGTTGTTCCATCTCATTCACATAAAACCTGCATTGTGTACAATCATATATCGATAAGGTGGTGTCAAGGAGCCTGGCGGGAACGCGATACACACCATGCTTTATATCTATAGATTACGATGATCAGGAGCCCTTCGAGAGATTATCAGATTGTAAAAGACATACTCCCAGTTATATTGCGCTAACCAGCCTCTCGGAAGAGGCCTTGAATCAGGATTCGGGGGAGGAGAGGACATGGTAAGTAAAGTTGAAACGAAGACGATAGCGTTGGCAGGATTGCGGATTACTGCTTATATAGTGGTGAGCCGCTGGCAATATTTGTCTCCTAGTCACACGTAATGGGTGACATTGCTGTGTTTATACGTAATCCCTACTGGCACTGGACCAGTCATTGAAAAATAGTATGTATAGTATTGGAAGAATCAATAAGCCATATATATGCTTGCTGACGATAAAATAGTAGAGTATATATATCATACGAAGAAGATCGAAGATAGCAACGTGGAACCGATTCACAGCGGGGAACTCTCAATAAACCTTGACATCATTTTCTGGACTTCTTTGTGGGAGGCGGAGGAGGAACCTCTTCCTCGGAAGAGCTTTCGACTTCAGAATCGGACTCGGAGTCTTCATCTGTGGTCGCCTTGGCGTTGGCTTTCGGGGCTGGTTCATCGTCTGACGACTCTGCATCCGAGGCTTCTACTTCTGACGCATCTTCTACCTCAGATCCCGAACTCTCAACAATCTCTTTAGATTTTGGAATCACCTTGCCAGCCTTCTTATCAGAAACGTCAGCGGGGGTCATGACTAGCATAGAAAAGCGTACGGGAGCAGCAGCCTTCTTGGTAGTTTTGGGAGCAGCCTTTGCAACCTCTTTCGTTGCGGGATGGTCTGATTCTTCGTCTTTCTTCTTCTTCTTCCCGCTGTCCTTGGCCTCTGTAGGAACCTGTTCGGGTTGTAGGGCGTTATAGGCGGCAAGGTCAACTTCATGTTTCTTCTTGGCCCTACCGTGCTGATCACGGTAGAACTGATGTTATGGATGAGCGACGATGATATACATACGATCGACAGGCACGTACATCTTTCTTGTCTTCGGACAACGTCTTCCACTGGTCACCGATGAGTCTTAGCAACTCCTTGTGAGACATGTCTGGATGTTCTTTCTTGTACGCAGAACGAATATCATTTTGGAACAAGATGTAAGCGGAGGCAGGCCCCTTTGGTGCATTGGGATCTTTGGCTTTCTTTTCGCGCTTCTTCTTTCCGGGAACACCATTCTCACTGGTCTCAAGCGCGATGAGCTTGCGCTTACGCGATGGTTTCGCGATTGCCGTGTTCAAAAGTTCGGTGAGATTGTTAACAGTTGTTTCATCGATGGGTACTTCGGCGACAGCCTTGGAAAGCACTTCTGCAAGAGCACTGAACTGACGCGCGGCATTGTTGAACTTGATCGCGAGCTAAATAGGAGAACGCGTCGAGAGTGAGTAGACGCGATGATTATAATTAGTATTAGGGAATACGGACCTGAGCCTTCTTCTGGTCAAGGTCAAGTTCTTCTTTTGGCTCTTTAGGTGGCATGATTTATTAGAAAAGGAGGGTAGTGAGAAAAAGACAAGGGAGGATTCAGAAAAATCAAGTTTGTTGACGGTTGTAAGGGAATTATAAACTTTTGTTTGTTGACAACTATTAGGGTTTCCTATTGAAACAATTGTAACTAATAGGAAATCAGGTAATGAAAGCACAAACCTTGTGTACTAGCTAGATGGCGTCTTGTTTAGAGTCATTTCATTAGAATGTCTTGGTTCTCTTTGTGCAGTTTGTGCTTGGAACAATGTTTCACACCAATAATAAATAACAACGGTGACCCTTGGTAATAACCTCTGCCGAGTCGCCGACTGTGATTATTAAATCGGAGATAGAAAAACAAGGGTTGTTCGCTGTGGTGACGAAAGCTGACACTCGCACCCTCAACTGAGCCAGGTCTCTCAGGCAGTTTTTGAGCCGTAGAACGCACTGCAAAAAAAGGTGATAGAAGGCTTGTATACCGTCTACATTTCTTTCCTGCTTTCCCTGCGTCTCGTTGCACAGAAATAAGCCGTTTAGTGTTGCCCCAATAACGCTTGAGAACGAAGCAGCAGAAAAAGAAGAAAACAGTCCTTATGGATTTGTATTCGAATGCGCAAAACTGGACGCAGAATTTAACTGGAGGCACTCCATCCACCGACGACTGGAAAGAACAGTCGTCCCCCACAAATGGAGCAGGAGGCCCTCCTGGATCAACGGCGCAGCAGCCAAGTCTCGATTTGAGCGACTATACAATAGGCGACCTTGCGGGTAAGCATCTCATTCATAAGCGCCCGTGCTACAAACACGCTATTGAGCGCCCTTGCGTAAAAATGTTAAAATAATGGTTATCCTCTCTTGTAATAGGACCTTCAACGTCTTCTTCCATCTCTCAACCACCTGCGTATTATGGCGGTCCATTCAATCCATTCTACTTGTCTTCAGTTCCCGGTCCCTATAATGCCGTACCTTATGGTTCGATGTCCTGGACTAATCCACAAACTCATTTACCGTTGTCGAATTACTCCACGCTCAATGGTGCAACTTCCACAACCTCCTCTCAACAGTCCACTTCTCAGCATCAATCGCCCCCCGCACAGAACCAGCAGCCCATGATGATCGAGTACGTTCTACTTTCTTTGTTTAATCATCTTATTCAAACATTTATTGCAGTCCTGCATTGACAACTATGAACGGATCTGGATCGGAACCGCCCCGACAATATACGCAGTCTCCAACTCATGTAGCCCAAGCCACTCCCCAATCCCAACCACGACATCCATATCAATATCAGCATCCTACTTTATCCATTAATCCTGCCTATGTTCTTCCAGCACATTTTTATTCTTCGCATTTAACTCAGCATCAACCCACATCACAGTCTCAAGGCACTCTTTCGCCCCACGTTCTTCATTCACCTACTTCTACAATGATCGGACAATTATCTTCTTTCTATGCACAATCGCCATCTACACCTTCAACTTCTACGGCGACCACGGCGACCTCCACCACTGCTGCCCCCGCACAACCGCCGACGATAAACATTCAGGCTCGAAAGGATAGTTTCGTAACTGACATCAGACCACTTTTACAGCCCAACGCATTCGGCGGTGCGCGTGCTATTAACAATCTTGTTAATCTCATCGACGACTTTGGCTCTGAGGAGGTCGAACCTGCCCTACGAATGGAAATCCTCACCAAGATCCGCGATAATGCCGGCAATCATTACTTTCGGGCGTGGTCCGAAAATAATACTGCTATGGACATTACTCGGGAATGGCTAAAAGCCGCTGCCACAGCCAAGTCTGACACCCCGTTGGTTGACACTGTAATGCCGTTACTTCACGTATGTTACGCATGTTCAAGGCTGCAGGTTGCCTCTAATACTGTGCGAAGATCATTGACAGGTTACCGTTGTCAGTTGAGTCGCTCAAATCATCAAAGCTAGGCAAGATCATCGTCAAGTTAGTCAAGGAGCCTCCAGCTCCAGGTGAGCGTTCGGTTTCATAAATATCCGCTCACGCGGTCTCCGTGAGAGACTACGCGAACCGTGTACGATTCCGGCCTTGCAACCACAGTTTGCGTGTCTGTCGTATTATTACTACTTGCTTGAGTCAACGAAAATTACATGTATCTAACTTTTGTTTGATTTCTGTGTTACCCAAATGTGCAGCGATCAAGGACATGGCATCGAACTTGGAACGGAGATGGCGACAATTGGTCGAAACTGCCCAAAAGCAGGCAGAAAATACTCAAACTGAGGGTGGGTCACGTCAGTCCGTTGCACCAGTGAACAAGCGCTCATGGATCCATGCCTTGCAGATTCGAAGCTCAAAAAGCGAAAGCCTGTCGAACAGCCATCAGCAAAAGCGCCACCACCAAAGAAGGCCGCCGTAGCGCCTACTGCCTCCGCGTTCAAGCCAACGGCGGTGAAGAAAGAGACGAAACCTACTGTAGCCCTCAAAGATGCCCGTTCCGATTCCTCATTCTTTTCTGCGCCGAAACCGAAAGCCAAGTTACCAAGCTTCAAGAAAGCCCCAGCACCTGTCAAGAAGGAACCTGATCTTAATGTTGCGCAACCGTCATCGATCGATCCGTTCCAAGAGGCGTTGAAGTCGATGGGTAAGGGGCGTAGAGACTCTCCAATAACGCCCACACCGCCACCAGCTTCGATGTCGATTACGCCACCCCTGATGACTTCTGGAAAAACAAAGAGAAAATCTGTGACATGGGCTCCTGATGGTCAACTAGAATCGATCCGGCTGATAGAACGAGCTGTGTATGACGATGACCCTGTTGATGTCAGCATTCTACTCTCGTTTTTTATGTTGACGTACAGTACTTATATTGATGTCACGAATACCTTTGTGTGTTTTATTCACATAGGGTGTTCATACTGCTCACAGTTTGCGCGATCTGGATCGGGGAGAGGGTGCTGCTCTACACGCTCCCCTATTCGAGGAAGTTATCGATTGGACGGATCCAATAAGTGAGCAAATTATTATCGTTATCATGAGTCGCCACCAATTAATAAACACAATCTATAGCTCTCGAATTCGATCTCGAAGCGTCCCAACGCGGACAGAATAGTACAGAAAAGACGACTCAGGAGGAGCGTGAGCAAACAGCTTTGGGTGCACTATATATGTCGTCAGCACAGATACCTGACAGTCCTGGCGAGCCCACAACGATCATCAGTGATGAAGAGATAGATGTGGACGTGAAGACCATGACGGTAGGGTCAGAGTGCGATAATTTCTTCTGGAGAGAAGTCGATTTGCCTCAGCCCAACGCTGCATCTGTCGCTGATCTCGTAGGCCAGTTATCGGGAGGTTTTGATTCGATGAGTGCGCCCACCAGCGCGGGCATCCAACCATTTGGCTTTGATCCCGCACTGCTTTCACAATTGCCTATTGCTCCAGAACAGGTGCAGGAATTGATGCAGCAGGCTCAAGCGTTATTTAACCAGCACCCCTCTGGGCCCGGTGTGCAGGCCCAATTTGGAGGCCCAGATCAGAACTGGAATTCGAATGCCGCCGGTGATTTTGGTCGAGGATATGCTGATAATGGCGGTGCTCGCGGGCGATGGGCGTCAGATAGGGGTCAGTTTCGCGGTCGTGGACGTGGTCGCGGACGGGGAGAAGATGGATCGTATAGAAGTAGTAAACGAAAACCATGCAGTTTTTTTGCAGAAGGAAGGCGAGCATCAAACATGTCAAATTCTGGGTCGTGAGACTAAAACTGATTTAACGTAATAACAGGTGCAGATATGGCGATCAGTGCGATTTCAGCCATGAACCTATTTATTCGTGATGCAGATGGGGAGGGGTTTAGAGATGGGTGGTAGCATCGTATACAGCATTGAGCATGTTCCGTGGACTAACATTTTTGATATCTGATATGATGGCAAGATCTTGGTGAACTTAAAAATCAAAAAGGTGAACACGCCGTGTTGTGATGATACAGACAAGCTATAAATAAAAACAGGTGGATGTAAGTTCTACTTGACAATGAGCGTGGCACTAGCAAAGATAGAATACTATGTCGATGTCGAAGCTAGCATCATTCAATGCGACAAAACAATATGATCGCTCAGATCGGTCGACGACGAAGCAACAAAAGAAATCCCGAATATATATAAATCATCCCGCTACCGTCTCTGAGTTATCTTTCGCGTCTTTTTTGAAGGCTCGGCGTTTGATTGAGAAGGTGAATTGGTGTCGTTGGTCTTGCGTTTGAGGGTAGCCGAGGTCATTGAGGGCGTTGTCATGCCAGATTGGGAAGGTGTGGGTGCATTGGCTGGATTTGAGGAGTTTGGGGTGCCAGATGCCGTTGGGGGTCTGGTCTGCTTTTGTGAGTTGTCAGCCGAGGGAGGGAGGTTTTTTGGGGAGTGCGCAGAGGGCCCAGGATGCGATACTGACGGTGATGAAGACATGCTATGATACAATGTCACCGCTGGCGATGTTGAGAGCCCATTCATGGTTTGAATGGGGAGGAAATGCCCATTTGAGAGAGGCATGCCCATATAGGGACCCCCTTGGGACCCTTCTCGTAGCTTGTCTGCTAGCTTTGCAAGGGCGTCTAACCGTTCCAGCAAGTTAGCAACCGTTCACCAAGAGTCTCAACAAGCAAACATTACCCATTGGTCCTAGCTTCGTTTCATTCGCAAATGTGATTAGATCGGTCATCTGACTGACACTTTCTGCCAACTACCGCGCCTCGCATTGAGCAAAGAGAATTCGGAGCCGAAAAGTACGTACCTCCAGACACCGCATCGTAGCTTGCGGAATCCCAAATGCGTTCACAGGTTCTCCCGGTATCGACGCATGGTCGATCATAACTCTGGGTTCTTCCCATATTCTCTCATCATCCATCCTATGCATCACCGTCCCGTTCGGACTTGGCGTTGGTGCTGTCCTCACGCGTGGCGTCTTTGGCGACTCCGATTGCCTATGACCCATCACCGAGTCTAAGGCGATGAATTTTTCGTGATGATTTGCATCGAATTGTAGGTGATCAAATTTGAGGGAATATGGCGGCGTTTGGGAGGTGGCGGCGTTTGGGTGAGGAATGAGAATAACGTGGACTGTGAGCGGGCCCCGAAGTGTGACTGTGTACCCGTTGGTGTATCGGTATGTCCAAACAGCCGCAACACACTCCACTACCGCGTGGTGTTGTGAGAGTAGCCGTTCTCGGGCACCGTCTAGCGAGAGTGTCATGGATTTGACGCCGGATTGGGTAGTGACTAGAAAAAACCGAGGCAAGATAGGTACGCCAATCTCTGATGGGCCGGAAAGGATGAGCAAAGTTAAAACTTGAGGAATCTACGACTAACCGAAAGGCTTTGCTTCATTCCGCTGATTATCTTTCCATAGGGTAAATTTCATTATGGCCGTCGGAGTGAAGTAGTCTTTCACAACAGTTTCCCAGTGTGATAACTGATGTTTCTACCGAGGATTCATGATTGAGAGAGGATATTAATATGAAATGACGTACAGTGGGGTTTTCGGCTGAAAGGACTCCGCTAAATTGAAGCAATCGAACAAGACCCTGTCCAAGACCAACGGGCATGGCCACCCTTTGGGAGAACATAAGTAGAGCCAAGATAAGCAATCTGAATAACACTTACACAGGAGAGGTGCGAATGGAAGGCGGGACCGTCGGCTCCGAGGACGGCGCGGTCGTAACGGGAGGTGCAGTAGCAGCACTCGTCGAAGACTGTGGCGGCCGTGGAGCTATCGGCTGCTGCCCTGGAGTTGCCTGCCGTTGTTGATGCGGTGATGTCTGTGCTTGTGCGATGGGGGGTATACGCGTAGGAGGAAGAAGACCGCTGGAGGATGAAGATGGAAGTTGGGTGTGCGAAGCTCGGGGTGTTTGCGACGGCCCAGCTTGTGATGGTGGTCTAACAGAGGGACCCTGTGGCTGAGACTGGGGTCTTGGAGGTTGTTGTTGTACATGACCTGCCATAGGATCGGGCTGATGTGGAGAGTGTTGATGGGGAGGTGGCGGTTGCCGAGATGGTATGGAAGGATGTGCACTGGACGTAGGGTGAGATGGAGGACGAGGGGGAACATTTACTTGGGTTGGCATGTTGAAATTACTGCCAAAATTGTTATCAGTGTGCTGCATATGCTCAAACTGCTGGGCAGGAGTGAGGAATCCAGGACGACTGCTTTGATTAGACATAACATCTGTCATGTTCTGCTGAATGTCCATGTCACTCTGGGTGGATGAAGGCACAAAAGTAGTGAAGGAAGAGTTGGCGGACGATATTCGATTACCTCCGGGGGTAAAGCCAGGGTTGAACTGGGGATTCTGGATACCCATGAATACCCCATCACCGGGGTTCATTGGACGCGTACCGGGGGGTTGTGAAGGACCAGGCGTACCCATGATCATATTGGAGGCATGACCTTGGGAAGGACCTGAAGGACGAGGAGAAGAAGAAGTGATTGGATGATGCGAGTGGGATGGAAAACCATTTGGTGGCATTGTTGTAGGAGTTCCGGTTTGAGGAAGAGTTGGTTGTGATAGACTGTTCATCAACTGGGGTTGGGATGATTGAGTTCGCATTGGATTTTGACCTTGAGAGCGATTTAGAGTAATAGAGTCGGGTGACATCGAGGGAGGGATTGAGCCGGGGATACGGGACAACATTGGTTGAGCGGATGGTTGACGTAGATGAGAAGGAATATTATTTTGTGGATTCATTGGAGGTATGCCAGGCATATTTGGTTGACCGGGATGTATTGCTTGAACGTGATTGACCTGATTGAGCGCCTGTGGATGAGAGGCGACTCTTCCAACCTGTCCAAGATTGTTTCCACCTTGAGACATCATGTTACCCGAAAAAGCGATTGAATGAAGAGGGTGTTGAGGGATAGAGTTTATATGAGAATTAGCTTGTGAAGCTGCTGCTGCGGTGCTCATCTGAACATTCTGTGCCTGCTGTTGCTGCTGCTGCAACTGCTGCTGTAGCTGGTGACGACGACGGACCTCATATGGCATGCTGTTTTGGGATTGTGGACCGCCGGCTGCTAGTAAGTTCATTGGAGGCATGAGCGACGGTACGTGATTCGGAGGAGGCTGTTGCTGCTGTGGTTGTTGTTGTTGTTGTTGTTGAAAGTGAGGAGAGGGATTCATGGAAAGTTGTGCCATGCTCGGTCTAAGCATGTCACCATGTCGAACGTTCATGACGATCAAAGATATATGAAGAGTAGAACGATGACGAGGAGGAGGACAAGGACGAATTCGACGAGTACGACAACGACAACGACAACAATAACGACGAGGTCGACTAGCTAGACTATTAATTGAGATTGGTCGAAGGACGACAAGGGTCGACGTCGTCCAAGTTTGAATCTAGTCCAAGGTACTACCAAGACTCTCACACGCAGCCTTCGTTTACCACGTGCTTGACAGCACAATCACCGGAATCAAAATTTTATAAACACAGCATTCAGCTATAGCACTCATGGTCCGCAAATTCAAGTATCATGAGCAGAAATTGCTCAAGAAAGTCGACTTTCTAAACGTATGTCTTATTCTCTATTCAATAAATCGTCATTAACCAAAAGACTATAAAGTGGAAACAAGATGCAAATATTCGTGAGATCAAAGTCATTCGCAGGTACCATATCCAGGACAGAGAAGATTACCACAAGTAAGCTTCTAACTCCTCCGTCGATCATGTTATCATGAACATCATCACAGGTACAACAAGCTTTGCGGTGCTCTAAGATCATTCGCACACCGTCTATCCGTTCTACCGGCTCAAGACCCATTTCGTACCCGCATGGAGTCACAGCTACTCTCAAAACTCTATGACATCGGCGTACTCAACTCCCAAGCAAAATTAAGTGACGTTGATAACAAGATAACCGTCGCTGCCTTCTGCAGGCGTCGCCTTGCTGTTTTCATGTGCATGAGCAAGATGGCAGAAACGGTCAGCGCAGTACGTCTAAACCTATTCGACTTGTACTCCCAGCTCACTTCTTCAGGCTGCAAAATTTATCGAACAAGGTCACGTCCGTGTTGGTCCTGATACTATCACCGATCCCGCTTTTCTTGTCACGAGGCGCGTTACAAAATTATTCTCGTTTCCGTATTCTTACCGCCTCTCAGACACATGGAAGACTTCGTTACTTGGGTGGACACTTCCAAGTTGAAGAGAACCATCATGAACTACAATGACGAGGTAAGTGATCAACTGCAAAATTCACATTTCTTCCTGACCATCTTCCGAAGCTCGACGATTACGATCTACTATAATCGCCCATCGACACGTCTACGGTCGATTATGTCGTCATGTGCGTTACCTCCGTATTGTCGGTTCCTCGCGGACTTAACCTTAACTCACCAACCTTCGTCAGCCTATTCTCGGTGCCGCTCCCTTGGCCGTCTTGACGGCAGGCACTCGAAGCATGTCATATTCAGACTGCCGATGACACAGCATGAAAGTCGTAACAACACTGCACTCGTTCACATATTCTCGTGATTGTGCTAGGGTTTGGACTCGTAATAGGTCTTGATACACTGCTATGAATAGATCGGGAGCTGCTTCTTTAACCATGTGCGGTTATTCGTTGTTCTTGCTACTCGAATTATGGATCGTGTCTTCGTTGCAACGCGAGCTACCGACACGAATATGGATCGCAAAGCATTCAGCACGAAGATAACGACGGCTATTAGGCGGCAACGGGCCCATGAAGGGACAGGGGTACCTAGCATTTGAGATTATATATGTTCGACCAATACGATGCTTGCCCTGTGATTTCTGAGTTGTACGTACTAGTACTCAGCGCCCAGAACAGCATCGGTCAAGTGACGAGCTAGTTATGGATAGCAACAATCCACCGAAATGACGCATGTGCTGTGCTGCAGAAGTATGAGTGGAACCCATTCAAAAGCCACATATACAAGTCATTTATACGAAGTCGGAGGATCCAGCAGCATCAAACTTATATATATTTGCAGTTAATGACTGAATACATTGGTGACCCTTGCATGATTGTGAGACACTAAAATATTTATGATCTTTCTCCACCTTCTCCCTTTCCCATACATCTCTGAATTTTCGCCATCTTGTGATAACGACGAAGCAAGAGACGATGTGAAGCTATCCTCGTTTGTCAGGGTCAGTAGCTCGGTAAAGTTATAGTCGAGCGTCTGTCGTAGACTCATATTTATTTGAACGGAAGCGCAAGATTGGACACGCATCGTTTTATGCTACTTCTTGTCAATGAGGCGGTCTCGTAGCAGCGAAAAAGCAAGGGCTGTTGTAAACACAACCTCGTTCGTTAGAGTGAAGAGCCTGCGATATTATAGTCGAGTGTCGAGTACCTCCGAATCCATGTCATGAAGAACATATAACTGAAACCTCAAGCGAATATCAAGTAAACTGAGGGACGGGTTCAGTTCGGACCTTAGTCGATTTTTGCCTTGATGCATGTACATGAATCGTCAAAGAGGATATAAGTAGAGTGTCGAATCGTTGAGTCAATCAGTGAAGTAGGCCAATTAACTTTATATTCAACTGTGGATTTTGTAATCCACACGTGCACGTGAATTTGATCCTGGACTCGCTCAAACGCGTTAAACTGCCGCCAGACCAATACCCTTCCTTTTGTCCCACTCTAGTTACAACCATCCTTTTGCGACATTTCTCGCTCATAGAACATTTTCTTTCCACAGGACTCACAATAATTGGTTCGGAGCTCCTCTGCTTTATACTCCACTTTGACTATGGCCGAAGGAGACGGCAACATCAAAGTGGTGGTGCGATGTAGACCCCTCAATTCTCGCGGTGCGTTTGTGAGGGATATGCATGCATCGTTCATACTCATTTCAACTTTCCGAATTCTGGCTTACAGAACTCGCACGAGGTGCTAAACCACTCGTCCGGATGCAGGGCAACCAGACTTTCCTCGATCCACCAGAACATGGTTCCCAGCAAGATTCAAAACGCGCTACGGAACGCAAGACGATGGCCTTTGGCTTCGATAGGAGTTATTGGTCTGCGGGACCACGAGATGAACCGGGTTATTGCTCGCAGCAGACTTTGTATGACGACCTGGGAAAGGAGTTGTTGGATCATGGATTTGCAGGATTTAATGCTTGTATTTTGGCTTGTGAGTAATTTATGTTTTGGTCGTCCGTCCGTGAGAAGCTGTGCGTGCTGATGCTACTTTGGTCTGGCAGATGGGCAGACTGGTATGCTTGCTTTTTATTTTGGACTGGGTCTAGCTCATGTGTCTTGACCAGGATCTGGTAAATCATATAGGTATGTTCAAGCGTATTCTCTTGGTGTGTGATACTGAGGGTCGGTGTACAGTATGATGGGATGTGCGTACGATGAAACGAATGACTCACATGCTACTTATGAAGATGATCACTAGATGGACCCGACAAAGGAATCATACCCTTGACATGTTCCGAGCTGTTTGTACGTGTAGTGGAGAAGAAGGCTGCAGACCCCAACATCAATTTCACCGTAGAGGTTTCATACATTGAGGTACGCCGCATACTTTGAACCTCAATCCAATCCTCACTTTATTTTACTCTTAGATCTATAACGAGAAAGTACGCGACCTCTTGAATCCCAAGAACACAGGAAACCTTCGAGTGCGCGAACATCCTAGCTTGGGTCCGTATGTAGAGGATCTATCGAAGCTAGTCGTGAACAACTACCACGAGATGATGACGCTCATGGACGAGGGCAACAAAGCGCGCACAGTCGCTGCCACGAACATGAACGAAACCTCTTCCCGATCTCATGCAGTATTTACGCTGTTGTTGACTATGAAGAGACACGATGTAGACACGAATTTAGATACCGAGAAGGTGTCGCGAATTAGGTGCGTTTCCTCGCGTTGCGATTGTTTGACAGGTGTTCATTGATTCGTCTATCTGACGCGACGCAGTTTGGTTGACTTGGCAGGTTCTGAGCGGGCTAATTCGACAGGCGCCACTGGACAGCGTTTGAAGGAGGGAGCAAATATTAATAAATCACTCACTACTCTTGGGAAAGTCATTTCTTCTCTTGCGCTTGCGAGTCAAGATGGGGGGAAGAAGGGGAGGAAAGGAAAGGCTGAAGAATTTGTGCCTTACCGTGACTCGGTGCGTCATATCTCTTTACTGTATGGTATCTATTTATAGATTTCAACTAGGTATTGACATGGTTGCTGAAAGACACTTTGGGCGGGAACTCCAAAACTGCTATGATAGCCGCCATCTCTCCTGCAGATTATGAGGAGACGCTGAGTACCCTACGATACGCTGACCAAGCGAAGAAGATCAAGAACAAGGCTGTCGTAAACGAGGACCCTAATGCCAAACTTGTTCGCGAGCTCAAGGAGGAACTCGAATTGCTTAGAGGTAACTTTCGTCATTTCATGTTTTGACAGCTGGTTGACACTCCTCAGCACGTGTGGCGATGTCCTCCGGCGAGGATACATTCGACCCGCACGTTCCGCCTGAGAAACAGAAGGTCACGTACAAGACAAAGGATGGAACGATTAAGACTGTTACCAAAGCGGAGTTGCAGGAGCAGATGGAGACGAGCGAGAAATTGATGCAGAGTTTGAATGAGACGTGGGAGCAGAAGATGTCTCGGACGCAGGAGGTACAAAAAGAGCGGGAGAAGGCGCTTGAAGAGCTTGGTATCACAGTCGAGAAGAATCTAGTGGGGGTACATACCCCGAAGAAGGTGAGGATGGGACGCATGCAGGGAGAGTTTTGTGCTAATCTACTGGTCGTGTTTGTTTTGAAGATGCCACATTTAGTGAACTTGGTCAGTCGATTTCGGATTTATTTGTGAGTTTTGTGTTTAAACTTCTATTACATCTTTTCAGAATGAAGGTGAGAGCTTGAGATTTAGTCCCCACGCAATCTGATCATGTATTCCATCAGATCCTCTCATGAGCGAATGTTTGATCTACCAACTCAAACCTGGCACAACCATCGTATGAGTGCTCTTCGTTTGCTCGTTGCTGCTGAATGTACAGGTGTTATTCGATAGGTCGGTCGCTTGGACAGCGAAAAACCTGCCGCAATTCGACTGAGCGGTGAAAATATCCTCGAGGAACATTGTTACTTTGAGAACACAGACGGTAAAGTAACCCTCCACGCTATGCCCGAGAGCGTCACTGTGAGAATCATTTTTGTATACACGCTGCGATTTTCCTAACTATGTTTGCAGTTCTTGAATGGCAAGCAAGTTTCTCCTGGACAGGTAAATCGATTGGTTTTCAAAAGGAAAGGACTCAATATCATTGATATAGTCTTATAAACTGCGTTCTGGATACCGGATCATCCTTGGTATGAATATAATTTTTCTTGGTGGTGGAGAATAACTCATCTGTATTGTTTAGGGGAGCACCACGTCTTCAGGTTTAATAATCCCGAGGAAGTCCGCAAGCAACGTGATCGTGCTACGGCCAGATCCAACATGCACTTGAGTGTGTCTGCTGCCGATGTAGAAGGCGATTCAGTGTCACCATCCACGCGCCCGGAATCGAGGGCATCCTCTGCGGGCGAAGCTGATGTAGACTGGAATTTTGCACGTCGAGAAGCCGCACTAGCACGCCTTGGCCTGGACCCTGCGCTTGATAGCCTACCAGACGAAGACATCAATAGGCTCTTCGAACGCATAACGAAGGTGAAGTCAATGCGAGATCACAACTCTAAACCACGGCCAGAAAGTAGCCTTAGCGCTCGGGACGATATCTGGAGCGAGTCAGGCCGACCTTTCTCGAGTGACGCTACTACAGACGACACAAGCCTTGAAGCTGGAGCGAGTCACAGCACACCTGACGTTGACGGACCTTTGAAGGACGTTCAGTTCCAACTGGAGTCCCGTCTTCAAGCTATCACAGAGTCTAGTGAGGCGGAAGACTTGAAAGTAGAGAAAGATCATATGGAGCACCAACTGAAAATGGTGCAGCAGCAGCTTAAACGCATGATAAATGCACGGGCTCGGGGAGAATCTGAAGAAGAGGTTGAGCGTTTCGAGCCCGTCATCTATACGGCAAGACAATTACGGCTCATTCGCAAAGTCCTGGACAAGTGGAGAGCCCATCGCTCATTTTCAATGGCTGAAGCTGTTTTGTCCAACGCTGTGCTTGTAAAAGAAGCCAACGTAATTAGGTGAGCTGTCACTTGAATCTCTAGATATCAACGGTCTCATTCAAATTAGCAAAGAATTGGGCAAGGAGGTTTCCTACAACTTCACCATTGCTTCTGGCGGGTCCCTTGCAGCTCCGATATCTGGAGTTGATACAATCGGAGGTCTGGACGGTTTCGGTGATGTTGCCGACCCCATACTAGCATCAGCAACTCAACCCTCCGTCGCCATCAAGGTTCTCGATAAACGGCATAATGCTATCTACACCTGGTCCTTGGATCGCCTTCAGCAACGAGTCAAGCGGATGAGAAACTTGACTACATACATTGATAGACCATCATATACCCAGCATTTCAGCTCGGATGAACCTTTTTACGATTCCCCTCCCCCACAATTCTCATTCATCGGCAATGCCCTCCTATCACTTGCACCCCTATCACGCCGAATTTCATCTGCATCAGTCGTGCCAATATTCTGCCGGTACACTGCGGAAGCAATAGGCTCGTGTCGCGTGGATATTAAGATTTCCAGTGTTCTGCAAGCGTCGAAGCATGGTACTCCCGCGTCAACCCGCCCTACATCCCCAGCCCCATCGGCCATACCACCCGGAAGTAAGATCAGCTTCTTCCTCACCGTAGATTCGATCAAAGGTTTATCCTCACATGACTTCTCGGCACTACACCTCCAACTGCGTTTATCATCTTTCGTGGGACCATCACTCACGAGTGAAGAGATATTCTCATCCACTGCACTCGATATGGAGACATCTTCTCTGTCGGAACTAAGGTTTCGCCGTGCGTTTTTGATCGTAACTTCTTCCAAGGTAATCGCATACTTGCGCCAAGGCTACGCTCCCATAGAGTTTTTTGCGGCTGCTAAACCCACATATTTGGAGCGTCTTGAACGCTGGGATGAAATGCGCGAACTCGGGGTTCATAACTGGTCAAGCCCTCTTGGGGCTCACACAGACACACTTCCAGTCATCCTCCCCCAGATGCGCCGCTCGGAAACCGATTTTGTAGTGGAACAAGCCCATGACGTAGTTGCTTCTGTCCAAATAAAGGAGCTCGGGGCTGATGGTCAGTACGTTCCAGTACCCGTAGTTTCTCAGGGAAGCCTCGATCCGGGGGTTTTCTCTCTACATCAGGGACTGCAGCGTAGAATCGCTCTCGTGCTTTCATCAGATTCCGGACTGCAACTCCCATGGACAGATGTCACAAGAATACGTCTGGGAAATGTGCGCCTCCTCGATCCAAAAGGTCGCCAGCACAATTCGACATCGAAAATAATGGTTACGCTCCCGCTATTGGCAGATCAAAGTGTTACGTTCAGACCGGATGGAACGGGGACCCTCACAGCAGAAGCACTATGGGACTCGAGTGTTCATGATTCCCTCCTGCTCAATCGAGTTACGGCGAGTGCACACCGAGTGATACTGCAGGTTGCCTGGTCCATTGCTGTGGACACGTGTAATGAACCAGTGCAGTTTAGCATGGACATAGCTGTTGCCATTCAGACACGGGACGCACGCCCGCCCGGCCGATTACTAACGTTCCTAAGTTCCGGGAAGATTACCTCCCGTATCAGCTCAATCTTCAGCCTTCGTCTTTCGCCTCCTTTGACACGGTCACCTCAGGATCTGTGGCGCTTGGATACGTCGGAAAAATATGTACGTGGCGAGGAGTTACTGAACACGTGGAAACCACGCGGTATCTCAGTAGTGGAGGATTACAACCGGCTTGTTTTAACGGAACGACGGGCGGCGGATGTTCAAGCAGTTCGGGTGTTGTCGGCATCTTCATATTTACCTGCGCGCCCTGATTCGGGGGCTGTTGTTTGGGGTTCGGAAGCACTGCTGCGGAAGGCACTAGGTCTCTGGCAAAAACGCTTCGGTCATGCAGGAGAAGTAAGCTGGTTCAAGTTGGATTTACATGTTTTAACGTCAATTATTCCCAGATCATTTTGAGTCAAGTGCCTACAGAGATCGACTGTGTCGTTGCATCTGGGAAGCCTTCCACCCGTGCGCTCCCACAAGGCGTGAAACTGAATTCCTCCACTACGCTTGTACCTCGTAGGCAAGCTCATGGTTACTCGAGTCCTCGCGAATGTTTCTGACTTCCAATCCTCTCCATAGCGACGGACCCACAAAAAAAGGCCATCTCCTAATTCTGACAGACGCCAGTCAAAATATTTGGGAAAAGCGCTGGTTCGTCCTTCGAAGGTAATCTGCCCCGAATAACTTTCCATGCAGAACACTTCTTACATTTGATATAGACCCTATCTACATATCTACACACACTCCAACGAATTGGAGCAAACCGGTGTTATAAGTCTTCACGGAGCAAACCTTGAATGTGACACACAGAAGGAGCAGCTTTTGGGTGTAAGCCCTCCTATTCATATCTCAGATGTGCTGGTGCTTAGCTTTCACATAGAAACAATTCTGTTTTACACTCTTTACTACTGCGAACTCGCACGCACTTGCCGCACCGTCGTTCAAAGAGTTACAGTCATGGACTTCAAAGCTCGACCCTACTGGCACCATCTGATATACCACGCAGCATCGCTGCTTCCATGTTGTGGATCCTCATCGTCGGTTTTATGTTCGCCATCACCTGTCTCTTATGCTATACCTTACGTATGTTATTCCCTCCGCCACTTGTAGACAGCTCAGCCATGACTGAATGAACTTACTATATATCGCAACCATCCCAGGGGCGTCGGAAGTTAGACCGGGGAAATATATTCTCTCGCAAACACGGGACAACGTTGTGGCACCGGTAGTGCAGCCATCTGTGCGTCACACGCATTCACCTATGCATAAGGCAATGCTTTGTTTAAGGTTTCGAGGCGAACTACGTATGCGGATAATGAGGCTACATACTCTGTAGCTTCCCTGTCCATCTGACAAGTCACTTGACGGTTCACTCAATTGCATCGGTTTGACTAACATATTGTGTCTCACGCAGCCATCGCTTGTTTGGGGCCATGCCATTATGTCAAGCCGAGCACACCTTTACATCCGCAAACTTAAAGTGTTTCTCGTTGTGCGTTAACGACCAAATGACTGCGGAAATTTCGCGGTGGAATCGGGTGCCACGAGCCTGATTGCATGATACATCAATGATTATTACAGGCCAAGCCTAGGCCTGGCACGAGAATTGGTTACGTACGATAATCATTATTGTGGCGGGCCAAGATGACGGGCCACTGGCAGTTTCACCTGGTAAGGTTGTTCAGACCTGGTTTCAACTTAACTTAACTTAGATCATGAAATGTTGCGCCTGCAGTCCACTCATCATTGTAGGCATATATCGCTCAGTACGTATATGGCAGTGAGCGCTCAATATTCAATGGCGATTTCCGTCGTATTTTGTGTTTCAGGAGTAGTCAGACTAGTCTACATACAATCACCGTCTTGCCGGCATTGCAGTTTTTGACGTGACGAACCGACATCGGCAATGCAGGATGGAAAGTGCCTTTTGAAATAATTCACACCTCTGCCAACAACGCTCTTCCTCAGATCATGATAGAAAGTTAAACGACAGAACCTCAATCTTCTAATGGCGGCCTGCAGGATGACAAGGACGAGATCTTTCTCACCTTCAACTTTTCAATGTATGTGAGTCAGTTCGACTACAATTAGCTAATGTCAATTTTGTAAGTGATCCGGCGAGTCGGACAAACCCGTGCGTGTAATTTTCTCGACATTATGAAGTCCAATCATTGGTAAGTGCTAAGTCAGCGCATTCAAGCCTCCAGGGGCATCGGATTTGTCAAGTTGAAGCTGAAAGATAGGGAGCGAGCTCTTTGACCCTTGCTCGGAACAAGTTGCTTACAACAGCGGCGAAGTCAAGTTGCCATACCGAGGGTAGTTGTTCATAAAACAATAATATTCCCGTACGTAAATAGGAGACAGTGGTAAGGTGTTATGGATGCAGAAGTAACGATATAAAGTCGCGGATCTATGCAACGTATTGATACAGTAGTCGAGTAGAACGAAATGTTCCCAGTCGAGCGGAATATATAGGCAGGAGATCATCAGCATAATAATGGGAGGAATAAAGTAGTAATGAGCACGAGTCTATGTGCACAGGCATCGATCTTTATAAGATCCTTTTCCAGAATAATTCGGATCCCTGAATCAGAACGCGGACAATGATGCACTTTAATTTCAGTCGCAGGTGACGGGACAGTCATTCTAGGAATGGAATTAGGAATGGGCCAAGAAAAAAATGACGACAACTTACAGGACGGGTGAATGTGAGCATATGGCAGGTGATGTAACCCTTGGCAAAACCAGCACCCGCATATGCGAACAAGTATTGCCATTTGCGCCGGAAAATATCGAATTCGGCCTTGTCTTTTAGACTAGGGTAGTCCTGGACGATCAGATCTTGTCTGACATTGGCATCAAGACGACGTCCCCATTCGCGCAATGTCCGTGGGTAGTCTATACAAGGGTCAGTTATTGAAAATGCCATATGGAGCAACAAGCACGTACGAGCTGCGTGGTTTTCGACACCCTCGAGCGTGAAACGCCCTTCTGAACCGGTGTTTGCGCCAGTGATGAGTGCCGTGGCACTCGGAAGGCATGAATTAGGCCACATGTATTTGCGCATGAAGTCTTCGGGCCTATATCTCTGGGTGAGTATGGAGAGTTTTAGAAATGCAAACAACATACTGATAGCCAGAGTACCGCGATTCTGGGAACGTTGATGCGCTAACCACAGCTGTTGCATTGCTGGATTTGAGAGCAAAGTCGACGAGTTTGAAGTAACCATGGTAATGCTTAGAGCCCACATGCTGTACGGTTGAGGGTAAATCATCACGATGACGGCACTGGTAATTGATTGCATACCTCAAGCATTTCGATGCTGATAAATGCGTCGAAGGCCTTTTCGAAAGAAGGAGGGATCTCGCGGTAATCCATGAGATGAACACGAATGACATCTTGCAGACCGGCCGCCTTAATGCGTTCCTCTGCAAGAGCCTTTTGTTCTTTTGACAAAGTCAAAGTGTCAACTTCGCAACCAAACGTGCGAGCAGCCTGAAAGAGGTGAATGTGAGGGATGGAAGGAGAAATATTTATGGGGCAACTGACCTCGATAGCCATACCGCCCCAACCAGAACCGAATTCTAGTATCCGGTCACCTGGTTTTACTTTTGCGGCAGTGAGAACATAACGAATTTTACGGAGCTGAGCAGCTTCCAAATCGCCGGGTGTGGGACCTGAAATCAAGTCACCACGGACGCCACCTTCTGCTTCTGTCCATAGGGCACAGGAGTACATCATCTCCTGACTCAAGAAGGCCTAGAGGAGCGCTGTGAGATCGCATTATTGGCGTGAGAATAAGATGCGTTACCTTGAATAGCTCATTGGATTGATCGTAACTGGCGATGGCGTTCAAACGTGCTTTGGAGCGCGTCTGGCCGAGAAACGCATTTGATATCCCGGAAATTGCCGATGTTACGCGAGAGACGGCGGAAGACAAGTGGTCCATTCCAGACTCATTGTCCAGCCAAAGCTATTGGAAAAAGAATCAATTGTGGGCCGCATTAAAGGAGTTTGATGCGACTTACGTCCATGACGCCCTTCAAGTTATCTACTTCGACGTCTCCCATCATATAGGCTTCACTGACTATGGGGATGCGAATAAGGAATGGATATGACGTAGTGGATGGAACTTACAGCCCAGATCTTGAGAACTGAAGGGTGATGAGGATCTAGACATGATAAGAGGGGTGATGAAGGGGACGTACAAAAGAATGCGCATCCAAAAGTCAGTGTTGACGACTTTGAGGTAGACATCGTTAGAACCTTTTGAGCGAGTACCGAAGTGATGAACGCCTTCAGAATCGGCGACTGTCAAGTGTCCGCGAGTGATGGCTTTCTCCATGACGGCAAGGACCGAACTCCGCGCTAAAGTAGGTTAAGGAATGATAAGTTTGTTATCTATAAATTGACTGACCATAAGTGGATATGATAGTCTTTGGATTTGGGAGAACAATCGATAAGGATGAAGGAGAACGATAGAAATTTGGAGCTGAGGAGAATGTCAAAGCTGTGGAGGTCGCTGCGTTCAACATTTTGAAAGAATTTATAAGAAAGAAAAAGGAGAAAGAGGGGGGGGGAGGGAAGAACGAAAGGTACAGCGTAGGTTATGGAGAAGATGTAAGGTGGAGGCTTTTATACGTTGAACCCACGGAGGACCTTGTCATGGTGTCGCTTGGATGAAATCGTGGACTGAGACCGGCGAAAATAGATGGTGCATAGTTTTTGCATTTAGATCTCGATCCAAGTAATTTTGACGGAGTAAAACTTTGAGGATGATATAGATAGATCCGTTGCCGGACAATGTGCACGTCTCGTAAAACAATAAAGAATACATACAAACCGGAATTTTGCGATTAACCACAAGGTGGTCTCAGGATCACTATTGCAAGCGACACGTGGCTCCCACACACTTTGTTTCTCATTCCCAAACTTTTCGTGCCTCGTCACAGGCTATATTGTCACCGCATGCCATGTCACGTGTCTCATATTGAGACCAAACAAGGCCATTGCTACCCGTTTCGCTCCACCACCTGCCCCTGCCCAGGCATCGGAAGGTCAGTTCAACCTGTTCCGCGCTCGGTCTATACCACCCGGCCGTGATCCGGCTTCCCCCCGAAGCCTTTGCCAGCTCACGTTCCATTCCTCATGCGCCCTGCCAGGGCAACGGCCTACGATGTACGATCATCGCATACGACCCTAACCTTCCGTGGCCTCGATACCAACTCCTGCCTAAATTGATTATCCCTCAAGTTCTATAAAAGATACCATCCCTCGTGTTTTTAATATCCTTGCACACTGCCCAGCTTCGCCCTGACAATGTGCATCGCCAATTGATCGTCAAGAACTTGGCCGATATATGTCGGGTCTTCTCAGAGTCTCCTAACTAGTCTTGCTCTACGTTCTGAATATGCCCGTGTACTTGTCCACCACCCCTTGCCCTTTATCACTACGCATGGTTCTTAGGTACGATTACGGCTGATCCGGCCTATGACGATATATATATATATGTAGGGGCTGTTTCATGACAATCCGATTATCGTTCATAAACGCGTAATACACGCCGTGAACTTCTACTCTCATTCAGGAAAACTCAAATTCTACCTGAAGCTATGCATATGTGGGTAAACATTGTAGTAGGACCACAGCTGATCTGCCCCGTTCTGCCGACTCGGAGTGTGAGCTCATCTGCAAGCGCACTGACATTTCCACTCTTACCAGTGAAGATGCCTTGGCAATCCCCAAGGTTCGGTAACCCCTGAGAGTACGCACCCTCGAATCTCATGCACTAATCCTGAAGCGTTAATTCTAAAGGCCTGACTCCCTGTCAATTTTTACGTGTGCGGTTACCCGCTCCTAAAGTATGCGCTAGGGACGCCAACCAGTAAAGACGCGACTTGCATGCAGTACTGAAATTATAGTGCACATTTAATTCTTTTTTGGCCACAACTTTCAAAAATCGTAACGAGCGTCGGTGGAAAGAAAATAAAATAAATACCACAAAGTAGTCGAGAATTCTTGCTTCTCTCAAGGTTATACCCATACGGGCAGGCCGTGTTATGTTGTCAAGTCGTTCGCCCGACGCCCCCGCTCCTTCTCTGGAAGTAAAGAACGCGGGCTGTCCAAAAAAAAAACGGGGTTGCAGTTTCCGTTGCATGCTGCGGAAATGAGACCTAGACCGTCGTGCGGCACTCAATCGACATGGACGATGCGTCTCAGTGAAAGAAGGGCATTCACAACCAGATTTTCCAGAGTTTGATATGCGCGAGATGGAAAAAACATTACGCAAAACTAGTCGAGCTGTAGTAAAGCCTGTGAGCTACATCTTCAACGACCCAGTCAAGGCCTTGGATCAGATTAAGACCAGTAACTGCACTGCACGACCAGATCTTCCAGTTGTGAGATTTGATCCCAGGTAGATCCAGTGCCTGGATAGACTCATCAGCATCACTCGAGACCATCTGAATGGCAAGGAAGCTGGCCTCGCTGATTTCAAGATCTGACATCGACCCATGTATATCTTGTTTGTTCGCAAAGACGAGCAGAGAAGCTCCAGATAACCGCTAGCACACAATTTAGTCAGTTGCTGTCAGTAACCAGCATAAAGAACACATGTTACGTCTTCGAGAAGAAGGTTGTGTAGCTCTTCTCTGCAGTCCCGCATTCGCATTCTGTCCCCTGAATCGACTACCCAAACAATGGCATCTGTTTGTTCAAAGTAGTTGCGCCAGTATGGTCGAAGCGTTCGTTGACCGCCTACATCCCCTGATAGCAAAGATGTTTCCGTCACCAGAAAAGCACAAAGGGGGGTCTGTTCACTAACAAATGTTGAGAGTGTATCTGTGACGCGTGGCATCATGCCGATCAAACAGAGAAGATTTCTCTCAGTTGCAAAGAAAATCCAAGTTGAGTTACCAGGCTCACTTTCTGTGAATGAACGTCTTGATATTGAAACCAAGCGTGGGGCTCACGCTGGATGTGTCTTCGCCGTTGATCTTTTTTAAGATAGTCGTTTTACCAGCATTATCCAGTCCTCTGGGCGGATGTTGAGTGGGAAGGATAAACTCGGAGAGCTGCGGATGGCATACAGGAAGAGAATTCTCATCTCCCGTTCTTTTTGCCTGCTTTTACGGATGATCGTGAGTAGGCCCATGGTGAAGGTGTAATATTTTAACTGGTCGTCGGAGCAAAGAGTCAGATCCTTAGACTAGTTGGCAATCAATACAAACCCGTTTTGGGACACTGGCGGCATCGATCGCCTTTTTTATCGAATTGGGGAAATTTCCCGAGCCCGTCGCAGCATCGCGGTAGATAATCGTAGTGATAGATACTCAGCCTACTTGGCCGGATCAATTGAAACATAAACTACTTCGTTGGCGTTCGCTGTCTTTGACATCGCACAAGGTTCAGAAACGTGTCAACTTGAACATGTATTGTAGTATACAAAAGGCGTGCTGCGTGTCAGGACACACTCACACTGAGTCATATCCATGGCCGATGGAGTTAGGAACATCTTGAGTCGAGAATCTGCTCAGGTAGACAGTATGGTGATCGGTAATTCGGCAACTCTGCGAAAACAAGCGAGATCCGCTCGTTTGGAAAAAAAAAAGAGTCAACACAGTCGCAGTGAACTGTACCCACATCCATAGCATGCATGTCAGTCTCTCTGTGAGCATATGGTATGCTGCAGAGACCAAGTAACTCACACGAAACCTCATGACACTCACACGAATTGCATTGCCATGCGGGAAGTAGGACAACCGAGTAGCTGGCACACAATTTGTGCACCCGAAAAAATTAGGACACGTACCAAATGTTTGGAGACCGAACCGGGTCTCTGGAGATGGTTATTTCACTCCCAAGGCCTCTGATGAGTGACGAAGGATGCAGAAAGCGTTATTTATGCGGAGCGTGACCTTGGAGATGAGGAGCCACGAAATAAATTATTACATAAATGACAGCATGCAAGTGCGGTTTGCAATGGAACAAAAGAAACGAACAATTGAACTCACGTGGAACACGGAACTTGGCAAACAACAACCTCGAGCATAGGTCGCGGCAAGTGTGAAAAAATACAGCTCGATCAATTAATTATTATCGGTGGAATGTTTCACTGCGGGCCGACGGGTGTCATAGAAGTATGTATGAGCATTACTGTACAGAGGTTGATATCAATATAACTTACAGGCATAGCATATTTGTTTCGCAGAAAGTCCTGACATCCTGGTACATGCGTAATTTTTGATCAGCGTCAAAGTCAATATATGGTGGAATTAGCACAACGAAAAATCAAGCAAGGCTTCCAGTCAGTCACTGTTGCTTATGATCATCGTCATCGAGGATGTTCGTTGCATTGCTCAGTGGGATCATACGTTGCCGATCTTCATCGACCACTGCGCAACGTTGGTCTAAATCGACGAATCACGGCAACAACACCGGCAATGGGCGACGATCAGGTGAGCATTTCAGTCATGACTCGCTAAATCGTTGATTTAAAATTCTGCATTGCGGCATGTACGAGAGAGCCCACATGATCAATATTTGCATCGTACCCATAAAAAGCTTGACCAACGGAATTGGTGCTTCGCAATAAGGGCAAACCTCCCCGTCCATGAGGATGGCGTAGTCGATAGCAGAACATAGAACTCGCTGCGACAAGGAAGTATTGGGGGGTCCATATGGCGAGAATTTCGATGCTGACGACAATGTGGACATGTCAAACCATGTTTTTGCTCATTCAAGGGAGTCTATTCGCCAAAGAATAGCTTGGCAGGCTTTGAGAATGCAGAGAACCCTAAAAGACAAGTTCAGTAGACCGCCTTCCTGCCTTATTTCTCTGTGAGGTGACAACATGTGCAGACATCTTACCTGTAGTAGCCCAAATGACCCTGGTGATGATCATGACCTTTGTAAGACTGAAGTCATACACCATGATTTATATGATTCCAATTCTCAACTTGAAGCTGAAACGCAGGTTGCAGCGGGCAGCTGTGATGAAAAATAATGCCAAGAGGGCAAGACTCAACGAATGTGAGAATTAATTGCCCGTTTTGTTGAGTATGCACGCTGACCCTGATTAGATGCTAATCCCTCCACCCAAATTCTTCTCTACAAGCGATTGGCGATCGTATTAATCATGCCGCCAAAAAACAAAGGAAAGAAGGGAAAGGCCAATGACGACGACTATTGGTGAGCCTATTGGAGTTATCATTGATCTGCCCCAGTCGTCTCACGTAACGAATACTCAGGGAGACTGCTGGTGTGTCAGCGGAGAACTATAACGCTATCGATGACAAGATCGGAAAATCTGGTGATGATCGCCCACTCGTCTACGAAACTGCACAAGCTGAAGATGAGTTTCCGGAGCCGGACCAGAAGATAAAGAAGAAGAAGAAGAAAGGGAAGAATGACGATGATGTCGCTCCTGACGCCGCCCCAACTCCCGTGGCCGTACCCGCACGTAATGCCACTGTCGCAGCGATTGAGGATGAAGAAGAAGGTGAAGGAGAAGATGTTGGAGAACCGGATACAAAGAAGAAGAAAAAGAAGAAGAAAGGGAAGAAAGACGAGGACACCGCTCCTGCCGCTGACCCGACTCCACCACCTCCCGCACCTGCAAATAACACCACTGCCACAGCACCCGATGATTATGAAGATGGTGAAGAAGCAGGTGCAGGTGAAACGGACGCAAAGAAGAAGAAAAAGAAGAAGAAAGGGAAGAAAGATGAGGACGTGGTTCCTGCCGTTGCCCCAACTCCCGCACCTGCAAAGAAGGCCAAAGGTGGCCTCGGTGCATTGAAGGCTATGATGGAGGAGAAGAAACGACTGGAGGAGGAGGCGCGAAGACTAGAGGAGGAGGAACGGAAACGTATAGAGGAGGAGGAGAGACGAGCGGAAGAGGAGGCAAAGCGCAAAGAAGAGGAGAAACAACGGAAGAAAGAAAAGGAAAAGGCATGATTCAGCATCTTTCGATTTAAAGTAATCTGCTCACAGCCCTTTTCAGGCCAAGCTTGAGCTAGCCAAGAAGGAGGGTCGATATTTGACGAAGAAACAAAAGGAAGAGAAGGCAGCCGCCGAGCGTCGTCGGCAGGCCCTCCTTGCATCTGGTGTTCAAATAGAAGGGCTGCAACAGCAGGCAGGTATTCCGCCAAAGAAGGTCGCGTTCGGTAATAGGAAGAAGGCTGTCAAGGAGGCCACAGCTTCGCCTGCCCCTGAATCGAGACCGGAAACTCCAGACAACATCCCCGAAACCTTCACCCCTTCCCATGTCGAGCCCGCTGTTGAGGAGGCTAAGTTGGACGGAGTGAGGGATGAGTGGGATGCAAGTAGCGGAGATGAATCAGATGAAAGTGTTGACTCGGAGGAGACGCAACCAGAACCAGAAACTCAAACAGGCGTTCAAGTTGACCAGAATCCACCTGACGCGGCACAAGCAGATTCAAAGAAAGAAAAGGCAGATACAGGGGCAGCACAGGCGTATGCGAGACCAGCTCAGACACATGCAGCTGCCACTGCGGTGCATAGTAAAGATAAGAAAGATAACCTTCGCAGTCCTATCTGTTGTATCCTTGGACACGTCGATACCGGTAAGACGAAACTTTTGGATAAGGTCAGTTGTTTTGCTTGCATGTCCTTATCTGTGTACTCATCCTTTCAGATTCGTCAAACAAATGTACAAGAAGGCGAAGCAGGTGGTATCACCCAGCAAATAGGTGCCACGTACTTCCCGTTGGATGCCATAAAGACGAAGACTGCAGTAATGAATAAGGCTGGTCACTTGAGTGCTCTAACGATTCCTATTTTCTGAAGGATGACACCAGGATAACTCTCAAGAATACAAAATCCCTGGATTATTGGTTATCGATACGCCCGGACACGAATCTTTCACCAACCTGCGTAGCCGTGGAAGTTCTCTGTGCAACATCGCAATTTTGGTGGTAGATATCATGGTGCGTTTTAATTATCTGCTAAAGATCTTTCTTGATTGCCCATTCCAGCACGGCCTTGAGCCACAAACCCTGGAGTCGCTAAGGTTATTGAGAGACAGAAAAACACCGTTCATCGTGGCCCTTAACAAGGTAGATCTACTTAATATTCTCTGGTGTTTTGTTTCGATTTCTTTTCGCAGATTGACCGATTATACGGCTGGAAAGCAACACCCGACGGCGCTTTCCAAGAATCACTTGCGAAGCAAAAACAATCTGTGCAACGACAATTCGAAGATCTTGTGCAAAAGACCATCCTCGCCTTTGCAGAACAGGGGTTGAACTCAGTCTTATACTACGAGAACAAGAGTTTTGCCCGCAATGTTTCTCTGGTACCTACCTCTGCCATCACCGGGGAAGGCGTTCCCGACATGATCATGCTATTGGTCAATCTTACCCAGCAACGCATGAGTGATCGCTTGATGTACCTCTCGGAGCTGGAGTGCACTGTCCTCGAAGTTAAGGTAGTAGAGGGCTTGGGCACAACAATTGATGTTGTTTTGTCCAACGGTATTCTACGTGAAGGTGACAAAATCATTGTATGCGGTCTCAATGGCCCGATTGTCACTCAGGTTCGTGCATTGTTAACACCTCAGCCGCTTCGCGAGCTACGAATTAAGGCAAGTATACAATTTATTGAGGTGTTTTCACGGTGGAACTTATATTCTCCTCATAGTCAGCATACGTTCACCACAAAGAAGTCAAGGCGGCACTGGGTGTCAAGCTTGTTGCTCCTGACCTCGATAAAGCTGTTGCAGGTTCACGACTCCTTGTTGTTGGGCCAGACGATGATGAGGAGGATTTGCTCGACGAGGTCATGTCAGACCTTACCTCGCTTTTAAACTCCGTCGACAAGTCAGGTCGTGGAGTTTGCGTGCAAGCCAGTACGTTAGGATCTCTCGAAGCGTTGCTTGACTTCTTGAAAGTCAGTAAAATTCCCGTATCGGGGATTAATATCGGCCCCGTGCACAAGAAAGATGTCATGCGCGCTGCCACAATGCTAGAAAAGGCCAAGGAGCTCGCAGTTATTCTTTGTTTCGATGTACCAGTTGACAAGGATGCCGAAAAAATCGCTGAAGAAATGGGCATCAAATTGTTCAAAGGTTTTAGTTTCCGTTGTTACTTTGATTATTCTGACTCGTCATATAGCTGACATCATCTACCATCTGTTTGACGCCTTCACTGCCTATAACAACGAAATCATGGAGGCAAAACGACGAGACGCGGCTCCGCAAGCGGTGTGGCCGTGCAGATTGAAGACTATAGCTGCTTTTTGTAAACGTGATCCAATTATTTTGGGAGTTGACATATTGGATGGGACTCTTCGAGTGGGCACTCCGATCTGTGTTGTCACGGTCGATCCGACAACACAAAAGAAAGAAATCATCGACCTTGGAAAGGTGTAAGTCCTTCATTTCAGACTTTCTAAGTACTACTGCTCATTATCTCATGACAAGCACGTCGTTGGAAATCAACCACAAATCATTCGATGTAAGTTTTTTGTCCTACCCTACGTTGACATCGTGTCATTGAACTTGGCTTCGCAGATCGTCAAGAAATCTCAATCTGGTGGTGGTGTTGCTGTGAAGATCGAACATGCTGTGTATGAATCTGGAAAGATGTTTGGCCGACACTTCGATGAAAAGAATGAATTGTTCAGTCACATCACAAGACAGAGCATTGATGTTCTCAAGGTTTGACTGCACATGCTGCTGTGAACCTCAAAACTAACATTAGCCATGTCTAGACGTCCTTCAAGGCTGATGTTTCCAATGAGGAGTGGCTCCTCATCAAAGCTCTCAAACCCGTAAGCCTCTCAAATCCTTTTCCCTTTCCAGATGTTCAACCATTGTGCTTCAGCATCTCAATATTCAATAAATATTCAATGACAGTCGGACATCGGCGGGCCGGCAGCTGTCCATAGATAAGAATTGATGTCCCTTATCGATTTTTTTGTCGGAGTTACTACTACATCCGAGTCATTCAAGTGTATTTATACCATCTTGCACATCCTGCCAGGACCTGCCTTGAATCCCACTTCCTTATCCTCTAGTTCACTTACCACGATGTCCAACCATTCCAGCACTGAAGTACAGAAGAAAGACGATGTTGTTGGTGATAGCGAAAGTGGATCTATCGCAGACACGGACGCCCTGCAGCTGGTAATTCGCTCCTCAACGACAGAAGGGAATGACCTTGCAGGAAATGATGCGTTTGGTATCACTCAATTAATCGGTATAGTGATCAACTGGATGGCTGCGGGTATCCCTACTGCTGACCGACTCAGGATCGTTTTTGACCATCCCGGACGGGTCTGGGTTGTCACTGACGTCTGAGTTGCAGTAGGGGTTGAGATAATACCGCTCGAACCTGAACAGCGCTCATACCTGCGTAGGGAAGCCCCCAGTGTCACCTTAATCCCTCTCCTTACGAAGAGTAATGCATCTTGTGCTGACTTTTTTTTATCCTGATTTCAGGCACAACTCGGCTATAAACAGGTGAGACCATATATATCTACCTTGGTTGTTATCATCTCACCTGCCTTAGCAATTACATCGCAGTTGGCACCTGATTGAGAGCTTTGCGGCAAGCTTTGTTGCCCTAAACTTCATTGGAGGCGTCAGGTATGTAACTGCATTGACTGCTCCTGCTATTACTAATGTCGTCTCGACAGATCTTTTATCTTCCTCGGGCTTCTCGCGGGAGGGCCCGCCGCGGTATGGTCTGTCTGTTGATCTATGCTTCACTCGCATACTCTAACCCCATTACAGGTCATCGTACCTTATCACGATGATCTTTATGTTCATAACTGCTGCTGTTCTTGCCGAGATCTGCTCCGCGCTACCATTGAGCGGCTCTATCTACTTATGGGCTGCAGAAAGTGCTGGTCCAAAGTATGCCAGATTCTTCGGGTTCCTGGTTGCTTGGTGGGCATGTACCGCATGGATGACCTTTACCGCAAGCAACTGTCAAGTATGTCATATAATCTGACAGTGAACCCAATTCTCAATTTTATAGACCACAGCCAATTACATCGTTTCTCAACTTGCTGTTTGGGAGATTGACTTCCCTGGAGGTGTTGGAAATGACAATATCCAGTGGCGAGCCCTGATATGGGCAATATCCGAAGGAATGTTGTTGTTGTCAGTGGCTATCAACTACCTTCCGCCAAAATTTTATTCTGGTGTCTTCAAATTTTCCATCGGCCTCATGATGCTTGACTTTTTCCTGTGTCTCATCTGGTTGCCCATTGGTGTCTCAAATACCTACGGTTTTCGGTCCGCCAGTGATGTCTTCACGATGACCTGTAAGAGGTCCGCTCTACCAATGCCTTTAATCATGCTGATTTTACGACAGATAACGGCACGGGAGCCCCAGCTGGGTGGAACTGGCTCTTATCTTTGTATGTCACATTGTGATTTCAGTGATGAGGCAATTATCTGACACGACTTGAGGTTATTCACAGCGGGGACCTTGACTGGCTTTGATGCCTCAGGACACATCGCCGAGGAGACCAAGAATGCTAGGTATGATTTTCGACAAACATAGTAACGGTGTCCCTGTTTGACTTCCCGTAGTGTGGTTGCAGCAAAAGGGATTTTATCGAGCGCAATTGCAACAGGTGTTTTGGGCTTCATTACGACCATTCTGTTTTTGTTCTGTACACCAGACCTCGAGATTATGTTTGCTCTCGATGCGCCGCAGCCCTTCGTGCAGATCTACGCGCTCGCTCTTGGAAAGAAAGCCAGTATCTTTATGACCGTTATTGCGGTCATTGGCCTGATCATGGTGCGTACCACCTCGCTGAAATAGTCCATATTTTCATTAGCCGGCCTGCTAGAACACAACTGTTGCTATCGTCGCATCCTCGCGCCTTGTTTTCGCGGTCGCAAGAGACGGGGTTTTACCATTGTCCGGATGGATCGGCGCTGTCGACTCGAAAGGACAACCTCGCAATGCGGTTACCGTCATCTACATCTTTGGAGCGATTATTCTCTGTACAATCATTCCTAGTCAGGTGGCATTCACATCATTGGTCTCAGCCGGGGCCGTTCCGACCATTGCGGCATATGGCCTTATCGCTTTGCTACGCTTGACGGTGACACCCGATTGTTTCCAGTCCTCTCATTTCAAGCTGGGAAAATATGCTAAACCATTCTATGTTTGCGCTGTCTTATTTAATGCACTGGTATTTGCGGTACGCTACTTTCACTCAATGACACATGACTTGAACTCAGGCCGTGCCAGGTCGACATATCACCATTTGAATTCCCTGTCAGCGCTCAAACATTTAATTTCGTGAGTTTTATAGTTGTCTTCATCAATTCTAACAATGACCTTTGTGGAAGGCCGTCGTCATCTTTGGCGCAATTTCCATTTTCGCTTTCCTGAGCTGGTACTTTACTCCTGAAGAAAAGTGGCTCAGGAAGGACCAGATACTGAAGGCATATCAGACAGTCGACCATCCTGAGGATGAATGATGTGGTCTAGGGTACGGGGCTACGAGGGTTGGGCGAGATCTAGATGCATATACATACATATATATATACGCGATTTTCCAGCCTTAAAATGGTTCCAGTCCCAGTAGTCCCTGACATGCACCCTCTATGTCTGCAATCTAAACATGTATGCGTATTTAGTTCATCCGGCGAGGAGAAGATCTGGACAAACCTCCTTTGGTGCACTAACGCTGAGAACCACGGGGTGTTTCTCGCCAACAAGGATCTCGTCCTGTAAGTTATGTCAGTAAAACTGCAAGGAATATGGATATCGGCTAACCTCTATCCGGATGCCAATGTTATGGAAATGCCTTGGGAACTGAGCGGTAGGTGGGACATATATTCCTGAAATGTAGATCAACATTAGTGATCATTATTGATAGAATGCACAAAATACGCACCTGGCTCTACAGTAATTACCATCCCGGCTTTCAACCTTGTATAGATGGTGAACTCTAGATCCAAGGAAGACAAAATTAAGAGAACTACGTACAGCTCTCCTCTGTCTGAATATGATGATTCATGCAAATCTAGAAAATCCCTACATCAAGATCCCCTGAAAGTAACAGTAAAAACCCACGTACCAATCCCAATTGGATGACTGAGGAAATGAGGGTAAAGTACTCTCTCCAGATCTCCTGTATGGAGAGTAAATCCTATTTGCTTCAGTTCCTGTCTGAGGAGGTCGCAGGATTTTCTATGCAAATCATGAAGACTCAATCCCTCTGCCTCCGTGCATAATCCCACAAGGGTCTTCTGCGCAGACAACACTGCACTATATAGCTCCTTTTGTGGAGGTGTAAAGGAACCATTGGCCGGATATGTGCGAGCTTAATCATAAGTGGGTAACACAATATTGGAAGCAGGATGAGTAATACCCACTGATGTCAGACGCGTAACCGCTTAAAAATGTTAGTGTGCCAGAAAGAAGTCAACGAAATGACTTACTTAAATTCACATCCAGCGTCCATCAAAATCATTTCACCATCTTGTACGACTTGATTGTTCGATGTATAGTGTATGATGAGTGCATTTGGCCTGCACTACAGATTCAAATCTCAATGTCATCCATTCGAAGCTGAGAACTCACCCAGATGCAACGACGGGGACATATGCAAGGCGCTGTGAACCTGATAGACTACATAAGTATTCAAAATGAGCTGCTAGTACACTTTCTGAGATGCCGGGTCGTGTAAAGCGCATTGTCTTGATGATGAAAAATGATCGTGTCAGAATAACCTATGATGATTTAAAAAACCAATTACCTTTGCATGGGAGCGACCACTAATGTCAGCAGCCATTCTCATGACTTGTTGCTCGCAGACACTCTTGAATGCTCTTAATTGGGCTATGAGAGGAGCAAGAGGTTTCCGCCGGGAGCTTGACAACGACTCCACGACACTCTCGTATTCTGACCGAGGATTGACAGGAGGCGAAAGGTACCGAAGTAATGATTTACTGGAGCGTGCATTTTTGCGAGGAGACTGGGGCAGGTCAATATAAACATTAGAGTAGAGGCTAATCATGGATCGCAGTTGACCAGGAAAAGCCTTGATTGTTAGTGCGTCGTCCGCTTTGAAGACATTGAGAGCATCATCGAAGCCTGTCCTGAAAAAGATATTGTTTCAGGATACCATCTTAGTTTCGGAATTTACCTTGGGCCGTCCCATTTCTCTTTCGCAGAGTCCTTCCCGTTCGAGAACAGTGTCATCCTATATCCTCGAGAAGATGCGTTCTTCTCTGGTAGGAAGTAAGTCCAAGACTAACGAAAAACGTCGACTCCGTACTTACCTAGTACAACGGCAGAATCGGGCTCTTCAAAACCAGTGAGATACCAGAAGTCAGATCCTTGGCGGTATTTGTAACTTGAAGCCATAATGTTAGGCAAGAAATCAGCACAAACTTGTGAAGTCCTACAATATATCTTGAAACGGATTTTAAGGTATAGAAGAAGGAGAGGAGAACATTCACATACTTCCGCTCATGTATTTGACAGGTGCAGCAATCAGAACCACTACACTATTGCTAGGTAGGCTGTCCATGAGTTCTTTCCGACGGCGCTCATACTCTTCGGACGGGATTCCAGGTGTGAGTTCATGGGGCCTAACTGTCTTGACTTGATAACGATGCAGGAAGTGAACCAGAAGGCTTAAGCTCACGTAAGTGGGGGTGTGATTGAAAAAGCGGTTGACCGTAATGTGAAGGCTTGTGCTCGTAACCTGGTGCTGCTTCAGTAGCATATGTTCTCAAGGATGTGCAGATTTGTGACGGGGGACATCTAGCAGCGACTCTACGGAGAGCCGGCAGCAGCGAGCGGAAGTTGGAGCACATGAAAGGAAGCTAAGTCCCAGAACCCGAAAAGGGTACTGCCAGTTGGTATAACGATTTTTTATGTCGGTGATGACGATCACCCAGGGCCGAGTTCATATACATAGCCGGTCTTGTTTATGTTTGTTTTTGATTTATCAGAAGTTATCAAATAATATTTAAATTGTCATTAAAGAGAAAACTATAAAATATAAAATAATTTAGTGTCCATCTTGTGTCTATTTTCCGCTTCTAGTCTTGAGTCTACTTTGCGATGTCATGTACTAGCCATCATCAGTCTCTTGGTTTTTATCCAGCATTAAGTTGAGGGACTCCGCTTGCCTTATCATATATGCCATTTTAAGTCATTGCTGAGTCCAATTTGGGATCATGTGTTCACAAAATCACAGGCTTTGTATTATTGGTGGCTTTTTGATCTGGAACTGACGTTGTTTTCTTCACCTGAGCAACTGAGGCATGGACTTGCCCTGCTCACAGATACCCTTCGTTCTCACCTGTAATCATGGGCTATAACTGGGAGAGATTTGGTAGGCAAAGTCTTGATCTCACTTCAGCGGCAACTTCCCTTGCTTTCACTGCTGTCAAGGGTACAACACGACTGGGGGTAAGCCGAATAGTGCCAAAATCCCGGTGATAGAGCTCAGGTTATTTCATAGTTCTCGGTTGCTCGAGATGCAGCGTCCAGTGTCGTGGGTGTAGTCGCTTCCGCCCTCGATCACGCAATATTCGGTGGGAGCGAGGTCGCTGCGCCGGTCCTAGAAGGCGCAGTCGCGAGCGCATTCACCTTCGCCGAGAGACTTACCCTTGCTCCCATCTATGTCGGGGAGTATATTTCCTCAGCTTCCCTACAAGCAGCTTATAGCTCTATCGACATGCTCTCCCTCATCTTCCCTGGCAGCAGCGAAGCCTCTTTCTCTTTGGCATCGTTCATCGATCTGGTAAAACGTGAGTGGGACCATCCTGGTTCTCACGAGCATATCCCAGGGAGAAGGTACGGAATAACAGAAGTCGGTAGAGCTTTGGTTGCATGGGTGGCTCTGCAAGGCGTCACCCACGAGTGGCAAGAGCAGAGTTGGTTCCCATACCTTCGCGAGGTTCAGTTTTATGACCCGTCTACCGCCCCTCACCTCAAACATATACCTTCACGAATTCGAGTAACGTCGGACGTGATATTCCCGGGGCATCGAGGACAACTAATATCTGCAGACATCGGAGAAGTCTCCACGCAGTCTCATACCCGTTCCAGGTCTCCGAGTGTCCTGTCGAGATTGTCGATATCGTCAATATCTTTTAGATGGGGCCAACCGCGCATAGATGTACCGCAAAAGTCTATAGTTGAGCTAAAGACTAACTTGCGGCGATTTTCCAAGATGGTTCTTGCCGGCTATGGTGGCGCAAGTCTACTCTTCTTTGGAGTTCCTCTGCTACTGACGTCACCGTCCCGCAATTCAAACCCACCATCCCCACGTGATGAAAATGACGCAGAAGAGGCACAGCTCCAGGATGCTGTAAATGCAGCCGAAGATGAGCTGAAAGGAAATTCCTCTTCTGATAGTCTAGAGTATTCTTGGTGGGATATATTGATGGGCAAGCATGACAAGGAAATTTTTGAAAGGTCGGTGCACGGGGAGACAGTAGAGCAGCCAAATATACAGGCGAAGGCTCGTGCAACAGCTGTCATTGGGATAGAGCGCCAGATGCCTAGGTTCTGGGTTTTGACCGACCACAATAGACACGAGGTCGTGCTTGTTTTACGAGGTGGCTTTATTTGGAGGGAAGCCATTCGTTTTTGGCTGACTATGGCCTTACAGGCACAATGTCACTCAACGAGCTCGCTGTTGATCTGACGTGCGATCCGGTAGAATTTGAGCCTGCGTCAAGTACGTCTCGGGAAGACGCTGGAGACAGTATATCATTCCCTGGATCAAGTAGAAGGACCCCTCGGAGGCGTTTGTCTATTCTTTCGACGACTTCCCATGACAAGCAGCCCACATACCAAGTTCACGGAGGGATGCTTCGTATGGCCCGTGTGATGGGCGAGATCGACAAACCTGTTCATGTGGCTGTTAAGGATGCATTGACTCGCAATCCTGGATATGGTGATTGGGATTGTTACAATGACATTCGTTACAACTGATTGCAAACCAGAACTCATACTTTGCGGGCATAGTTTGGGAGCAGGTGTTGCGGTTCTCTTGGCTATGGTGAAAGTGACGAAGTTGTGATTGTTGTATATTGACATATTTCATTCAGATGTGGGCAGACCCTGCAACTTGCTTGACAGTGCCTTCAAGCGGCCTGCCGACGGACCACAGCGTATCCGTATATTGTATAGGACCTCCGTACGTTATGTTTCTTCTTCGACTGGGACATATTTTTCTGAATCTACTTAGTTGTCTGACGGATGCTGGACTTAGCCGATTGGCATCGAAAATGGTCACATCGTTTGTATGCTCCGATGACATTGTGTCTCGACTGTCGCTCGGTTCTGTCCGGGACATTCGTAATGCAGCCCTCTGGCTGTGTGATGCAAATGAACGGAATGGTGGTACAGAAGGGTATTCGGTCATCACCAATAGAATCAGGCGATGGAAAGCTGGAGATGGATCTTCGGATGACCTTCATTGGGTATTTCTGTGCATCACAGCGTAACAATTTTGATCGGATTGACACGTGACGCAGTTTCTGTCGATGCGAAAAACTCTCGAGGCAAATATGCAAATGGCTGATTTATTCCCACCTGGTCGCATCTTATGGACTGTCAGGGACTGTGACCTACACCCATCGCACCAATCACAACAACCTAATACGCATCCCGATAAAACATGGAGGCTATTCGAGGTCTTGGACGTCGAGAAAGTATTTTCTCAGATAGTTTTCTCAAGGAATATGCTTAGGTGCGTCTTGGCCCATAACGCTAGATTACGTGTTTACACCCTTTTCTAGGTCACATATGCCTCATCGATATGACCAGGTCCTTCATGAACTCCTTTAATACCAAGGCCTGCTGAGGACAGACTATTGTCGATCACCCATTTGCCCATTACACTGCATTATACATTCCAGCCGACCGATTGTTGTTATGATATCCTTACAGGTGTATTCATGTACATTGACCACCGTATTGACAATGAAAGTCATGGATTAATACCTTCTTGTATACCTACTCTGCCGAGGACTATCATATTGTTCTGATTCGATATAAGCATATCAACGCTTCATTGCTGGATCTCGTCCTGCGATACCGCAGAGCTTGTTTACATAGTGGCATAAACGGCGATCGAGCATAAAGTCTGCAGCTACTGTACATGTGGCTCATGTGCCATGGGCTCCCGACTCAGGTGCTGGCTCCAGTAACTATGATTTATGGCGAGTGAACAATACGACGTATAACAGAGATCTATGCTAACTATTAATTTTGCTACTAAAGAAGCTGGTGTAAATTTTGACAAAACTGAACTGCAACATGAAATGCAACACACTATAAGGACATGCTAATCCTGATCACTCTGGTCTCTCGGACGGTACTTGATGCCACGGGACTCAAGTTCAGCTTCTACATCTTCCGGAATGCGACCTTTCACCCGGACAGCATACATTCCCCGAACATACTTCGCTATAAAACAGATTGTAACCAAAATTCAGCATACATATAGTAAGTTCACAGGGTAAACTTACATGTTCTTTGCCATCGTGCAACCCAACTAGCCTCAGTGTCAATGACAGCAATGATACCATCAAAATAGGTGGTAGTGCAAACACTTATGCGGTCAGGAGAACCTTTCATCTGACAAGACGTTAGCGAAAGCAGGGAGGATTCACGATGATCTCGGAATACCTGCATGAGCTCTTCGCAATTTGGACAACCGTTCTTCCGAAAATCCATGGGATGTTGAATGATAGAACAAAGTAAACATGCTCGGAGCTGTTTGGACCTCGCTTGAGGAGGAATACTGGCCATGATTAAGTTGCCTTGCTACTAGCTGCTAATGAGTGGTTGAACAAAACCGAGTTCACCACGGCCTGGCTTATGTAATTCAAGGTTCGAGCTGCAGCGCATCCTCAGAGATCCTCAGGCTACATCATAACTAGTAACTTCTTCATGGCTGGACGTGCTGCCATCTTCGCTCTGTTTTCTGTAGTCGGTGTACTGGGGTACTCTGATACAGTTCCAATTGTAGCATGGTCATCTAAAAGGTTTGTGTCAGGTATACCGATAGTTCAGCCAGGACTCACTTCGGCACAGCTCGTCCGTGTTAAACGGTCTATTTCCAGATCTACGGTATGAAGATTCTGTGAGCATAGTTGGTGGAGTTCTCTCGCCAGAGGATGTCTGCTCCTTCGATACCGTTCTGGTGATAAACCAGCCTGGTGTATGTACTAGCTTTCCAGCTGGCTATGATATTGACATTATCCCGCAGCTCCGTAGTTCTGACCTTCGTGCATTACCCAAGGCTTCTTCTGGACTCTCTGCCATTTTAAACACTGCGCCCTCATCAAGGCAGTATCCTCACGTGAAGCGTAGCGCCTCTTCTTTCCTTCAGGACGTCACAGAGTCTCTGGCAAGGCGCTGCGGCTCGACTTTGACCAATGCTAGTCCAGCAGATGGCCCTTTGGACCTTGCTGAGAACTCCAGACACGTTGTATGTGTCAATATGCCAGCAATAGAGGGTGGACCAAAACTCCGAAAGGCGGCTATGATGGGTTATGGTGAGTCTGTCCCAAATCGAGGTGCATCAACTTTACACATCATGTACTAGATCAATACCTCTCTAGCGAAATTGAGAAGATCGATGCAGCTTTTACGAGCCACCTGGTTTTGTACATGGGGTCTCCACTCGAACACTACCGCCGTCAGTTACTTCCCCCTTCCAAATTTGACTCAGCACACGCTCCTCCTGACAACTCGACTATTTCTGACGGTGGTATTTTCAAGAGATATCAACTATTCTCAACACCCCTTCTTGTCGCTTTGCTCGTCGTTTTCTTCATCATCGTACCCATTATCATGATGGCTGTGTCAGCTCTTGCCAGCCTCCAATCATCTGTGCGCTTGGAAGCACCAAAGGGGTACCATGCTCAGGAAAAGAAGACCCAGTAGATTCCATAGGATTTGTACATTCGTGTTTTATCGAGTTTTTACCTCATAGTAATAAACATGGTCAGGCAAGCAAGAGGCAATGTAAGCAGTAAGGATACATGGAGTATAACCCTGGGTACCACCAAAATAGCGTAGTACATGTAACAGCTGTAGGGTAGTTACCAAAAAAAGCAAGAAAGCGACAGATCTACTTGTTAAAAATCGCAAAAAAATGAGCGGGGGACTGAGGTCAAGCCTCAGCTGATATCTTCCTGTCTGAGAGAATGATGCATGACCTCGAGTGCAGCAAGATGAAAAGGCAGTAGAGGATATTCTTGGAAGCCTAACATCGCGCCTGCAAGAACAGACAATTCATAAAAATTGAGTGTGATATCCTTGCGCATGGTATCATCTGAAATTGAGAGGGAAGAACCAGGAGTGTGAAGTGCATGGAGATGGTGTATGTAGATGGATGAATGGGTAGAAGCCGTGCGTGTGGACGGAGACCGAACGAGGATGGAAGTAGATATTGGTAGGATGCTTGATGTATCAGAGGTAGCGCCGTCGTTGTCCGGAATGAATGACAAATCTACCTGTTCCTGACAAGAACGTGAGGCAAGGGGAATACGTGTAGAAGGATATATGGTGTAGGCAGGGGCAGCAGTGTCCACGTAAATAGATTTGGAATCCTTTGCAGGTGCCCGTCTGGATGACGCCAAGCCTGAAGCTTCGTTGAGGCGTGGTATGATAGGCCAGCACAAATTTTGCTCCACGGCAAGCAAGCTGACATGAAAAGGGGGCAAATCGTTGCACAAGGGGACAGCAGCGGCCAGGTGAACGTTCCATCCTATAGAACAATGAGTAAAGGCAATATAAGAGTCATTCGGTAGTACCAACCCTCCAATTCGCTGACAGTCATATACCCTAGTTTCGCAATGACAATCCGCCACTCGACGTTAGCTCTCTTCGCGAATTGCAACGCAAAATTCCAGACTTGCACTACTGCCGATGTCTCTATTTCGTCATGTATCAGCCACGTCCCGAGATCATAAGTTTCCCCACGCTGGTCGATACACGCAGCGAACAACCATTTTCCACAGGTAGAAAATCGGTAGCCAACGTGAAGGAACGTGTGCCGATCCATGACGTCAAGGGATCGAGCTGGAGTTGTTTGTGCGAAGCAGACAGTATTCGAGGGGCGAGCCAGCACAAAGGGCTGCTGCTGGAAATATGCAACTGTTTCGCTCTTGTCGGAAAATTTTCTAGACATGGAACGCTCGACAGGTTTGAGCATGCGTCGGTAGGTGGCGTAACAGAGGGCATCTATCTCCGAGCTTTCACTAGAAGGGCTCTCCGAGGAGGAAATTAGGTGCTCAGGGACAAATTGAAAGAGAATAGGAGCCTCAGAGCGCTTGGCTTGGGTCTGCTTGACGAAACTAAAGATTTCGCGCAGGAGGGGTGACGTTAGCCCAATCGCCGGGTCGGGGATGGCTATATAGAAGACAAGATCATTGCTTGACTCCAGGCATTGCAGAAAGGACCCTGTTTTAAGCGTTGTATTTTGAGCGTATTAATGATCAAGGAAGAACATACTTATGGACTTTCTCAGATTCTCCAGCCTCAGAGGCATGACTCCGTCCGCTGAGCACATCGTGCTGCTCCCAGGAGTGAAAGAACCAAGTTGTTTAGCCTGTCCAAGGTAAGTTGATTACTTTAGAACGAGAGAAAGATCATCAATAGCAAACTTACACTGTATTCCGTAGACATCTTGTTTAACCAGGCCTCAGCTTGATGCTGCTTTTCCAAACCGCCTTCTTCAAGAAATACAAAAGCGACGACATCCCTTTTACCACCGTGAGGCGTGAGGCCCAGCTTCTCCCAGAAGCGCAATGCTGACGGTAATACTTGCACGACACAACCCGACTTGCCTACTGAAAACATAGGTGGGTCTAGTCTTTGAAGGTGAACATTTTCCACTGCGGGTACACCATCTATATGGGCATGATTGAGCGACAAATTTGATATAATCATCGGAAACTTACCGGATGGAAACATAGTCATTAGTTCTACTGGTCCGTCAAGGACGTTCACATGCTTCAGAATTTCCGCTAGTTCTTGAATATCGCTGGGCCAAACCTGTTCATCCGCTGCGATACATCGGCAACCCCAAGCGCGGGCCCACACAGAATTTTCAACGACCTCCCGCGCGAGTACTGCACCTGCCGCAGCCACCTCCTGGTTGATTTTCTCCAACGATGCAGCGGGAGAGACTGGTGTGTGGGCAGCCACAGGTGGTGGAAGCACCAGGCTCATGGGCGCAACTGCCGATCCTGGCGGGCGAAGAGGTTGGCAGAGTGGAAGGAGGAGCGCATGGTGGAACTGCGTGTGGAGGAGCATGGGACCTAAAGGGAGGTATGATGGGGGTGGGGTGGTCGAGCGCTCACGCTCGTCGTCCATATCTGCGTCGTCTTCAGAAACAGTCTCAGACTTTTCGTCATCCTCTGGGGGAAGAATTGCGTCTTCGTGGACGACATTGTCATCATATGAGGACAGGAGGAATTGCCGGCATCGCGCTCTCCCATGATCGAGTGACTTGGACTTGCGCTTGACGCCGATAAGTTGGCGTACGACGCCGATGCGCGGGTCTGTTGCGGCGCTGTACCGCGTATGTAAATCAGCAGGGGAAGCTGTGCTGTGGTTCTGTGAATGCAAGGTGGGCAAAGGTGAGGTGCGGTCCTCTTCATCTGGTGGGCTGGGGAGAGCAAACTTTCCAAAGGAGGAATACTTAGCATCTGCAAGACTGTGAGAGTGAGCGAAAGCGATGGGGTCGAAGGTACGAGCGAACTGGGAGGGTGCGTGCGTGACCTTCACATGAGGTGTGGAAGGTGCTGAGTGTGAGGTGTTCGGAGAGGGGGGTGCGGGTGCGGGTGCTGGAATGAACGTCGAAACATCTGGAGAGAGCTGAGTGCCTACTGCATGAGTAAATGATGCACCAACATCTACAACACTAAATATGCTTGGTGAGAGCGCAAGTGGTGCGGGCGCAGAATCCAATGGGCGCGAGGGACGATCAAAGAAGCTGAAGTCGTCGTCAGTGAACGTAAAAGTATCATAGTCTGCAAAGTCTACATCATTACGACGCTGACCAGCAGGATCCATATCATAGTCCATAAAGTCAGTTGTGGGTTGCGACCAGGTGGAGTCTATCGTATTGAACGGGTCAAATGAAGTGGGAGCAGGCGCAAGGTTTGTCTGCGGCAACGGCGTTGGGGGTTCAGAACCAGAAGAGGGTCCCGGAGGAGCAGGGGGATCAATTGCAGTTACAGGAGAAGGATAGTAGACACTCGGATGGATATTTGGTTGTTCAATGGGCAATGGAGGGGGTGGATGCAGTGGAAGATTTGTGTCGGGTACTGGGGTGGGGACAGTGGAGACTACAGCTGCAGCTGGTGTGACCTGCGGCGAGGCAGATACTGATGCCATCGCTTCGCGCTCCCTGCGAATTCGCTCCCGTTCTCGGTCTCGTTCACGCACGACAGACTCAACATAACCACCTATCTCTGATGCGACGTTCTGCAGGCTGGTAGTGTGTGAAAGGGTTAACGTGCGAAGAGCCCTGAGGGGAGATGGAGAAGCCGTGGCGGGGCGACGTGTTAGCGAATGGTTTGTTAATACCCTCAGCGGTGTATTTGGCGTGTCTACACGGGGTGTCTCGACATTGATTGGTGGTGGAGGTGGTGGAGGCGGGGAAGGCTGGAGCTGCGCAGGCAGTTCTGGAATATGTGACAATGGCTTGCGTGATGATGAATTCGAAACCAGACATAGAGCTGTGGGCCAGATTATTGGTGTGCCCTTGTCCTCGCCCTGCTTGTTTTGTACCGCAAGCCATGCGATAATATATTGAGGGTCTTTGAGGCGCGGGAGGGGGTGTGGGGCA